ATAAAGGTTACCAACGGGCCTTTAGTTCATTAATACTCTTTACCTTATGAAAGTTATATCTTTTTAAGGTCAAAGTTCAAGTCTCTTCTCCCCTTTCAAAAAAAAAAGTGAACCTATTTTTACATTAGGAAGATATCATTTGAATTGTCTATCCGACGTGAGTTTTGTTTTTTAACTTATCTAATACAGGTTAGTATAAACTTGTTCCACTATCTAGAGTTCTTATAAATAAGAGTAAATTATAATTTATTCACTAAACTATTATTTTTATTTCACTTTGCACCTTTAATTATAAATTTTCTTATATAACACTATAAAATATCAATTTTATTTCATATCACTCCAATAACTAACTACAGACTTGAAACTTTGTTGCCTAGTAACACTTTATTTTATTTTTTTGTAATCAAATGGTTGTTTGAAAAAAAAAAAAAAGGTATGCTAGAGGAAGAAAATTTGAATTTCAAAAAGGACAAAGTCATGGATGAGTATTTTCTAGATTTTTGAGCTGCACATGTGTAACAGGTAGTTGTTTATTGGTAGTACAAACACTTACATGTGCATTTACCGTTAAAAAATTGACAATTATTATCTATTGAAGTGATATGAAATAAAATTGATAATTTAAGGTGTAATGTAAGAAATTTTAAAATTGAGTGTGCAAAGTGAAATAAGGGTAATAGTTAAGGGGATAAAATATAAATTACTGTATAAATAATGTTTCACTCCTCCTTTAAATAATAATAATTATATAATATATACTTATATTTTATTTTTATATTGTTTATATAAATACAATACATGACTTCAGGTTTAACTCCGGGTTGGGTTTAAGTTGAGCCCAATTTCATCAATTCGGATTCGACTCAGGTTATACCTGTGGATCTAATATTTGTCCAAACTTAATTCGGGTTGAAACTTTTAACCCTAACCCTAAAAATTTCAACCCTAATACTATTTTTTTCGAGTTGCCTTCTGGTTAGTCCGCCTAAGTTGCACCCCTAATAAATAACCTTAATTAATTATTATCAATTCTGAAATGTTGTAATCCACCATAAAATATTATCGTCAATCATAAATAACATTTGTTAGCTGTAACATGATCTTTAAGAAGTGTAACTTAACTTACAATATTTGTTTTTTCTTTTATCAATTTCAATTTTTTTTGATCAATCATAATTTTTTAATTTGAAACTTTTACTTATGACTCGTTTTGCTTCTAATATTACGTTGTGGCCTTTCTTTATGCTGATGATTTTTTTGCTTCAAATAATTTGCTATGTTGTGGTATTACCATCGTATCTTTTTTCTTTTTTGGGTCAAAGTATCCTTATCATATTGACTATGGAATATTACCCCCAATCAATAGCTTAAATGATAGTAAAGATGAATTGTAAATTCAAATATTTTGAATTCAAATCTTAGCAACTTTTTGAGATTAGAATATAAGAGATTTATCTCTCATAAACACCCCAGTGTAGACGTAAATGACCTGTCTTTGACTAAACCGATGAGTAAATTAGTTGAGATGTACGTAAATTGATTCGAATACCCCAGTTGAGCTAAAAAAACACTATAGAATATTTACCCTATGTCACTAAGGATGTCAATGGACCGAAGTGGGGCAGGGGGTGTAGTCTTCATCCCCATATCCGCATAAAAAAACTCCATCCCCGATCCACCCCCGTTAAAGAGTATAATTTTTATCCCTATTCTCATCTGCAGGTAAATTTCTAATCCCCTCCCCCGTCCCCACTTCCTCCATACCCACCCAAGCCTAAGTTCCATTTAGCTACCAAATTGGACTAATTATGTAACAAATTAGACTAATCACCATTGAGCTACCAGTTCTGGCCATTGAGCTAAAACCATGCTGCTACTCCAATGTTTATTAAAACATAATATAATTTATTAAAGGGCCATTAGACCCACCAACTGTTCATATCACAGCTTTCTCCTAACTGGAATCCTAATCCATAAGAAAATTCTTTGTTAGTTCATCAATTACATAACAAACAATTTTAATCAAGTCAGCAATTAAAAGACTTTATCCGTCTAGCTGTTTCATATCAATTATCACCATTACTATGGCAGGATATTTAATAAACTACAAAGTAATCTCTTTGTAGTTTTTTTTCAATTAAAGTGCAACTTGAAAGTTGAAAACACCATATGGGATGACTTCTTTCCAACTGATTTTACATTATCTTTTTTATCATCTATTTTTCAACCAAAATGAATTGTAGGAGTGTTAGTCCTACAATATGGGATGACTTCTTGTCAACTGATTTTACAATATATGTATTTATATATATATAACGGGTAATTAGGGGCGGGGGTAAGGTGCGGTCCATCCCCCGCCTTCATTCTCGTACAGGTTTATACGAGTATTTTCGTATATGTCTACCGTACAATATTTATGGCCCATCTCCAGTCCAAATAAGACAACTTTGGATGAATACCTATTTTTCTCCGGTCCACTGCCATCCCAATATGTCACATTGTATAATGGTGCATAAATTGTTTACTCTAGTTAGGGCTTGCACGAATATATAAGCCCGAGATTTATTTGGATTGTAGCCTATACAATTGTTTTTTGGATTCTTTGGAAGTTGTACATCTAATTAGACTTATTTGATAAAAAGTATATAAAACAAAATATTTTGAAAAAAAATACACAGCTGAGTTACAAAGACATAAATGTCCATTTTAGGATCATTTAATTCAAAATCTCTTATATTTAATGTACCTTGATTCATATGTATTTATTAATACATATAAATACATATATATATACTTGTTGTTAAATCTATTATCTAAATTTTGAATTATCTTTAATGCACCTTAATTTGTGCGTATTTTTTTTTTTTGGAAAGTGATTTTGTTTTCAAATTATATTTAATGCACCTTGATTAATGCGTTTTTTTTTTTGAAAAGTGGTTTTATTTTCAAATTAATTTATTTAATATCCAAATAGTGTAATAGTGTAACAATAACAGTGTAACAGTATAACATATACATTATAACAAATACAATGTAACAAAAACAGTGTTTAGTAATTTGTGCACGTGGTAACAAATTCAAAACGGAGATAGACTATTTTGTATGAAATTCTATGAAACTATATGTTTGATAAAATGAAATAGTACAATATTTTGTGTAATTACATTGTTATTGTTACACTATTATTTTTATATTGTTACATTGTTATTATTACACTATTCGGATATTAAATTAATTTGAAAATAAAACTAATTTAAAAAAAAAAACGTATGAATCAAGGTTAGGGGCGGAGCCAACAATTTTGTTCAGGTTGAACACTTTAATTATACACTTTAATTTTTTTTCCTTCTAACCGATCACACTATATAACATATTTCTATTTATTATATTATTTTTGATATATGAAATCCATTTAACATAAAAAAATTTAAAAATATATATATATATTGTCAGAGGCGGAGTCAGGAATATCTATGATAGAGGCAAAATATAATTAGTATAAAAAAATATTAAGCCGAAATTAATACAAAAAAATTCAATTCAAGAATAAAAAAAAATGTAAGAATCAACACTAAATTATTGTGAAATAGTAAATTCAATTTTTATTTAGCCGAAACAAAATCTTAACAAAAAGACACAAAATAAATTTTTTAGTAAATTTTAACCTAATTATATATTTCAATAAAATATAAATTTTTTTGTATATGAATTAAATGTAAATTCATTTTCGTATTTAATTAGGTTATATACTACTATTACTAAAAAAATGGTAAATGAAAATTAAAAATTATTCTTAAAAAGTAATGAACATTGTGTTAGATAAAGAGAAATATTATATTTTCGTCAATATACAAATAAAGCATTGACTCAATCCAAAAATAACATATTTATTTTAGAGGGTTAGTGGTCCACTAATTTATTAAAAAAAAGACTAGAACCATTATTAAAATTTCCAAAAATTTAGAGGGAAAATATAATGTATAAAATAATTTTATAGCTAGTGCAAGGAAGGACAAAAAAACTCAAGGAATTGAGTTTCTCGTGTGTTGAGTTTTTCTCTGTTTCTTCTCTTTTTTTTTGTAGTTGGGCAGTGGGCAGCTGGAAGTGAATGATACCGAGAAAAAAAAAATAAGATAGGTTTTAGTCAAGTAGGCTAAAAGTTTTGTTTTTTTAATGATGGTGGGCCAAAAGTTTTGTTTTTAATGTTGGGTCAAAAATTTTATTTTTAATATTGGACTAAAAGTTTTGTTTTTTTAATAGGTTTGAGTGGATTGTAATAGGTCAAATATTTAATTTTTTAATAAGTTTGGATAGATAATATTAAGTTCAATTTTTTTTTATTTTAAATGGACTTAATTGTTTAATTATTTTGGGTAAATAATGTGGGCCTAATATAAATGAGGAGGACACACATAATATATATGTATAAATATGTAACACATATATCTAACTAATAAAAAAAAAAAATGAGGGGGGGGGGGGAGCACGTGCCCTCCCTGGCCCCTACCTCCCATGATCAAGGTGAATTAAATAAAATTTGAAAATAAAATCACTTTTCAAAAAAAAATATACATGAATCAAGACGTATTAAAGATAATTTAAAATTTAGATAAGAGATTTAACAACAAATATATATATATATATAAGTTCTCCCATAAAACTAGGAAATTTAATGTACCACTTTTCAAAGAAAAAACACATGGATTAATAGAGGGTAAAAATGTCACAAAAAAATTAATAAAATTCAAATAATGTACTTAGATACAAATACGTATCAAAATTAAGGACTTAATTACCCAACATTTTTTTTATATATTTTTTTACAATTAAATCTAATTTAGTATCCGTCTTTCCAATTTCCCATTGTTTTTTGGGGGCTAAAAATCTGTTGAAATTTGGGCTGGGCTAAGTGTGTTGGGCTTCCGTCAAAGAGCCTCTATAAATAACCGCCTTATCCAGTTATTTATTTGTTGTATCTGTTGCTTCTCTGAAACTACAGAGGAAAGAGAAAAGAGAAAAGCTCGAGATTCACAGCTCCAATTCTCTCCGACTATCACCGTCTTTCTCAGGGTTTCTCTGTTCCGATCATCGATATCTACTGCAAATACTTCGCTCTTTTTCTATCTATCTATATAATTGTTTATCTCTCGAGGGTTGTGCATCGACAAGGTTCATCATGGCGACTGCGTCAGGTATCGGAATTTTATCCTTGTCATTGAAAAGATTCTACATTCATATGCTAAATCTTTTATCCCTTCGAAATTTATATTGGTCTTGTTCTGTTCTTTGATCCGTCTCTGCGTACCTCATTGAGGTTTCGTGCGTTTTGACAAAAATAGATAATTTTTTTGGGCTGTTTTCATATGAAAATTTTGTTATGTTTCTTTAGTTAGCTTTAATTTGGTAAAGATGTCTCTTTAGTGTTGGAATAATAGTTAATGTGAATTGGCAAAAATTAGGTTTTTTGAAAATTTTTCTGTAATTGTTTTATTATGTTTCTTGAGTTAGCTTTGGAAAAGAATGTGTCTTTAAGATTGGAATGATAGTATTTCGTGTTGAAAGCAAAGTAGCATTAGAATTAGGTTTTCAATTGGAGTACAGATCCTTTCTTTCCTTTTTGTTTCAATTTAACGGTTTTGGAGATCGAGATTGTGCTACTATGGTTTCGGGCTTCCTATGTTGGGGGCTGTTTAATTATTTTTGTCGATTGCTTTATAAAATGAAATTTTGGAATGGTGTGTATACATGCATTTGCATGCACACAGATCACACTTTTGCTTCGCTCAGGGGCAGCCCTTGACATTTTGGGGCCTAAAGGCAACTAAAAAAAGGCCTTTTATTTTTAAAAATAATATTTTATTTAAAATTTATTCTTCTTGCTTTTTGAGATGCAAAAATATTAATTAAAGTTTTATATTCAAGTTTTGCTGTCATATATTTTTTGATTGATAGTATTACTAACTCATTTAATCTTTCTTGTGATATAATTGATCTTAGAAATTTTTTGAATATACTAGCCATCTTCTATCATGTGTCTCCCCATTTGCTAATTTACGAATATAGTGTATAGTGGAAAAATGTCTAGACGTCTTTGGGAAAATCTAAATTATTATTTCTAATAAGACCTTTTTTCTACTAATAAGTCTCTTAGTTTTGTATAAATATTATTCCATTGATTTGGATTATAAATATTCATAACATTATAATTACTTGTTTCATTAAGATTTCATGGTCTAATTTTTTTGATTCTTCATCATCTATTGTCATATTACATGTTTGACTAGAATTGTGCATATTTGCATTAGTATCTTTTTTTTTTGTATTATATTATCATCTTCTAATTCATTGGGAGTAATTATTAGTTTATTTATTAAATTTCCACCTATATTTTTTGTTACATTTTTTTTTGTTACTCATAACGAATTCATCAAGAGATCCTTTTTGAGATATTTTTTTTTTATAGGGGAAGGGGAAGGGGAACTTGAACCTTGACCTTGTAAAGATAAAGAGATTCCATTAATTCATCTTTTTTTTTTTTTTTGAGCTTTTTCATATCCTCCCGGTTGTTTTCTACTTGTCATACAATCAAATATTAACTAAACAATCACAAATAATGAAATAATCACACACAATCTATATTAAATATAATAAGAACTTTAAATAAAAAATTTAAAGCGTCAAATAATAACACCTGATTTGTTTTTATTTTCAATTTCCCGTGAAATCTAATTATCACCGTAGCAGAAGCCAAAACAACACCTCAGCCAACAAAAACTAATACCAAAGTGAAGTCTCTTTTACTGTGGGGAGAGGAGAGAGAGAGGTCCCTCAGCCTTTGTTGGCTAGCGAGAGAGAGAGACAGAGGGGGATCTGTTTTGCCTCTTGGCCTTTCCAGATTATTTTACCATGGAGAGAAGAGCGAGAAAGGAGAAACGAAAGAGAAACATAAGGATAAGGATTAAGGAGGCGTGAGTGGTTAGAAGAATAGGTTGAGAAGTGTGATATAAAAATATCTCTAACAACTATACATCACTTTTATAGATATATATATATATTTTTTAATAATTTTTCTGGTACATGGGTTGAAGAAATAAGCCCAAACTGTCTAATTTAAATCTAACTTTTAACTTTTTTATTGGGCTTCAATTTTTATAAAATTGAATTTTTATATTGGATTAGTGGTCATAATTATAAATTATGGGGCCTAGTTAAAAATTGGGGCATAAAGCCTGGGCGTCGCTGGCCTTACAATAGGGCAGGCCCTGGCTTCGCTTTGCTGTTTGGTGGAGAAATTTGAATATGTTCTGTGTAGTAATGTTATGGACTCTGCAATTTTTTAAAATGAAATTTTGGAATAGTGTGTATACATGCATTTGCATGCATATAGTCCACACTTTTACTTCGCTTTGCTGTTTGGTGGAGAAATTTGAATCTGTTCTGTGTAGTAACGTTATGGACTTTGTAATTTTGAGTAATGCTCACTTTGACTTATAAGCATACTGGAACTATTTCCATTTAACAAGAGTTCTATATTTTAGATGCACAATTGTTGTTTGGAATAACTTGATGTAGCCTTGCTTGCTTCTTCAAAAAAAATTGAGTGACAGTAGTGAAGGAGCTATCAGTACACTTTATTTTTTCCTCTTTCGTAGGAGCCTTACCACCCAATTCTGTCGAATATTGTTGTATATGAGTTTCTGGGATTGAAGCTATCTGGATTGAGTCCAGTCTGCCATGCTTGTGAAAGAATGAATTTCAGATTTTTCCTTCTCTTATTGGCTCACTTCTTATCAAAATGTTGTTCACTACTTGATCCTATCAAAATGTTGTTAACTGCTACATTATTTTTGGTAATTTCTGCATTTCTCGATTTGGTATGTTGTCTTCCTTTTTCCCCTCAAAGCATTAACCTATTTTTCATATTGGGGAATGTAGTGGCATTTAAATCTAGGGAGGACCATCGAAAGCAGATGGAATTGGAAGAAGCGCGTAAGGCTGGGCTTGCACCAGCTGAAGTTGATGAGGATGGAAAAGAAATCAACCCTCATATTCCTCAGTATATGTCATCTGCACCTTGGTATCTCAATGCAGAGAGACCGGTACGTTTCTGTTCTTCAAGTTGTGTGGTATACTTTCACTTGTTACAATTGCCGGAGCCTGAAAATTTCTGATTTGGTTTTGCTTTTCAGAGTTTAAAACATCAAAGGAAATGGAAACTAGAACCCAATTTTACAAAGTCATGGTATGACAGAGGTGCAAAAATATTTCATGCTGACAAGTACAGGCCGGGTGCATGTGAAAAGTAAATGAAAATTTCCTTGCTCTTTTTCATGGTCTCCTCACTTGTATGGCTGTTCTTCAAAACACCTTTGTAATGTTATGTGGTTGTTTTTGTTATAATGCAGTATGACGAGATGATTTTACAATGTTGAATCAACAACTGAAAAAGAAAACAGAAGTGTATTTATTGTGGCTAGGGGCATGTTTTAGTATCTAGCAGTACATGCTAAATTGAATGCATTTGAAACTGTATAAACAAATCATGAGACCTGCTACATCCTACAACGTAGGTTATTCCATATGTGATGTCTCTTAGTAGTGGGAAAACTCAATTTCGATTAGGGGAAAAAGGCATATACTTCTGGCTTTTCATAATTGTAAGGCCCTTGTGTTAGTTAGGCAATTTGCCACATTATCTCTCTCTCTCTCTCTCTCTCTTCCCAGCCTGCTCTCCTCCCCCCACATATGTCTCTCTGCAAGCCCTCATGTGGGTCTGTGTCTTTGTCTCGTGTTGTCCTTTTAGGAAGATCAAAATTGGACCTCTTGCTACTGCTTTGGTGCAGCCAAACAAAATCAAGCCAAGCCGATATATGGAAATGTGTTTTACTATATGCGTTTTGACTTCATTATAATTTTCCTTGGAAATTGAATATATGAGTTTGACATTGTTGAAATGCACTCAGCATATGGAAAAAACTTTTATGACTACTTGTGATTGTGCTTCTTATGTGCTTTGCTATAGCTGTGGAGCAATGTCACACAATGCAAAGTCATGCACGGAAAGACCCCGCAAAATGGGTGTAAAGTGGACAAACAAGAGCATTGCACCAGATGAGAAGGTAGAGAGCTTTGAGCTGGATTATGATGGAAAACGTGACCGTTGGAATGGCTATGATGCAGCAACCTAGGTCCATGTGATTGAAAGGTATGAAGCAAGGGATGAAGCTAGAAAGAAATACTTGAAAGAACAACAGCTTAAGAAGTTAGAGGAGAAAAACAGTAACCAAAATGGAGAAGATGGGGTCGGTGACGATGAAGACAATGAGGATGATCTTAAAGTAGATGAAGCCAAGGTTGATGAGAGCAAACAGATGGACTTTGCGAAGGTTGAGAAGCGTGTTCGCACAACTGGTGGTGGAAGTACTGGGACTGTTTAGGTGAGTTTTTGTTGTCTTGTCATCTCTACATGTTTAATTTGTTCAAAAATATACTTTGGGCTACAGGGTAGGGGAGGGAGGGGATAGTGTGGTACTTTTGAAATAATATTGATGATCAAGCAGTCTTCCATGGAAGTGCTTGTTGGTCTAGCAAAGTTACACTCTCAATTGTGTTTTTTATGTTTGAAAAATCAGTTGTTATATCTTCCTTTTTCCTTTTTTGTCAGGAACTTGCGTATTCGAGAGGATACAGCAAAATACCTTCTTAATCTTGATGTCAACTCCGCGCACTATGATCTCAAAACACGGTCCATGCGTGAGGATCCTCTTCCTGATATGGATCCAAATGAGAAGTTCTATACAGTGAGTATCCACAAACTTTCCATTACATTGTGTGGTTCAATTGCATAGTTATTTAAATTAGATTTGGGATGCTGATTTATTTCCTTCGCTATTACAGGGAGATAATGATAACAGAGTAAGTGGTCAAGCTTTAGAGTTCAAGCAGCTTAACATCCATGCTTGGGAAGCATTTGAGAAGGGACATGATGTTCACATGCAAGCAGCTCCGTCACAAGCTGAATTGCTTTATACAAATTACAAGATCAATAAGGAGAAATTGAAGTCCCAGACAAAGGATACTATTATGGAGAAGTATGGCAGTGCAGCTACTGAAGAAGCTCTTCCAAAAGAGCTTTTACTGGGACAAAGTGAAAGAGAGGTTGAATATGACCGTGCTGGTCGGATTGTAAAGGGCCAGGTAAATATTTTACTTTTCCAAATGATTCACTTCTCTGGAAGAAAACAACCAAAAATTTTGATGGAACATGTTATCTTCAAGTCTTTTTGAAAAATTAGCAGATACATGTTACCTGAATGCATAGTCATGAGAATTAAAATTTTGTGCATCTGCATAACACTCCCAATTTTACTTAGTTGGGGCTTACCCTCATAAGACGAAACAACAGATACCTTTCACCTGAATGCTTAAGATATGGAACCATTGTTTTCTAAACAATTTTCCAAACCATGACATTGGTACTTGCTTTAGCTTAGGACTCTCTCTCTCTCTCTCTCTCTCTCTCAAACACACACACACACACATACAGATAGAAAAGTCTTATGGGATCTTTTGATGATTTCTGGGATATGCCTTCAAATCAAATATGAGAGAATGATATGTTATTAAATTTTCTGCAGTTATTCTTGTTGTTTATCTAGATAGCCAACATTCTGAATGTTATGCTTTATGCAGGAGACATCCCTTCCTAGGAGCAAGTACGAAGAAGACGTGTACACTAACAACCACACAAGTGTCTGGGGTTCATGTTGGAAGGATCATCAATGGGGTTATAAGTGCTGCAAACAAACAATCCGAAACAGCTATTGTACCGGTAGTGCTGGAATTGAAGCTGCTGAAGCTGCAGCTGATCTTATGAAGGCTAATATTGCTCGTAAAGAGGCTACTGAAGGTTTGTGTTCTCTGTATCAAATATGACTTTTTTAGACTCAAACTTAATCAGTGGAAACTTTTTATATTGAAGATTGATTTACTTGTGGTCCCAAAACATGGATACGCAACACTAGAATATCAGAATGGTGAAAAATATTCCCAAAAAGTGAACAGAAACTTGTAACATTCAGAGTGATGAATTAAAAATCGACAGGGATTTAGCTTACTGGACCCACCCAGCCAATGTAGGGCCAAAGCCGCACAACATTAGTTAAACAGACAGAATGTCGGTTAAATGTCGAAAATCAATAAAAAAATAACTTTTTTTGTAATGAATTTTGTGCACATTCTGTTTACAGTCTGACATAAACAAAATTAACTTGTTGATTTACGCTCTTTGTACATGACTTTCATCTGTGAGTCTATATTTTGAACTAGATGGTGTTTTTTTTCTTTGATGGGTTTTGCCAATATTATGCTCTTAACATGGCACGGCTAATTCTTTCCGCTAATATCTTTATTCAGCACTTGCTGATATCCAGTTGAAGTCCAAGTGGTTGTTTGGTACTTAATGGCTGTGTGAGGCTGATATTGTTATATTCCTGTTAATTTCTCATTGATTGGTTTGTCAGTATGTTTATTAATTGACAATCTTGTTGATTGAACTTCATTATGTTATTGATTATACAGTGATGTTTCTATCTGCCTCTTAACATAAAGTGATAATATATCTGCATTATTTTGGGTCTGACAACGTTATTACAAAAGCAGATATGTCTTCGCCAACTGAGGAGAAGAAGCTTGCTACCTGGGGAACTGATGTACCCAACGATTTGGTTCTAGACCAGAGAAAATTGGCTGAAGCATTGAAAAAGGTATATATGAGTTGTAGTTTGTCATTCTTTTTCTTCTTGTACCGTTCCATTCCTACCCCCCCCCCTTCCTTTTCTCTTCTTCCCCTCTTCCTGCTCTCTCGATGCACATTTTTCTTTAGTAGCAAGTTTGGGGAGGTGTTGGTTTGAGTTAGTAATGATCTTTCACTTCAAAACTTGCACAGATTGAAGCTGCGTCTCTGTTAATTGGCTATATTGATGCTTGAAAAAGGATCTTTAGAAAAAAATATAGACCTTATAGTGAGTTCATTATTTTTTTCAATTAGAAGATCAGATATACGATCAATAGATACGGGGTTGACTTAGGCTTACTTTCGAGGCATGTACTCTTTCAGATATGTTGTCATAGCGTATCTGTTTTTAACATCTTGTAATATGGCATAGTATGGATTCTGTTTGTTTGGTCTGAACAGGAGGATGAACGGAGGAGAGAAGAGAGAGATGAGAGGAAGCGCAAATACAATGTCAAGTACAATGATGAGGTTTGTCTGCTTTTCCCTCATCATCAATATTTTATGCCAAGATTTGACTGGCAGACTATGGTGTACTTGTTCTTGTGCCGTTTATAACCATCTGCGTGTCTTTTGCAGGTTACTCCTGAGGAGATGGAGGCTTACAGGATGAAGAAAATGCACCATGATGATCCAATTAAGGACTTGCTGCACTGAGTTGACTGTCAGCTTCCTCCCCCTTGGGCAATAAGAAAATATATACACTGTACAAAGATTTTACTGTACATTATCAAACATTCCTCTCTTATATTCTAGCATCAAAGCTTAAACTTACATCAAACAGGAAAAAGAAATATATGACAATATCATAAGAAAGAAGCAACTGCCTTGAACTACAAGTGACGGTTCAACATCTCCTGAAGCTGCATCTCTGCCCGGAATCTAGCAATAAACTCCTCAGCTCTCTCGTTGATTCCGTGCATTTGTGGTGATGCCAACATCAATGATTCCCATAATTCATCTGCTGAACGGTTCTTTTCAATATTATCATCTTCCTCTGCAGTTTGCTGATTAATGAGCTCGATTTTATTTGCACTTGTCGAACAATTGTCTATAGCTGCTTTGCTTGCTGTGGTCTCGTTCACCGCTGGTACAGGTTCTACAAAAAGCTGATCGATGTATACAGGCTTAGATCTCTTTTGGAGGAGATAACCGTGATGGTGGTAGCCAAGTGTATGGGCTGGTTGGAAGGTCCCTATTTGACGTCTAAGTTGGGATTTATGGGATGTGAAAGGCCAGAAAACTGTTTTGCTTGTATTGTTAATCGGGTTCTTTGGTTTCTTGATGAGTTTGGATCTGTTAAGCTTGTTCAGGTTCCTTTGGAGCTTGGTGGTGAAGACCTTCCATACCTTTCTAGCCAGCGAAAGCCGCCTCAAGTTCAACCAAGACATGAGAGAGAGAGAGAGAAGAGATCGTAGTTTGCTCAGTAGTACTGCCGTGGAAGAAGAGAGCATGAGAATGTTTCTTTATAGAATGGCGAGTTGGATTCATTGTGTAAAATTTCTTATTATATTCGGTTAAGTGTAGTTAAGCTACCTAGTTGTTACGCTGAATATTTGACGCAGAAACCATGTTTGATATGACTCTCCATTCCTAGTTTAATATGTGAGGATAACTATGGGGACCCCTGATGACCTGCTTTCTCGTTCTCATATTTGTATGCGCAAACCTGGTTTGGGTTCGGACCTAGGTGGCTTGTTACACCAAGACTAGAAAAAATTACTGAAAACGGTCCTTCTGTTGGTTGATCTTAGAAAATAGATTTGATCGGCTCCATAACCTGTCCCTCACGGTGAATATGAATCCAGGGCCTTTAAATGGAGTGGTCTTTGGAAAAAGAAACAGTCCAAGCACAAAAGCCTTGAGAATGGGTCTCGTATTAGTTTGCAAGATACACTATAACAAATGGATATGGAAGTTCATGGATACCCCTCTCACGCCAACTTGGTGTAATACGTGTGAGGCGAGATGCTTTGGCTTTTCAAATTCCCAACTTGTAAGATTCTGCAGTAGCTTAAAAATTAAGTAGAGCCCATGCCCACCAGTCAAAATTCATTCCAAGACTAAAAAAACAATACTCCACCCATTTTCCACTATACGTCTATTGGGTCAGCAAACCCGCCACATTATCAACATAATACACTTGGTTCGACCCTACCATAATCAGTGACAATCTGACTAGAACGACAAACCGTAGACTTCAATTAGTTCCTGTCTTCAACCAGCCCCCTCAACACCATTGCCATAAAACTTCCCAAGCAAAAGAATAAGTTACATGTGTAAGGTTCCAAGGTCCAACCAAAGTTATTTGAAAGGTTGCATATATTCCATATAACTAATCAGAAATGAGGTTACAATCAGATGGTAAGATAGCCTTAAAACTCTCTTGGTGGATTTGAGTTGAGAGTTGAGACCCAGTCCTCCGGTAGCAACTGTGTAAGACTGACCTTTGCTACCCAATGAGCTGCTCAAGATTGATAGCTCAGGATCATCTATAAACACCAAATATTATTGAACAAAGGTTGGTTTGAGACACTCTTTCACATTACAAATCTGCAAGTTCAAGCCCAAGTTTGTTGGCACCAGACCTACCCACAAAGAGAGGTCCATTTCCAAGCCTTAGTGAGTAGTAAATGGCTAAACCCAGCCACAGCTAGAAACAACTTTTCATGATTTCCTGTGTGTACATTAAGCTCAGAGAGACGCTGGTCAAGTGGTGGGCACATTGCAGAGGTGTTAGCACCACGTAAAAGATGCTTTAACCAACAACCACCACTGCAAGGTGGCACATATCAATGGACATCACGACACTCCCCTTCATGCAAAAGAAAACAAACTCCATTCCACTACTTTCCAAAACTTTCTTCACTATATATTTGGCTCTAGGGCTCAAGCCATTTCATCACCTACAAGAAGGCTAAACCATGGCCACTCAGCTGCTTTTGGTTCTCTCCCTCTCTCTTCTTGTATCAGTGGGAATTGGGCAACAATCAACCCAACTTAGGGAGGCATGGCAATGCCATCTTCAATGACTATTGGCAGGCCAGCCCTCTCAGAGCATTGGATCAGAGGGTGGTGTCACCGGGTTGTTGGACGAGAATGAGGACCAGTTCCAGTGCACCGAGTTGTGCCATTGAATTTCACTGTGCTCTCATTTGCCTAACTTCCACCCTTTCCCTCTCCTGGTGTACATTGAGCAAGGTAATTAGAGAGAGACAAATTCATTTCTTACCGTTAAACACCAACTGCCTTAAGTTCAAGACGTTAGAGAGTTTGTAACATAAAGATTTATATAATTTAACATGCCTTGCACGTGAGTAAAATTTGGATCCAAACACATGCAAGTCTTGTAATTGTGAGGATGACAGCGAAATTTGAACACCTCCATATCTAACATAAATACTTGTATACTTCAACACGAATGCCGTGATAATTCTAAAAACACACTCCGATATATGAAAACAAAATTCAGGTGAGGGCTATGTAGGGATAACCAGCCCAGGATGTGCAGAGACATACCATTCGCAGGAATCTCAGAATGACTGGGAGGGCCGAGAAGAAGAGCAGGAACGAGAAGGGAGAAGCAGAATAGATCAGCACCAGGGGCGGAGCTACACTTACCTTGCCCCCACTCAATTTTTTTGTACAAACATTTTTTTATATAAATTTTAATATATTCTAAATTTGCCCCCACAAAAATTTTCATACATATTAATTTACTTAACAATTTCTAACATTAAGATTAAATTTTTTTAATCGATTAAGTAAACTTGATCATTGGTCATTTAGTTGAATCTCTCAACAAGTGTTCAAGAAATTTTGGAGCTTTTCGGTCTCTCCCTATATCAAGCCCCCTTACTCTCACTTTTGTAAATTTTGATAAATTAAATGATTATATTATTATGCAATATTTCTATAATATAAAAATTAGCCAATTAAATGGTAAAGGTAAGGTATATGTTACTCCATTTTGACTTAAATTTCAAAGATTCAAGCCTCAAAAAAAAAAAAAAAATACTCTCACATGCAAGATAAGAGTATAAGACATACATATTACTCCAGACCTTGCAATAGCAGAAGCCACACATAAGGCCACCTCTTTTAATTTATTATTAGTTCAAAATTTTAAATTTTAGTTTCCTTAAAAAAATGTTACTAACATATAATTTTTTTTTTTGATCATATACTAACATAAAATTGAAAGATCTAATTTGATAATCTAATATATTGTCATTGTTAGAATTAGCACAGGGTATCAACATTAAATGCATTTTATTTGTTAATCTAACGGTAGTAATGCATTAACTTTTCAAATTTAGTACATATAGTATTGTTGTTGCTAAACTCTTTAACCCCACTACCTAAGTTTCTGGCTCTTGATTAGCACCAGAGGGTGCATCGTATTCACCGAGGACACATCTTGGCCATTCCAGCCGGTGCAACCCACTGGTGCTACAATGATGGAAATGAAGACCTTGTTGTCATTGCTGTCAACGACCTCAACAACCCTGCCAACCAACTTGACCAGAAACATAGGGTAATTTATCCCCCTGATCTCTACAACATCTCAAAATTTAACACAATAGCATGCATGCACCATTATACAGTTATAGTATACATAGACAAGTTATTTTTGGCTTATTAACCACTTAAAAGAATGTGTTTCCTGTATGCATCCAACGTAAAAATTCAAATTTCAATTAGTTTTCCTTGAAACCATCTACAAAAACCCAAAGTGAATTATAGAAAATCGAAGAACATTTTAGCATATCACGATTGTTTCAGAATTGAAAATAATTTTTGTTTCTTAACTAACCAGAATTATTCACCCAAAACGAAAATTTTGATCCTTACAAGCAACTAAGATGTCATCACTGGAGTAATGTCCTAACTCCTAACTAGTGGTTTGTTGTCTTGGGCATTTTACCTTGCTGGTGTACCACCAAGGAGAGGACAGCAGCAACTGCACCAAGAGCAGGGCAGGCAGACATTCGCAAACATCTTCCGTGGCTTCGACAAGGAATTGTTGACCAAGGCCTTTAACATTCCTAGAGAAATTGTGAGGAAGATGCAGCAAGAGGATGACAGAGGACTCATCGTTAATGTTCAAGAAGGGATGAGCGTGATCAGACCTGATGAAGGATGAGAAAAGCAAGGGGAGAGGCAAGAGAGAGGAGAGTACCGGGCAGCAAATGGCTTGGAAGAAACTTTGTGTTCAATGAAGGTCCGCACAAACATTGACAATCGAAAAGAAGCTGATATTTATTCTAGGCAAGCTGGCAGATTAAACATTGTCAATGAGCACAAACTTCCCATCCTTAGATTCTTATACATGAGCAGAGAGGCAAGCTCTTCCTGGTAATTTATGCCACATGCTAATATACCGTTTCGTGATGCTTTTTCTAAGTAAATTTTAAACAAAAATAATTTTGGCCAAAACTAAAAACATATTAATTACTATTTTATAAAAGTGATCTGTATAGATCTTAACAGATGAATAATAGACTTATATGTCTACGTGTATACTACTATAATGTGATTAAGTTCAAAAGATAAAGATGATTACCATGTACCATTTGTAAGTTGTAACCAAATGATTTAGCTTAATCTTTGTCGGTACTTTATGGTGCAGGATGCATTATTCACACCACACTGGTCAATGAACGCTCACACTGTTGTCCACATGACTGGAGGCGATGACCAAGTGCAGGTCATCGGACACAATGGCCAAAGAGTGATGAATGATAGGGTGAAACAAAGCGATCTGTTTGTGAATTGTGACACCCCAATACTTTGCCTCCACAGCCAAGGCCGGAAGGAATGGCTTCGAGTGGGTGTCAATCAAGACGACTAGCTTACCCATGAAGAGCCCTCTTGCTGGTTACACTTTAGTTTTCATTAGGGCCATGCCCCTTCAAGTCATTACAAATTTGTATCAAGTCTCTCCAGATGAAGCTCAAAACCTAAAGCTAAACAGGGGAGGCCAAACCTTCCTGCTATCCCCACAGATGAGGTCTCAGTAAATGGGCTCTGTATTATATATCCATACCACAACTACAACGGTCACCCCTACAAAAATGTAGTTCAAAAACTCAAGTTTTTGCATGCTTGATGCAGAGAATAAAATGCAGGACTGAGGTCCCTAATCATATCAGTAAGATTCGGCCTCTATTTTTCCTTTAGCTTCCAGTGTTCAAGGTTTCCATTGTTTACTTCATTTCTATTGAATTCTCCTTTTTATGAAATGGAATTTGGGATGACTTAAGTAATTCCAATAGTATTTCCTAGAATTATTTATCAAAAGTGTTTGGTTAGAAACACACTGTTATTGAACAAGTAGTGAATGTTCAAAAAACATACTTAAATAAAAAAGTTTAGATTATAAACAAAAACTTGAGTTAAGTAGCCTGTCTATTGTTTAGGTAACTAAACAAAACCGAATGTTATTGATTATAACTCTTTCACAATGCTATGTTTAATCAAAATTCTATAGCAAATCTCCCATCCAAAATGAAGTAGAACTAAACCTCAGACATGATAATTATCAGGCACACCATATAATCAAGCCTAATTTTCCTTTTACAAGAGTGCAATTCAAATGATATGTACACATGTTGTAAATTACAATTAAACTGTCTACTATTGTTTCATGTCTATAAAAGAACAAGGAAAAGAACTGGAACAGGAAAGGGGCTTACAATTGAACAAAACGAAGAGGAAAAGGTCGCTTAATCGATAACGTATAACCTTGAGACGCCGCTGAACTTGAAGTGGTGCTGTTCTGCTTGCCATAAATCAACAAATTAATCTGTGTAAAATAAATAATCTGAAACATTTATCCTACAATTTATTTCTCTCTTATTTTCTGTGTTCATACTTCCTTTAGGCTTAGGATTTTTGAATTACTTGAGAGAGAGAGAGAATACTAACCGACGGTCGCAGAGGTGAGCGGCAACGGATCCGCATGGGAGTGTATTTGAGAGAGATAAAGAGAGAGGGATGGATTTTGAGTGTGTTTGTGTGCGAGTAACAGATGAGAGTGAGAGAGTGTCTGTGGAGGTTAGCAAAAAGAGAAGACGAAGCGAAAGAGAACTTTCCGGAAGAAGAAGAGGAGAGAGTTTGCCGAAGCAGAGGGTTAATTGGATCTAAACTTAATTCAATGTATTTTACATAAGGAAGAAATCATATTTATCAATAGTGACGAGTTAAATCTCCTCAAAAAAGATTTCCGTTACTACTTTGAAAAAATTAATTACATTTTAAGCTAGTGATTATTTTTGTTGAACAAACTTTCATAGTTAAAAAAAATTGTAAGGGCAATTCCAACCCAACTATCTATTTTATTTACTCAAAATATATTCAAATATTTTATTTTTTATTTTAGAGAGTTAGTTTTACAAATTCATTTCAATCACGCTCTCTATTTTAATTAACTACTTCAACTAACTTTCGAAAAAACTAGGATTCCAACCCTGATTCCAACTTTTATTAATAATTAATTTATATAAATTATAAATTACATACCATATTATTATTTTATTATTCTTAAAATCCAAGCCACTTTTATTTTTTTTGTCATTAAAACCCAACAACTTCAAATGACAAATGACATATTATATTATTGTTAATTTTAAAACCTATCTCATTCACGTCTGGCTTCTTGCGCCTCCACCCTCCATTGGAGCACACCACTTCTAGCTATGGGTGGAAGTATCAACTCCCTTCGACTTCGAAGACTTTGACTTCTTCAACTCTCTCTGTGTTTGTCTCTCCTATTGAAATTTCTTAGGATTTCTAATTTCGAATCTCTCATAGTCTCACTTGAGATTGAGACCCAATATAGTTCTCGACGTAGAGAGGACGAGGGAGTTTCGTTTTGGGTAGAGAGAGATTCATACCTGGGTGAACAAAGGTCAATCATAAAATTTGGCGCAAAGGAGCCTCGCTCGCCAAAAGTAGTATGTGAAAATGGGGGAAGATAAAATATCTAGAGGTATAGAGGGTCGGTTGGAGTGAAATTTTTGGGATTGACTCTTCAAAATAACTAAAAAAAATGGTTTTTACAAAGTACATTAGAGCTATTCTAAGGACAAAAAATACCAATTTTGGGGGATTATATATGATTTTTTTAGCATCCGTTTGAAATTAATTATGATTTTTATTGTAATTAACCCTTCAAAATTATATTTTAAGAGTACTGATGCAAAACCTCGCAAAAAAAAAAGAGTTTTGTCAAGACAGACCTTTTCTCATGGTAATGATAGTGATCTAATAAATCTCGAATCTAATTTAATATAATCATTGAATTAGTCATGAATTCTATTTTTTAAATCAATGGTCACATCAAATTAAAATTTTAAATTAAGTCTAAATAATATTTTTTTTCTAAAACTTATCACAGGAAATAGAACTTTGTGGCATTTTTCTCTCCCTTATGCTACCCTACTGAATTTTAGCCACAAAAACAATTTTTTTAGGTAAAGTTATCTGCACATTTTATAACCTACGAAAACTAAATTTTCTCAGTAAAAATAGTTGCTAACTAAATTAATTTCTTCGATGAATATAATTTTTTTTTTTTTTGTAGTGGATGATTATGGTAATGGTGTCAATGGCACCACGATGTTATGATTATATTTAAGCTTGTCAAAAGATTAAATTTGGGAAAATTTCATCCACACCCATTGCAGTAAGACATAAATTCAATAACACTCTCTTTCAGTTCTAAAATTTCACTGCACCCCTTCTGGTTTATACTTTCAAATCAATGACACTTCTTTAACGATAATTTTTGACTTTGTCAGTAAATAAAGTAATGATTTAACTAAATATTTTGTAACAATGCCAAAATTACCTTTTGTTATGTAAATAGACTAAAATGCTCTCAATCTTTTTTCCATTATATATGCACTAGTTAGCTTGTAAGCGTGATTTCTATAATTATATTATACCAAAAAAAATTCACTTTAAGGCGTTGCATGATAACTTTGTTATAATATTAGTCATTATATTATCACTTATTTGGTTACATAATCAAGTTTTTATAATTTTTATAGTTAAAAATAATTGTTTTATAATAAAAATTACAATCGATAAAATCCATGTCAAAATCTCATTCATTTTCTAACTTTGCTACTATCATCTATTCTCCAAAACGTCATTCGACCACTCTTCATACATCATCATTCATATAAAATTTAAAAATTATTTGATAAAATTTAAATATTAATTGAATGTTAATTTGATCAAATTAAATATTAAATTAGTATTAATTAGATAAAATTTAATGTTAATTGAGTAAATTTAATTGTTCATTTGGTGTTAAATTAATAAAATTTAATATTCTATTTAATATATTAAATTTTAATTATGATTTGATGAAATTAAATAGTAATTTAATATTAAATTAAAGAAATAATATTAATTTGACAAAATGAAATATTAAATTAATATAACTAAATTCTAATTTGATAAAATTAAATATCAATTTCGTTTTGATTTGATGAGATAGAATGTTAATTTAGTTTAAATTAAATAAAGAAACATTAATTTGATAAAATTAAATAGAAAAAATTTCAGTCACATCCCTTCTAGTTTATCATATCTTCACAGATACCCTCTCTATTTTCTGAATCTTCAATGACACCCTCTGTCAGATTAAAGGTGTTAATTAGAATGCAATTTTACAAATTTTTTAATGATATATTTTTAAAATCTTTGTACGTATTAAAATTAGGATCGATTAAAATTTAATTCGAGTTAATTAAAATTTATTTTTTATATATTATAATTTAAGTCAATTAAAAATTATATTTTTTTACGTATTAAAATTTGAGTTAATTAAAATTCTATTCGAGGCTCAAATTAAATTTTAATCAACTTGCATTAAATTTTAATATGCCTGATTTTTGATACATACAAAAAATATAAATTTTAATTAACTCAAATTTTAATACATAAAAAATAAATTTTAATCAACTTGAATCGAATTTTAATAAATTAAAAAATATAAATTTTAATTGGGGCTAACAACTCAAATTGACTAGAATTTTAGTACGTTAAAAAATTTTAATAGGCTCAAATTTTAATACGTAAAAAAAATAAAATTTAATCAGCTCGAATCAAATTTTAATATGTAGAAACAAAAAATTTAATCAGCTTGAATTTTAATATGTAGAACAATAAATTTTAATTGGCTTGAATTTTAATCGAATTTTATATAGAAAGATTATTTGGAGTTTTAGGGACAATTTTGATATTTTAGATAATTTATTTTTATTATAAATAGTGCTTTAATGGTAGGGGTGTTAGTAATGTTTAAATATAAACTAGAAATGATGTCAGTTATGTTTTTAATAATAGATGGGGTATCTTTAAAGAAATAATAAAATAGAAGAGGTGTGGCTGAAATTTTTCTAATTAAATATTAAATTGATCAACCTAAAGGCTAATATAATAGAATTAAAAATGAGTGTATTGAAATTCAAAATTGAGAGTGAGTATTGTTAAAGTTAGGTCTATTTACACTAGGTGTTGTCAAAGTTAGGTTTATTTATAAGGGTGTGTGAATAAAATTTATCCTATAAAATACTAAGGAGTATTTCTGTAAATCAATCATCGTCGTTAATGTAGTAACCCGACAATCACTGACAGGGAATGCCAATGAAGTTTTAGAATTGAAAAAGGGTGTTATTGCATTTAGACCTAATTAGTGGGGTGTGGATGAAATTTTCTCATTAAATTTTGATCCAAATCTAATCTGACAAACAAAATAATTAATTGGGTTTGAGTTATTTTTTTGATCGATTATCCAAATTCGAATTTAAATTTGTTATACCATTTTCCACCAGTTCAGATATATAGATACTAGTTATTGTCTGTGCTTGAAGACACTATACAACAAACAAAAAATCTTAATCAATTGTCTAAATTCAAAAGGATTGGCCTAAAAATATTCATATCAATTCTTCTTTTAAATGATTCAAAATATATCATCAACCATATCTTCTATATTAATGAAACTATCATAAAAGTACATAAAAACTCCTCAAAACAATATTATATATGCAAATGTCTTTGGGAAAAAAATAAATACTAACATAATCCAATGAAATTTACAAGTAATAAATAAAATCTTACTCATTTATAAGACTTGCGAATTTATCACCTCTACTTCCACTTAACCTAATAATACAACATAATTATAAACTCAACCATCATATTTTCAATCCACCTTTATTCCCATGCAATAAGTACCTCAAGCAAAAATAATAATAATAATAATAATAAAACATAATTAAATTCGCAATCTTTAAGTGATAAATAAAAACAATTAAATTTTGCTCATTTATAAAATGGACGAATTTATTACTACTATCACCATGCAGCCCCAAATGACACAATATAAAATTTAATCACCAAATATTCAATCTTCCACATATAAATATATATAGAAACACACATACACACATTTTTTTTTAGTTACCAATAAACCCTTCTAACCAATAAACTGTTTTTATTAGAAATACAATAATTCAAGTTTTTAAAATAAAATAATAATACATTAATATTTAATTAAAAAAAGGAAATCACGGGCAGTTTTGACAATATTACACAGACCCCTTGACATTTTATAAATAACATGGAGACCTTCTGAGATTTGAAATTCATTGCACAGAGACACTTTTTGTCTCCTTTCCGTCAATGTTGCTAACAAAAATTGATAATTTCATCCAAAAAAATTTATTATTTTTACAATTGTCCTTCTCCAAATTTAGTACCAAAAAAATTATAAATTTAATGAAATTAAATAAAGTTTGATTTAGTACCCCAAAAATTGATATAATTTAGTACTCCAAAAAATTGATTAAATGAATTTCAATATTTTGATAACAATAAAAATTAATTTGACAATAGTTCAACAAAGTTGAATATAAATTAGATAAAATTAAATGTTAATTTTGATAAAATTATATATTAATTTACAATTTAAGGTTAATTTCGTGTTAAATATTATTTGGTGTTTATAGTCAATGTAATATTTTTATTTACAAATTAAGTAAGTGACAAAATACATGTCGTCAGATATAAAAACTTTGAATTAATTTTATGGAATGAATAATTGTATAACATGTAATTTCATCTATTTTATGAAATAAATAATAACAAATACAACACAGGAAAAAAAAAGATAATAATATGATAGAAAGAGATATATGAGAGATGACTGCGAAAAGTTTAAAACAAATAATTTAACTATTTTATTATATAGATACTCATAAACGATTTAATTATGACTTGATCCAAACTACATATAAATTTAAACAACTTTATAATGAAGTCGACAAATTATTTGATGAAATAAAGTTGAATTTAACTCTAATTGGGTAAAACTTAGTTTTAATAAGTTATTCCGATTGAATTTCCACCTTTGTCGAATTCACATATGAACTAAGAAAACAAAACTCAGCACAGCAAAAAACGACTTTCATGAGTTCAATGATTCATGTTGTATTGAGTTATAATCAAGTATAAGTTATATTGTGTTAAAATTTGTTCAATTATACGTGATTCATTTATAATCCTTCATAATTTTGTATAATATCGTTTATATATCATGTTCGTATCATATATAAATAATATTTAACAATTTCAATTCGTATTTAATCCAGTCCTTGCAACTCATTAATTTAATAGGTCTAATGAACCTATCCATTTATTGTCCCAACATGCTAAGTGAGTTATTGTGAATTCAATTAATCAATATTAGTAAAAGGGAACGTCTTTTTTACGTTTTTAAAATTTTTAACTTAGAAAAGGAAAACAGTGGCTCATATTGTTTAAATCTAACGGCTTATCTTATTATTTTTATTTTTATTTTTATTTTTTAACAACAATAATTTTTTTTTATTTATATTTAAGCTTTTAGCTACAATAAATATTCCCTCCAACAATAAATATTTTAATCACTCATATTTTTTAACTACGATAAATATTTAAGAGAATTATATCCAGACTCTCTGAAATTTATCATTTAATCACTCAGACTCTCTGATATTTGAAATATTACACACAAACCCCCTGAAGTTTGTACGCGCGTAATACTTAGACCTCTATCATCAATGTTTATTAGTATATCCATTAGTAAATTACATCCAAACCTCCTAAAATTTGTAGGCGTGTAATACTTAAACCCCTCAAATTAAAAATGTTATAATTAGACTAAAAATACTTCAATCAAATATAGAATATCAAATATTTTAAATTTTACAACTAAAATTCATGTTCTATTATGACATTTATTAAAATAAAAATCTAATTTTTTCTTAAAAAATATACAATTATACTATCTATTATAATATAAGTATTTATATTAGATAGTATAATTGCATACTAATTATGATTTTTTTAAAAAAATTGTTTTTTATTTTTAATTTTATTTCAATAAACAATATAATAGAACATGAATTTTGGTTTTAAAATATTTAATATTCTTTCTTTCATTGAAATATTTTTTGTGTAAGTATAACATTTTAAACTTGAAGGATATAAGTATTATACGCCTACAAATTCAGGGTTCTGAGTGTAACTTATTAACAGATATACTAACGGACATTTGACAGTATGGGTATAAGTGTTACACGCATACAAATCTCAGGGGATTTATATGTAATATTTCAAAATATCATGGAATCTAAGTGATTAAGTGATAAACTTCATGAGGTCTTAGTGTAATTCTACTTAAATATTTTAATAACTCACTCACGTTTTAATTACACTAAAACAAAACTGTGTTTAATTTACACGATTTACCCTAGTCCTGTAATATCAGTGCAACGTAAAGTAATCAGTTAATTTGGAGAAGTGAGAATGAAAATCTCACAGAGAAAAATGAGGAGAGGAAAGTAAAATTCAATGTGAATAACTTTCAGAGAGATATCGGTGGTCTTTGTATGAGTCTATTTAAGACGGTCGAATGAATTTATTGAAGCTTAACTTTTTTTATATTATAGATATTGGGTGTAATGGTTACTTTATGTCAACGTTGTCAAATGTTGTAATTGTCTAATAATAACTCAACAATCAGACAAAATAGACCTCATTCATTCAAATAACCATCCTTTCATGTAAGATAGTAACGATTACATATTTAAAAGAGTAAAACTATTTCGATATAAAAATTTGATCTAATTTATTGACTTAATGATATAACTTTTGTGAAATTATTATATCAATACTAAGTTCTGATGTTTGATGAAACACATAGTCAATCAAAATATTATAATAACTTAAGTTAATAAATTAAATGTCAATAACATTACTCTATTCAAAAAGTTGTATTCATTTTCTCATTTATTATTCCACAACCACATCGCCTGACAATACTAACATGAATATTACACCAAATATTTACTAATCATGGATACCTTCACCAAATAATAGGTATTTTGCAGGTGTTAGCGAGAACGCTTATTGCATAACCACGTACAAGATGCTATAACCAGCACATAGCAAACCATCACTGCAAGGTGGCGCATATTGATGAACACGACGACACCACCCTCCATGCAAAAGAAAACAGAGACTCCATTGCTTCACGGCCACTACTTTCCAAGCCACTCTACACTATATATTGGGGCTTTGTGGCTCAACCATTTCATCAAATACTAGTAAGCTAAACCATGGCTACTAAGCTGTTTTTTACTCTCTCCCTCTCTCTGCTCGTGTCCGTAGCAATCGGGCAACAATCCACCCAAATCAGGGAGGCCCGGCAATGCCGTATTCAACGAATATCGGCAAGCCAGCCCTCTCAGCGCATTGAATCAGAGGGTGGTGTCATCGAGCTGTGGGACGAGAATGAGGACCAGTTCCAGTGTGCCGGAGTTGCGCCATTGAAGATCACCATTCAGCCCAATGCCCTCCAGTTGCCTAACTTCCATCCTTCTCCCCGCCTTTTGTACATTCAGCAAGGTAAGAGACACAGAAACCTGATCCAACAAATTTTATACTTCTAAAAGTTAGTCATTCTTATTTAAAGAGTGGGATTTAGATCCGGATAAAACTATTGGACATGTAGAACTCCACACACTACCTTTTTAACATTCTCTGGAATTTGGAAACAAATGCAGGAGAAGGCTATGCAGGGATAAGCAGGCCAGGATGCCCAGAGACATACCATTCGCAGGAATTCCGGAACGATCGAGAGAGGCAAGAAGAAGAAGGAGAAAGAGAAGGGAGAAGCAGAAGAGATCAGCACCAGAGGGTGCAACGTGTTCGCCGAGGAGACATCTTGGCCGTTCCAGCCGGTGAAGCCCACTGGTGCTACAATGATGGCGATGAAGACCTTGTTGTCATCGCTGTCAACGACCTCAACAACCCTGCCAACCAGCTTGACCAGAGACAGAGAGTAATTTCATGATTGATTGTTTTACGAATTAAAAAGAACTTTCGGCCCTTGCATATACAACTAAAATGCCATCACCGTAATAGTATCATTCATACCACTTATGCTATATGTTTGCGTAAGCTAACTAGTGATCATTTGCTCTGTGGTAAATAGGCATTTTACCTAGCTGGTGGACTACCAAAGGGAGGGCAGCAACAACTGCACCAAGAGCAAGGCAAGCAGACATTCGAAAACATCTTCCGTGGCTTCGACGAGGAATTGTTGGCTGAGGCCCTTAACATTCCTAGAGAACTTGCGAGGAAAATGCAGCAAGAGAATGACAGGGGACTCATCGTAAATGTCCGAGAAGGGTTGAGCATGATTAGACCTGATGAAGAAGGGCAGGGAAAGTCGGAGTCCGAAGCATCAAATGGCATGGAAGAAACTTTGTGTTCAATGAAGGTCCGCACAACCCTTAACAGGCGAACAGAAGCTGATATTTACTCTAGGCAAGCCGGAAGATTGAACATTGTTAATCGGCACAAACTTCCCATCCTTGAATACTTGGACATGAGCGCAAACAGAGGCCACCTCTTCCCGGATGCATTGTACGCACCACACTGGTCAATAAACGCCCACACAGTCGTCTACGTGAACAGAGGCGATGCCCAAGTAGAGATTGTCGGAAACAATGGCGAGACAGTGATGAACGAGAGAGTGAAACAAGGAGACCTGTTTGTGATACCCCAGTACTTTGCGGCAACAGCTAAGGCAGGAAGCAATGGCTTCAAATGGGTGTCATTCAAGACAAATAGCTTACCCATGAATAGCCCTCTTTCCGGTTACACGTCAGTTATGAGGGCCATTCCCCTTCAAGTCATTACCAATTCGTATCAAGTTTCCCCAGATGAAGCTCAGAACTTGAAGCTGAACAGTGGAAGCCAAACCTTACTACTATCTCCACAAAACAGGTCACAGTAAATGGACTTTGTATCATGTATCCCAACTACTACTACTACTACTACTACTACAACAGTTGCAACAAGAAAAATATAGATCTAAGTAACAGAAAACTCGAGTTTTTGTAATCTTGATGCAGAGAATAATATGTAGGGGTGAGGTCCCCTATATTATCGAAATAAAATCTGGCCTCTACGTTTATTTATATCCTTCTGGTGTTCAGGTTTTCCATGGTTTCATTTACTCACATGACCTATCTTGTGGTAAGTCATCCATAATTCTTTGGTTTTCTTATGTTATTGCATGAAGGTGGCTAGTTTCCTGCTCATTATTTATGATGACAAGTGATTTTTCCCCTGAGAAAATGAAGTTGGAAACCAGCAAACAGATTAGAAGTCACATAATTCACAAAATTATTAGAATCCAGCCGGAAATGACACAGGCTTCACCTCCTAATCAAGATATCTTAGAGTCAAACCTGACAAGATATTAGATATTCCAAGTCTAAAGCTTGAATTCGATATCTACAAACTGTTAAGCAAGCCTCATTCCCAGTCTATGATAAAACAACCTAAACAATAACGAAATCCAGATAAAACAAGACAACTAAGTTACTTTGTTCATCCTAAGCCAGGACAGTGCTTTCAAACATCACATACACAATACGTAAGCAAACAATAACGAAATCCAGAAAAAAACAACCTAAAGAAGCTTAAAGTCCAACAAACACATTGTAAAGCCAGTGTCACCTTCTCTTTGAATTGGAACAACGACAGTTGAATGTACAACAATGCCACTCCTATCAAATTTATACACCACATGCTCACATAAAACATTAACCATCAACCAAGTAGATCCCATTAACACAAAATGGAGGTGTCGCACCATATCATTCCCGATGAGAAATTTGATGTGAAAACTTGGTAAGAGTATCATTATACTGTAGTCTATCAAATGTCACCCCAAAGCACATGGAAAGAAAAAACAGTTAATACCTTCTAAACAAGTGATGTAACATATTGTTGTCCAAAAGAAAAATTACCTATTTAAAGCAGGAAGCATAACATTCTAGTTCACTTTTCCTAATCGCTCACCCCGTATTGAAGCAAAATTTTGATCAACAGTCCTTCCTCGTATACGAATAAATTTTCAATAATAGTCAATTTCTTATTCAATGGAAATAAATAAACATTAATTGTGTAAAATTGCCCCTGGCACAAAAACAAAACCCAGAGAAGACTTGTCTGATTCAACATCCATCATCAACATAATGAAGAATGAAGATGCTGAAGGGGAAATGCATAACTATATAAGCGCCTGGACACCAAATTGTTGCACTTCTAGAAGCCTCCATATTGCATGAGGAACATCTTCTCCAAGTACTTCACTATCCACTTGTTGCATAGCCCAAGCATAGTACACTGTGTGGATGGTATCCTGATTAAGCAACAAGTTTAGCCAAGTATAAAGATAGTATATTGTTGTACAAATGGCTCCACAAAAAATATATACATGTTAGAAATAATGTATGTTTCATGATTCTAAGAGTATTGAACTAACTTTCTTCATTTAAGGTGAGTGAAAAAAAATAAAACATTAATGAAAAAAAAAACTTGTTGCATAAGAACAAGGTCATAGTATACATTGAAAATTAAAAAAAAAAAAAATGAGGTCATGATAGTTTTTTTACTGAGCCCCCTAATATGTTCCAATTTATTCCACAGCATTAAGACAGGAGGGTGGGCATATGCTTCCAAATCATAGCGAGGTAATGCATTTTTTTGGGTTTTTTTTTTGTGTATGCAAGATAGCAAAATATAATAATCTAAATTCATGATTCTGCCTTAACATTATTCCAGACTAAGAAAAAGGACAACTTAATTCAACCTAATCCAACTCACCATGCATCTTCTACACCAAATACTGCACCTTTGTTTTGCATCACGTAGAAAGGCAAGGAACTAACTTTGGATCTTAGCACATTTCATTTCTCAGCAAGACACAATAACTTGTATAGTGTATGGACAAGAGCTGAATATCGATGGCAAAATGGTAATTGAGGGAAATACATGAGATTGCATTTTGGGTCTCTTTATCATTAGACACATGAAAAACAGATATAGTTCTACATGTAATCATTTCCCAAAATTGTGCTGACAAGAACGGAAGTTTATATTCAAAAGTCATGGGTTGTAATAATAAACTAAAAGTCAAATAATACTTCTGAATAGGGATTTAAGCCTGTAACTCCAGCTGTTCAGAGAAACACTTTCTAGATCAAAGAACCAGTTAATTTTTCACATGAACTAGAGGTAGAGATGAAAACAATTTTTGGTTTTGAAAACAAACATAGCTTCTCTCACCACCAAAAAGAAGAAAAGAAAAGAATAATAAAGTAGCTTCAAAATTCATTTCACAGATATATATGCTACATGCAAAACAAGGCAGCCCGTAGAACTGCAAAAGTTAAAATAGGTCTAGCATTTACCTTGCCCCCCTCTTTTATCGAGCCAAGTTTATCGAGCACACAGTAGACCTGTTGTGTTTGGAACTGTAAAAGTATCCCACAAAAGTGCCATCAAGATACGCTTTTGCTTCTAAAGCAAGATATACAATATAGTGAAAAATGTTGACAATTCAATACAAAAGAAGTGCCTACCGCAACTATGATTATGGGAGAGTCCCCCATCAATTTTGTCTCTCTTACTTCAACTTCAGATATATGTAAAATCTGCATTACGGGGTAGAATAAGTCGCATTCACATTGTTTCTCAAAATATTCCACTTACTAAATTTATATTATTCATGAAAGATGGCTTAAACTAACTGGCGTCCTGAGGTACCCCATGTTTTCCCACAGTCCAAGGTCGCATGACCACGGGTTTTATGTGCAACCTAGATTGCCCAAATTCCCCACTACAAATTATAACACTTCCCACTGTAATAATATAATAATAGCACTTTATTTATGTGTCGTACACTGTTTAGGATTATAGTTCACTTTGGAACACTGATCATAAAAATAAAATGTTGAATGACTATGTCTGCATACAGTGAAAGAGATATGAATAAGAGTTGCAAAACTAACCACTACCCTAAACAAAGTACCCCATGTATCTGGTGAAAGTATCATATCCATACCCATATCCATACTTGTACAACATCACAAATTGATCCACGAATCAGGAACCATTGCCTCAAACCCTCTGACCCTTGTCATATGAATTGCTTCAAATGAAAGTAATAGAATGATAGGAAACTTTCCAACAATCAAGTGGTACACATGTTTCATTACCTCAAGTAGGAAAATCAAAAGCACAAATGAGAGATGAGGAGAAGAAGAAGATGGTGAAAAAGGAGGAGCAGGAGGAAGGGGGAGGAGGGAGTACAACAGAACAAACTAAAACTTTATATAATTGCTGGCACTTTTAGAGCTATAGAAAAAAAAAAGGCAAACAAAAATATAAAACATTAGCTCTAAATGTGAACTAGTATAATATAAGGCAAGAATATCCTTAAAATCAAGTCACAATCCTGATATACGGCACAATAAATCAAAACAGCAAATAATCAGCTGGCCACAATGGGTGAATGTCAAAGGTAAATAATTAGAAAAAGGGCGCCCCAGTGCACAATGTTCCCGCCACCGCAGACCCCTGAGGAAGGTCAAATAGAATCACTACTGTTTATTATTTCCTATAAGAAACGCAAAACAATGGTTTGTGAAAGGAATCCAAGCAAGAAGGATGAACGTAGCCAATTTAAAGTAAAAGGCATCCATTACAAAGGAAACTTAGCACTATTTGGTTAGAATCGTTAGATAACATTTGAAATTGACAACCATCTATTAGATGAGGTTATGGGTTCCTTAAACTACATGCTTTTTCAGACAGTTCAAAAAGGACAACTGGTCCCACCATGATAGCAAGGACTGGAGGCTAACCAATTTCTAATAATGCCCACAGTCCAGAGATATACATCAGATAACAAAACATGCACATGGATCAATGGGAATGCAAACCCAATCTTTTAAGTTTGTATTCCCCATGATCCTTAATGATGTACATTTTTTAGTATATATTTTTACCATCTAAAAATGCAAATGGTATGTTACGTTTTATTCATGTTTGATGATATAACTCCTTTCAATCTTTGTCGCCTCTCATTTTTGTTGGAATGTAAATGCAGAATTTATTCACTCGCATTACGGACAAGCATTACTTAAATGGAAGGGGGAAAAAAACGAAAATCTGAGTTTAGGACTTGTGTTGTCTTACCTTGTTATCAAAAAAGATGCCCTGGTTTTCACAAGCCTTACGCTCTGCCTTACACCGCTCAATCACTTGAGAACTACAATACTTCTTCAAAACTTCAATATCTCCCTGTAGAGAGTGGAACAAAGTGAAAACACACTTTATTTGATGGAGAAATGAAGCTCAAATGCTAATATACTGTTCTCTTTTCAGAAGATGTCAACAGGAGGTGTTTAAGATGAGGTGAAGTAGTGGACTTTCTTTTCTTTTCTTTTTGGGATGCAAAGGTAAGAAAATTTTCTGGTTCTATGTAAACTTACCTTGAAGTAAGCAGTGAGGACTGGCCTGACCACTTCTTGGACCTCAGCCACAAATTCTGGTAACGAAAAAGATCTAAAACCCATACAAGTTTCGTATTATGTGAATTAGTTAATAGGTTGTTGAACAATAGAACAAAACAAATCTAATAAAATGTCACAAGACACATCATACGGATCTCGCTGACGTATTTCCTTGAATGACATTGCAGCAGCTGTTTCTCCAAAGACATTTTCATTGATACTGTCACATAGAAGGTAGCCAAATTATCACTCTCAGAAGCATATTAAAAACCCCCATCTATCATATGCAAAACACATGCAAGGTAACATACTCCTGTATTTTGTGAACAACTGGATGATCACTAGTGTCCCACATCTCCTGCACGTCTTCTTTGAACTACAAATTCCAGTCCAGACAGCAATTAGGACACAAACTTCAAGAGGGGGAACAAAAGAAATTACTAACTCAATCATCCATCATATATAAAAGACAAATGCAAAATCAAACACTCAACTTTTTCAGACAAGAACATATCACTCTTACGAGGATATAACCTTTTGACACTACACAGGAATCAAGTGTCTTGTTGTACAGAACAAAATGACTGCCACCATCATAAGAAATCAACTTTGGTACTGTGAGCAATTCTTCCCCTTGGAAAACCTGACATACTTATCTTCCAAAAACTACAATCTATTATTGACAATGAATATCCCACATAATAACTATGATCTGGGCTGACTGTAAAAAGTTAAATCCAAATATGTTTAACGGCCCAACCACCATCTGTCATTTCATCAAGAGAACTTGAGGATGAGACACCCTAGAAATTTATGATCTGATTTTGATTTGCGTCTATTCTACATCACTTAATGCATTATCTGAAATAAGCAGATTATGTACTTATTGAAATGTAAAACAAAGATAATCCCTTGTTCAAAACTCAAATAATTTGCACTTCTGGTTTAAACCAACGCCTTGATGTACACCCAAAAAAAGAGATCCCACAAAGCCATCTGAGATCTATTATCGACATAGTTTGTACTCAAGGTTTAATGGCTATCTGGTACACAATATGAACTTCGTTTTAAGGAACTGTTTCTTGATTGGCAATGAATCAGTTGGAGTTGCATTGGCCAGATCTCATAACAGTGTCATGGTTGTGAGTTTTGAATGGGGCAATTAATGGTGGTATAAATGTTGTGGAAGGTGGTGCTGGATTTGCGTGATGAATATGTTAGAGAACAGTTCAGGTGGTGATGGTCTTCACATTGGAAGCCTGGTGTGGAGGGAGGGAGGGAGGGAGAGAGAGACATCAACTCGTTTTCCGATGAAGTGTCCAACAAACTTTAGGTTGCAAGTTTATCAACTAATTATAGCTGGGGTGGATCAGCAAATTCATGTGTGGAAACTGATAGACTTGCATGTACAAACATTTCTTCAAACAAGCAAATATCAGTTGACATTAGATCTCTTTCATCTTGATCATTTGCTAGTATATACAACTGAGAAGTTTAACAGCTATCTTATGCCAATTACCATGTGCCCATGTTCAAAGTATACACCTTGTATGAATGAGGAAAATTGAAAGAAAAAAGTATATATACGACTGCAAAATGAGAAAATTTATTTTTATGATTTTGGTTCATGATATACCTCCCGGCTCTTTATCACAACAGGTTCACTTAAACCACTGACGCGCTTGAATACAGGATGACCTTGCATCTGGGACACAGAACAATCTAATTCAATTGAAAGACATAAAAGAAAAACAATTGCTTTCCTATGACAATCCACAAAGAATCCATGCAACCTATTAACTACCTTTTCTTTGAATGCCTCCCACTTCTTACTCCATCGAGACTGCTTTGTTGGCAAGACGACAACGTCAGTTCTAGTACTCCTCCCACCTCGAGATGAGGGGCCTGCAGAAGATGTTGTATATTCAAGGTGCTTTCTCTTATGTGGGTTGCCGCTCAGCTCTTCCTTTACAATGTCATAGCCCTTCTTTGCCAAGTCAACAGGCTTTGCTTCCTTTAATTTCTGGAAAGCTAGTGTAACCTTTGGAGAAATGGAAAAAACACTAGACTTGACCTTGCCAAATATTGTTTCCGCAGTTTCACCAGGCCCAGATTGCTGCTGCTTTTCTTCTCCAAATGCGGACTGGCTTCCATCTTTCATATTAAAATCATGATTAGCTGAATTACCAGATGACCCTGAAGACTCTTGCTTCCCCATCCCAAAAGTTCCTTTGACCTAACCATGGATCATACAATAAATTAATCATTACAGTCTCATGGATTATTTCGCTGTGGCAGCACATTCCTAATGAGCAAATAATATATAGAATACCAATCACCTCGTCTGTCGCAGCTGAAATTTTTTCCTCCACATTGGCATAAACCTACATGAGAACATATTAACAAGAACAATTTATCCTAAACCTGACAAAACATAACTAAAGTGTAACTAGAATAACTCTTAGCTACCAAACAAGGGCAACTAGAAGATGTCATACAAACTGTGGCACTAAAGGACAGGCAAAATAAGCCACATAACTGCCAAAACATCTGCACTCCAAAAAGTGCAAGAAACATAAATGAAAAAACAAAGAGAATAAAGACGAGAGGAAGGGGAAACAAAAAGAAGCATTAGTTATTTTTGGTGGCACTTAAGCAATAATGTTTTGTTCATCCATAAATTCAAAACTTCACACATTCAATTCTGAAAGATGACCTATGAAAGATAAATTCCCATCAGACCTTTTTCGCCGTGGCTTCAGCCTCTGTCCACGCACCATCAACATGCTTGTACAGCTGCTCAGTTGTCTGCTTTGTTCTGCATTCGCCAGTTCACCATCTCAGGGTCTTCCATTATTATCTGCCCAGCCTTGACATACAACAGTATGTCTCAGCCTATAAACATATTAAAGCAGTAATCAAGGAACACATGAATATGTGTATTATAAAGTTACCTAACTTTCAGGTCTTCTTTAACCCCTTTCAGATCTTCCGCTTTTTCCTTCAGTTCCTTGACAGACTGTTGGAATTCCGGATTTCTGCACTCGAGAGAACAAGAATATATGAGAAAATAAGTAGAACAGTGTCCCCCAACACGATTCATAGAAATTCAGCACGAAAATTTATCATCTTGAATGAAGCCATAGGGATGAAACTTAAAAAGGCTCAGATAATGATACGGTGAAGTATAATATACCCTAATGGTCTCATTTCATGAGATAAATTTCACTACAAATTCAAGAAGAAGTGAGATGGTGATAAATTCTACATAATAAATGGTGACTGCCAAATTGAAGGGGCATTAGACACATGCCTTAATAACCCAAATTTAAACTTTAGAAAGGGGGGGAATGAGCAATCACAAAAAACTGAAGAAATCCTTTCCAAGAAAGCATGGGAAAGGCACACCGGCTACTGAACAAAGATAACAATTGTAGTTCAGGTTTCAATAATCAAGCCTCCATGTGATCAGAAAAACTTCAGCATTATAAAATGTTGTTCACAGACTCACTCAACTGTTCCCCTCTGTCCTACTCACTAAAAGTGCAAGGGGACATCTAGGTGTATTCTCACAATCCACCTTTAATTTCAAAACAAGAGAACCCATCTTTCCAGATTTCAAAACTAAAAACAACACGTATTCCAAATTATAAAACAAAAGAACTTTCCTCCAAAACCTAACAGTTATAGTGAAATACCTGTTAACTTCGCCTTTAACCTGCTTGGAAAGCTCATTAAAGACACTAAATTGACGACTACCCACATACCCGTTTGCCGGAAACAATCTCATTCTTGTACCTGAAGTTGAAACCTACCCAAAAGAATCACAAAAACCAATGAGTCAAGAATTTAAAAAAAAGACCAAAGATACCTCCAAATATACACCTCTTAGTATCTACACATCTATATGTAACAGTATTTTGAGTCTTCAAAGGTATAGAAAAAAATAAGAACAAAAAAATCAAGGGACAGACCAATGGAGGAGGTCTCAACATCTGACTATAAACGGAACGCTTGGAGAGAAGCAAGTCACGGACCAGCTTTCTGCTAGCCATCTTCAGAGGTGGTGTCACTTTCTCGGGAAATTTTTTGAGTCTTTTTTACCAAGAAATAAAATTAGACTCTGTTCTGGGGCTGTGTCTATTTTGGTGTCTGTTTAGACCTCCTTACGAAGAAGGAAAGACTTGCGCAAGGGAACTCTCTCTCTCTCTCTCTGCCCTAACTTGAATCGAAATGTTTTAGTTTTTAGCGTTTGTTTGGGTCTCCGGATAGTTTATCACGAACAGATTAGTTCTGGTATAGGATTGAAGCATTAATGCGATGGATGTCCCCCGCCTCCTGTAACCAAACGAACCCCTAGGGCTTCGACTTTGCTTTTTCTATCGTCTAGTTGAGCGGGTGGTAAGTACTGCGCCCACGGTCAAGGCCTCGGTCCAGCCCATTATTTACGTTGATGCTATCTATGCCTCGTTCCGATCCGACTAGAAATCATACCTTGCATTTCTAATTCTAACTCAAATTAAATTTGAGTAAAAAGACTTAAAAAATTTGCTCCAATTTTGACTTAAACTTATACCAAATTAAAGAAGACTCATTTTTTTTATTCAAATTAAGGGAAACTCAAATCGATAATAGTGAGACTTAACCCGTCTTTTGAAAATCTAATAGTCATTTTTATTCTGTTTTAAATTTGAGTTTACCCTCATTTAAATTTGAATTTCTTCTTCTTTAAATTTAAATTTATCCATTAGAACCCTTTATATCAATTCAAGTTTTTTACTCAAATTTAAGTAAAAATTTGAGTCATGATTAGAGACGCTCCTTGCTCATATACTCGAACTAAATATAAGAGATGTATATAATATTTTAAGTTTGAGTCTTATTAATTATATAAAATTTAAATTTAATCGAAACACATTTTTAACAAATAATTGTGTGTGCTTATGATCTTCGCGACAAAAAAGAAGAAATTACCCGTTAAAACAAAGGCAAATATTTTTACAACAGATTTTAAACAAGAATTATCATGCATCAGATTACACGGACAATAGTGACGTAATATGAAGGTTTGTGGATCAAATGATCACGAGTCTGTTTAAAGTTGACTTAAAAACTCAATTTTTTTTTTTTGGAGGAAAATAAGTTTAACCCGTTTGGACTCGAGTTTATTGGATCATTTTTTCATCATTTTTTTGGGGAAAAACAATTTTTATCAGCACTAAAGAAAAACTGAAAATAAGACTTATCCAAGGACTTCCAAGAAAAATTCATTTTTTCAAAAACACTCTAAATGATTCCAAAAAAAATTTTAACTCTCACTTTTTCATTTTATTTTTTAAATCTCTATTTCACATTTGAAAAAACCAATTCCAAACAGACCCATTATTATTTGTTTGGGTCGCAGAACAAGCTACTTTAAAAGCCAGAGATTTTTCCTTCTTCAGTTTAAAGCGTTTCTGCGATGGCTGTCCACCGACTTCCGCAACCAAACGAAACCCTTGAGTTGGGCTTTCTTTTTCTTTGGTCCGGGGCGGGGCCTAGCCCACGCTCAAAACAAAGCCCATATCCGTCTTTGATCAATGTCTCATTCCTTTCTTAATCTAAAATTGTACTTTACTCCGAGAGGTTGAACACTCGGCCTAGATTGAACATATGATTTATTGTTCCCAAATGAAAGTAGGTTAAATGCACAAAAGTATTCACTTTAATCAGTGCCCCTACTTCTATCTCCTGTGGGAAAGGAAATATGTTTAGGTCAAAAGAATTGAAACAAAAACAGGTCTAGGCATAAATCTATTCACAGTCCAAGCTTCATTTTGTGCGTGTGAATGAATTCGAATGATGAAAAAAGGAATCCCTCCGCAACATAACCAAATCAATTGTCAACATATCATGCGTGCAATACTCTCTACTTGATCAAGTCATGGACTACATTATTTGCAGAGAGAGAGAGAGAGAGAGAACTAAAAACATAGACCCACATAAACACTTTGGTCATTACACAGGTGCTTGGGTACCATTGTAATGAACACCCTTGTGGGTAAATGGAACTAAATCTACCACCTACCATTTTTACAAAAGCCTGGGAACTATCCACAGGCCAGCTGGTGAGTAAAATTATAGACCCATATATACAGTAGACTTGATTACGACATCACGAACAGTTAGAAGCCACTGCAACCTGACACCAAAGTCCATGAGCCGCAGTATTTGGTGTGGTCATGAGTCGCGGTATTTGGTGAGATCAAACGTCAATGTTCTTGAGCAGCTGGAAAAACAAAAAGAATGTATATGCTTATGTTGTTGAGGTGCTGGACCGCAACGAGTTTATACCAGGAAAAAGAGCAGCAAAAAAATATCAAGTCACATTTACTGATGGAGGAATCTCACCTTCTATCAGAATCCCTGTAAACCCCAACCAAAGCTTCAGCCTTATCGTAAAAGCTATCCTTGAGTGAGATCACAATACTCTGGAAACCACTTCCAGCCTCAGGATCCTGATTAATCCGGGCTCCTCCACATGATTTTGATCGGATAAATCCAGCTACCTTGGCAACATTCAAATTATCTAATGCAGCATCCACTTCATCCAATATGAAAAATGGTGAAGGCCTATAACTGAAATTTTCCATCAAAGTGTGCAAAAAACCATTAGTTCTTGAAACATATAAATTCCAACATTTCAGATGACCAGATCACCGAGTAAACGACCGTACTTGCTTATAAATGCAAAAGCTTATTGTGTGCTTACATCTCCAAAAAGACTACAGGTCATGGTGAATAGTTGCATTACCTTAAAGACTATGAATGCATGGTGAACTCGAAACACCCCTCACCACAAGAAGCAAAACCCCCTTCCCCCAGTCTCACCCAACACCCTTCCACCCAACAACCCATCCCACTCTAAGGGAAAAAAAAAAAACAAATATTGAATGAAGTTCACTATCGGTAAACTTTATCGATAGACATACAAACATCAATAATGCTACATGATCTTAATTTGAGAATCTAATTCAATACATTGAGGTCTGAATTGGTAGTGGATTACATTCAATGTTGGGACCCACGGCTAATCCATGTACCACAATGAATTAGATCCTTACATTAGATCCCCAAATAGGTCAAAATAGCATTGCTCTATAAGATGATAAGTAACAAATGGGGAAGAAAGATTCTTAAGAAAACACAAGAAACCGTTTGATTTATCTGGTCATATGTACCTGTGGATGGAGAAGAGTAGTGCGAGTGCAGCAACAGTCTTCTCCCCACCTGATAGCTGTTCCATGTCACGGAAGCGCTTCGTAGGGGGCATAGCAGTGTATTTGATGCCATGTAAAAATGGCTCATCCTCATTCTCTAAGTTCAAATATGCTGTCCCACCCAGCGGGTGTGTATTGCTCTTTGTGAGTTGTTTATAAATTTTGTCAATACTGCCAGAGATATGGTTGAAAGCTTCCATAAATAGTTCATACCTGAAATCAATCCAATGTAAACTCAACATTCTGCAATGATATTGCATACGCATGAAATACCAAAGTTCTGCAGAAACAAAAAAATATCAAGATAGTGTAATTGTCTTAGCTTGCATAATTTTGCAGTAAATTTCGAGGGTAAAGGCCTGATTATCTTAAAAAGGCACGAAAGCAGGGACCTACTTTTTGCATCTCATAGGAGAAAACATACTTTAGAGAGCCAAACAAACACTGGAAGCCAGTGGTTTTCATTTTCTTTCTTCTTTTTTTTAAGTAGGGGAAGATAGAAAATAAATATTATGGCATCAAAGGATCATAACTCGCATCCCTGAACAATAACTGACATTCCAACAAGAAACATCTCAAACTTCCCAAAGCTAACCTTCAAATCCCAATATTTCCTCAAAACAAAAGGTAAATAATACAAGTACCTTAGCTTTTGCATACTTAAAGGGAGGCCTCCGAGACGAAGCCCCCCATCTACGCATAGAAACCACTCAAGAAAGCACCCATATTGATTTTCTACCATTCAACAAAGAATTTTCATCATCTTTTAAAAATGAGAAAAAAAAAAAGAAGCCCCTTGCAGAAACCTGTTAGGCTATCAAAAACCGAGATCGAGGTCCATTATTTAGGACGGACCTTAACTAGGGTGCCTAAATTTGTGGTTGACAACCTTAAAAATGTGCTAGTTCAAAAACTATAGGCCCCCTCCATGAGAGAGAGAGAGAGAGAAACCCGCCACAGGCAGAGAAGAGAAAAGATTATCGGATTGTTGGCTTTTGCCAGCAGTATGTGAAAATGTCTTCGAATGTACCTTGTAAATCCTTCGGTGGCATCATTTATTATACACATAAGGCATTTGATACAAAAAAAAAAAGAAAAAAAAAATTGAATACTGAACTAGCATATGTTCTACAGCAGTTCAAAACACTTTTTTCCTTTTAAGGGATCTATCAATGTGTCTTGCTAGCTTAATCACTAACTAAATTGTGGACAAAATTGTGGACAAGTTTACGGCTATCAGCCCAATACAAGCTCCTCTCTGTAGTAGTTGTTATGTTTCTTCTATGTAGGCTTTTCCTTGTGGACTCTATTTATTGCTCCTTCTATTTTTCTACTGTTATATATGAAAATGCCTTGCGACAAAATGCAGTTCCAGCTTGAGTTATTACCAACAAGAAGGCTTACTGTAGGGTTGAATTAATTAGTACCTTCTCTGCTTCAGTCTATTATAAGCATCGGCTATTTTTTTCTCTTCAGATCTGGCCTTCTCAAAGTCTTCACTTGCAATTCTTTCCTTCTCCTGCAGAGCCTCATATTGGTCCAAGGCCTTCAAATTTGGAGCTGTTCTTTCAATTTCTAACATTATGGCACTAATTTTTTGAGTGAATTCCACCTCAAGCTTCTCGCGTTCAGAGGGTCTCACACTCTGTTGATGTGATCTACTCAGTTTGCTGAAGTCAAAAACTGGCCCAGGCATTGCCGATCCAGTATCCATTGGGTCAGAGATAGTGGGAAGGCTTATGTGCTCTAGCTCGCACTTCTCAAATATCTCTTGCTTCCGGAAATTCAGCTGCTCAATTTGTGTCTCCTGTAAATCCGAACATTGATGGTTGTCCAACAATCAATCCAACAGCTGCTGGTTCACAAATAGAAAAAGCTTACAATTAAAACTAACCTTTGATTTTATTTGACGAATATGTTTGCTTATGTTAGTTGTAGCAGCAGAAATCTTTCTCTTCCATTCCTGTATATCCTTCTCACACTCTTCTGACTTGGACTTCCACTCTACAAAAAGAGAAGTTAGAAAACCATTAGCTGGTATCACACGAGTTCACGATATGCAGAACTATAATAGAATAAAAGCAATGGCAATATAATCCTACTGCAAAATGTAATTAAAATACAGCTGTAATTTTCACAAAAGATAAAAACATGCATGAGATTCCAACTATTTAAATACAACCATCAATCTATTTGGTCACTTCGGCAAACAACGTGAAGGTGTTTTGGAACCGCCAGCAGTTTAAGTTCTCAGTTCCATAATCCTGCCTCCCTAAACTAGTAGCATAAAGAGTAGAAGGAAGGTTGATGGATCAGAAATTCAATTACTTAAAATGAATTATTTAAAATAAAATGCAGGAGGCACAATCATCATTTGCACCTGATCAACAGCTGAATGAAACTCCAAAGGCACTTAAAGCTAAGGGTGGTTATTTTCGACATGACCCATAACACAACCCCAAAATGATACAACCAGTTCAAACAAATACTAAAAAGTTGGGTTAGTATCAGTCATAAATAAATCGATTTTGCGACAACAAAACCATTTCACTGACATTGCATGAAGCAAGGGACTGATATTTTTATATTTCTTTTCATTTGTCATTCTAGTACTGTACGAATCATCGTAGAATTAAATGGTGTTTAATTTGGTTTTGCAAAGATGCAGATCAAGTAGATTTTTTTTTTTTTCACGAGAACCAGTGTGTGGTGGACTTAGTTAAGAGAAAAGTGGGTCCTAGTCTTGGAGTTCAGTTCACGAGTAATATTTGTCAACCTAGATATGACATAAACATGACACAATCCAAAATAACAAAATCCTATATAACATAGAACCGAAATGGCAAGACACGACTTGATTGCCACCTTTTCTTAAAGAAAGGGATAAGACACCATTCCCACTTTGTGCATGCCCTAAGATAACTTTTAGCTTCAATGTTGGGAGCTATATCATACAGGATTTAGTAAACAAGAAAAAAAATCATGCTATTACACCAAACAGAGTTGCAAAATCCACTGCCAGCACCACTGTATTGATCTATTAAATTCCTAGCAAAAACCACGAGGGAAAATGAAATGAGTATTCTACCATATCATTGTACTATTTGAATAAAATGATTAATGTCATCCCAAAAGTGTTCATATCTAAGAACTAGAGTTGAAAACATAGTCGTTCCATCCTTCACTAAAAGTACTACTTTTAGAGTTGATATTCAACAGTTTCAAGCCATGTTTCACAACCTCAGCCTTACAGTCAATAAGTGATATCATTTTTTTGGGCTAGGGGTGTGGTGCTTTTTTGTGGGTTTTTTTTTTTGAAGGGAGGGGATGGGGAGACAAGTCCATAAAATCGTTGATATTTCTTGATTTAATAATTTTTGATTGTTAGAGATGAAAAAAAGTGCATCCGCCCTTCCCCCCCCCAAAAAAAAAAAAAAATCCTATTATTCCCATCCCACCCTTTTTGGTATATTAGCAACCCCTTTTTTGCCACTAGGCCACGGTACCATTTATTGGTTCATCTACTCACAATAGATACAAACCTTAGCTGCTTGGATTTAAAAAAATTACTATGTTGTTTAATCATGTTAAATATTGGTCCATCACTATACAGCATGTGAGATAGCACTTTAAGACAGCAGTTAACTAAATATGCCAAATGGAACACATTCCACACTAAGCATCACATTTGAACTGTTACAACTAGTCTAAGACAGCATTTCATACAACTCCTGGATTAAATAGAATATGACATTTTTATGCCACAATCTTGGGTTTGCATAAGCAAATACAAATTGATATCAGGAATATATATCATAACCCATTATCAACTCAGGGGGAAGATTACCATAAGACATTAAACTATTGTTAAACACCTTTGGGTCTGCATAACAGGTATAACTTAAAACATACCCCGTACTTCCTTCTTCCAGTGATCAATTTCATCCGTAGCTTTCTCCATTTCTGACTTGATTTCAATCTCGTTCTTCTCAACCTCTTTCAAAGAATTTTTCAAGAAATGGAGTGATGATTCCAGCTTTGTGATTCGTGATTCCATATCCCGCTTCTCCTCATACTCCAATCTGATAAAGAAAAATAAGCAAATGATGTGGTCCAATGTTTTCTAAACTGGGCATTTTAATTAAAGAATTGTAAGTGATTAGGCAGTTTCTCTATCAACATATCTCACTCAAGTTCATCACCAACACTAAAATTCTTATAACCTACACCCAAAGCAAAAGAATTAAACAAAAAGTAAACGTACTGATATTTCAGCTTTGACTGCTGACCACTCAAGCTAACTCTCTGTTCAGCCATCTGTTGTGCAGCCTTGAGCTGGTTTTCCTCATACTCACGGATGTTTTTCACCCCAACAGATTCACTGAATTTCTTGTAGATTCGGTCAACAATATCATTGATCTTCTTCTCAATCAACAAGATCTTTGAGGTCCTCTTGGTAATGACATCTTTCAACTGTAAACAGAATAAACCCACCCAAGTTAGTGGTAGATATAATAAATACTCCAATAAAGTGGGCTAAGAGAATGATTCCAAAGGCACCTCATCAAGTTCAGGTGTAATACGAGCTATTTCTTCTTTGATATTACCCATTTCCAGCTTCAATTTTCCAAGTTTGTCCTCAATACTTTTCTGGAAGAGACAGGTCTAAGTAAGAATAACAATTGCAAGATGCATTACCAATGGAAGTGAAGCTAAGAATAAGCATCAGGAAAAAAAAAACTTAAGGGTAAAATGTTATTTGTGCAACAAGATTCACGCACAAGACCTTTTTTGCCACTCTGCTACAACAACAGACTCTATCAGATGTTGAGTCATTAGACATCATGTTTGAGCTAGATTTATATAAGCCTTCCTCTTGTCTGCTTTACCAAAAGACAACATTTTTTCTGTTATGTCACTCTGCTGTCAGTAAATTTACTGTGCCAAAAAAAAAAAAACTGCAGCCAAACACTCTAAAGATCACATCAGTTCCAACCCTCTTCCATCCACAGACCCCTATACTATCCCTCTACCTTGCAAAATTCTTTATAAGTTTTCCTAACCTTACACTAATGTGAACACCATCGTAGGTGGCTCCAACACAATAATTCCTAATGCTTTTTCCAGCATCAGCTTTTCGAAAGTTCTACAAAATATAGCCCCATGTAGGACAAAGAGTCTGAAACACATAGGTCCTACATCAACTAAGTAGAAACATTAATAGGATAATGTTTCTTTGAAACTCTCCAATGTCGAGGAAAGATACAGATTTCCTCAAAATTTTCCTGCAAGCAACATGACTCTTTGAAAAACAATTTTAGTAATTTTCCACTTCATGTCGATTCACTTACCCTAGTGAACTACTCACTAAGCTACACCGTGACAGCCAAACAGAAGTTTACTACTATTGCCACACTGGCACAACCTGGAACGCCAACTTTTTAGACGATTGCCGATTGCTATGCCTATTCATTTACAATTCAAAAGGAAAAGAGGGGATGAAGACAAGATATAAATGTGTATCACAATTTCACTAATCTAACTATATGTTTTTTTTTTTTTGGGAATTCATTCTATTCCTTTACATGTGCACTAATCTAATTAATATCTAGTCCTTTCAATTTCATTTAACCCTGTTGTCCAAGCACAAAGGTGATCCTCTAGTCAATTATTTCATAAACTTGAACATCTAGATTAGAAATATTTTACGCTAGCAGGTATTTTTCACATATTTCCTGTTTTTTCCAATTTTAGGTGGTTTTTAATGTGTCATTCAATACGTCCCATTTCAGCTAACATACAATCACTCCAAAACTGAACACCGAAGCCAGGTATTAAACAAGACACCTTAGTGACTGTTCGGAGCATAATTTTCATCATATAGAAATTTTCCCACAAAAGGCATAGATCCATAGCAAACAAAGATTACTATAAGAGATGGGAACAGAAATGCACGTCAAATTTCCACAAATGGTTGAAGAGATAGTTATGTGTAACCAGTGTCATTCATTTCAGTAACCTTCTCGATCTCAGCATATTGGATTTTCTTTTCAAGTCCACTAATTTTCCCAGATGCTTCAGACTCCTTCAGCTGCATCTCTCTTATTGACCCAAGCTCTTCCAACTCTGACTCAAAGCCTTCTTTCTTCTTTTTAAGTCCTACAAGATGGAAAAAATTAAAAGTTTTGCAACAAATCTAAGAAAACAGATATAATTAATCTACAAACCTTCAATTTTCTTATCATCCCATTTATGTGAACGTGCTTCCATTCCGCCACTCGTACCACCGGTCATTGTACCAGACTTCGTCAACAGAATCCCATCAACAGTCACAACTAGAAACAGATTGAAAGTATTTTTATATAGAACGTCCATACTTCAAATATAGGGGAAAACAGTCTATACAAGTTTACCTTTAAACCTCTCTCCACTCCAACTCAAACGCTTAGCTTCATCAAGCTCATCACAAACTAAAGTATTCCCAACGGCAAATAGAATAGCTTTCTCCAAGGCAGGATCAAATTTGTTACTGTTAAGTAAACCAACTGATTGCATATGTTGGATTTTACATCAATAACTTATAGTTTTCATCAGTGTAAACATGACCAAGCTTACGTGGAGCCAACATCCGTTGATATATTACAAAGGATGATTGACCCATACAAGCAGACTACAATAAGCATAAAAAAAACTAACAATTTTCTTTCTATGATGAGCAGGAAAAAAAGAAAAAAATTTAGAGAAGTCACATAAAAGATGCCAAAAAGATAACTCCCTTAGTCCACAGTGGGATGCTGATAAATCTAGTTCTTCATCTGAGTTTTACTAGTGGATGAAAACAATAAATCTCAGAATTACACCTAAGCATCATCACATAATGATACTTTATTATTAACTTTTTTGATTGGCCACAAAAATATATTTAAGGCTTCATGCAGAGGCATCTAGCTCTTCATCTGAGTTCGGGCGGTGGACAAGAACAATACATCTCAGGATTACACTGATGAATTGTCACATTATACTTATTAACTTTTCTGATTGGCAAACAAATTATATTTAAGGCAGCCTTCAAAAGAGGGAAGGTGGCCACATTATGCTCAAGATACAAAACAAAGGCTATGTATCCACAGAAGTATCATAAGAGTCTGGACAGGCCTCTTCAATCAACAAAAATGGACTAATCAATGCTAAACTTTCCCAACAAACTACCTAGCTATAGAAAAGGATATTGGATTACATCAAAGATCAGCTTTGCAGTTCCACCTAAGGTGCGCAACTTCTCAATGACAGGCTTTACACGAACTGACTGCAGAGGAATGAATGTTTGAGGAGGAAGCCTTTGCTCTTTCAAATACTGCAGAAAAGCAAGCAAATTAACAGCTGCATCATATTTCTAAATGCAGCAATCTTGGTAAAACCATAACATTAGAATGAGAAATTGATGAAAACCCCCTATTTCTGCAATTGTCTCCTCAAAGCCAGGTAATTTTAAAACTTCCAAATTAGATCACCCAAAAGAAGGAAACCCAAAAAGGCAACCAATTGGAAAACATCTAATATTACAACAAATGCGCATTAACCACTCTCCGATTCTCAACTCAAAAAAGTCTTGTCTCAACATTAACCACTCTCAGATTAAATAACCAGATTCAAATGGACATAATCTTGACAGAAAATAGCTGCAAATTTGCAACAATACACTAGAATGACAATGACCACCATCGAAAAGAACATGTTAGAGGAAAAGTTAGTAGATAGGGATGGTAAACACAAGAATGGTCCCTCCACCGAACCTCTTACCTCCTTACTCCACAAGTTCCCACAATTGACAAGTCTTAGGACTACCGCACAGTGCAAGGGCCAATTAGGCTTGCACGCAGCAAGGATGAGGATAAGTGAAACAGAAAAGTTCAAATGGTCGTAAGCACAAAACTTCAATCTTGCCTCTTGAATAAAATTCAAAACCAAACAAGCGGAATGGACAAGGACTGTAACAAGTGAGATACAAAAAGGACAGAAATGCCACTAAAGTACTACAAGGAAAGGTCCAGAAAAATAGGGCATTAAGGGAAAAAAGATTTTGAGATCCAAATTAATATTATATCTCAAAAACCATTGATTCATCTCATTGCACACACTTCAAATAAGAGAAAAGGAACCACTTTCCCAATCACCTAGCTGTCCCAACTCTAAGCCTTTCAATATTTCCAAACCAATCAAGGACTAGCCCATTCAATTTAAGCACACAGAAAAGAAAGCCTGCAACTTTTTATTCAGCAAAGAATGACAGAAAAAAAAATTTAAATTAAATTAAATTAATCAATAAGTACGGCAATGATTTGGAGGAAATTGGTTTCGTACAGTCTGGTGTGCTCAAGAATGCACCACTAACAAACTACTTATGAAGATAGTTCTTCCATAAGATAGAGGTAAATCTCAAACAAAAGGAAAAAAGAGGCGAGCGAAAAGCACACTACAAACTATTACACATGCCATACCTTGATGCATTCCTTCCCAGTGTGTTCATCCTCAACCACTACTGCATCCATAAATTTGCCCATAGCTACAGTGACAGCAAGATTATACTTTTTCTGTGTTGGCCTGCAAAGGTCGGTCATACGACCATGAACACCATGGAACAGGCGCTTGAGAGTCTCAATTGCTTGGGAAAACCTAGCATCTCTCTCATTTTCATGCCTGTCGGCCTTCAATTCACGCAGTTGATTTTCTACTTCACTAATTTTAGCCTTCAACATTTCATATTTGCGTCTGCCAGAGAAAAGGGTGCTATTGAGGGAAAAAAACTACAATACATGATGATCAACCAAATGGAAACACGAGTAGAAGAAAATGCCAACAGATATGCCAGCCTGGGCCTACAGCAGGATAGGCCAAAGAAGTAAAATATGCTCATTGCACGGAACCTATAATCATTAAATATCGTTAAATTGACTAACCGAGAATCTCCAAGTTTTTCTTTCATGTCACGCTGTTCCTTTCTCACTCGTATGAGTTCTTCCTTATGTTTCCCAACAGCATCAAGTATCTTCTTTAGTCTAGTTTGCATTTGTTTCTCCTGTGACTCCAACTCTTGCTTCCGATTTTCCAACTGTTGAAGATTTTCTTCCAGATTCTTTTGAGCTTCAATATCAGCATGTTGTTGCCTATCTTGGACCTCTTTCTCATCCCTTAACTTTGCAGTTTTCATTCCAGCCTCCTCTTTACTGCAACATAAAAACTTTGTACTCAACTCAATTGATTCAATACAAAGTCCAACAAGAGAAACACGGGCGGATTCATAATGCATACATGTGTGTGTGTGTGTGTGCAGTGTGGATTCATGTAAATTTACCTAAATCAAATCCCAATACATTTCAATAAAACAACCCATAAGATAAGAAAAGTGAAGCTGCAAGAAAAAATGCATCCAAAATTTAGTGCTAGGTTCACATGAATTGAAAACAAGAGATAATTGATGATGGGAATGAAAAGCTGATAATAACATAATGAATACTAGAAGTGGTGAGACCCTTACCGTGTGCCCCATTTTTTCACACATTTCAAAATCAATCTTGACGTATATTTGACACTTAAGCACATAGATAGGTGCTTATGTATGACTGGAAACTAAATGTAAGTGTTATTTTGCCTGACGTAGCAATCGTTGATTATCTTCCTTAGCTTACTTCTGATATGAGGATATCCAACAGGGGACCATGCAAGAGACCAAAGCAAGTCCTGGCCCATCATAGAATTTAAAGACACAACCAACTAAACCAGAATTTAGTAGGAAATTTTCAATTTACCAGAACATTATAATAAGTTTTTGCAATTTTGGGAAATAATATTCAAAAGTAATTCGGCAGTCCAGTCTAAACTACAGATCAACCTAATGAACAAAAAATGGAACCAGATTCCATCTGGATCACAATGTGAGTAAATCCGATGGGGCCAAGAGATAAAGTATGGTCTGGACAATCTCTCCCATATCCTAGCCCCAACAAAGAAACTACGCCCATTGATGCCCTAAGGCCCAATTACCATTCCAGCAGAGTATGGGCTCTACTAGTTGCCCTCTGTAATTTGACAGGAGGAGAAACAAATGGACTTACATTCGGAAATATGTCTCTAACTCGCTGTCAGCCAACTGAAGTTTTTCACCACCGTCTTGACCTTGTTCATGCAAGTCCTCCAGTTGCTTAGTGAGATCCCGCAAGTCATTCTGAAGCTTTTTTATTTCATCTGCATGCTTCCTCTTTTCTACTTTCTTTTTATCAAGATCTTTTGAAGTACTTTTGATTTTTGAAGTTATGCGAGATACCTCCTCCTTTAGTTTTAGGAGCTCAGGTTGCTGTGAACATAAAAAAGAGTCAACAATCCACAAGCTTTAGACCGTTGGAATCCTGGTGCCAATGATACAAAACTCAAATGTTGTAAGACAGTGCATGACGTACGAATATTCTTGCACCCACCCTGAAAACTGCATAAAAGGAGATAACTAGACAAAACAAAGGAAAAGATCGTGCAATTCACGAAAACAACTTCATGTAACCTTAAGTAGCATAAAACTGGATGACCAATTTGATACATAAACCATTTCCTCATGACTATGGTTTATATGTATGTTTGCAGATATATGGACACCTAAAGCGACATCAAGAAAATATGAGCTAGGGACGAATATAAATCAAAATAAAAAAAAAATTAAATAAATTTAATGCTCACATTCTTATCAAGTTTATTCTTTTTCTCTGCAATCTTCTTTTCACACTGTGCAATCTCTTTTAAATACTTGACTTGTTCTTTCTTCTTTTTGCTTGCTTCACTCTCATAATTCTCCAGGTCGTGCACAATTTCTTCCTGGCTTCTCTGTTCAGCTTCAATGTCCTCATTAACCTTCGCAATATCCTTTTCAAAGTTGAATAGTTGCCACAAAAAATGCTCTTTCTTCAAAGATTTCTGTGGGGTTGGAGAGAGGGGGGCAAGGGAGAGACAAAGAAAGAGATACCCATCATGAGGGGAGAAATCATCGAAAGTTTTAAAAGAAGAAACATTACGAGTAATAGAGAGTCAAATGGAACTGGAAATAAGACTATGATCAAATCCAAAACTTAAAATGATACCATTATGTTTAACAAGCAACCGCGGTTTAGCAAAGCTAAACAAGATCCAAGCATTAGGCTTGTGGAAATTAGTAGAATGTACATATTACAGATAACAACCTGGGAAAATAAAAACTATAACAAAACCTAGTGACACTTACCAGTTGATCTTGCAGGCGAATATGTTTTTCAGCCTCTTCTTTCTGTTCCTTCTTCTGCTTTCTCTCCATCACTATGGTTCTCTTTTTCTGATAAGCGAGTGCTGATTCCTCTTCGGCTCTTGCTTTTTTCTCTTCCAGTTCTTCATATTCTCTTTTGTATTCATCGGACCCAGAGATTTGCTCGAGAAGGGCAGTAAGTTCTTTTGGATTTTTAGATGCAATTGACTCCACGTCACCCTATCAAACCAGAATACTTAAATTACAAATAATAAACTCCTTTTTGACTTTGCTGGTATAGCACTAAAATGGTTTGGGTAAACATGCACGGATTTATGAACACATGTAAATCTATAAGCATACATAACAATCTGAGAAAAAGATAAATAATAAAGGTTTCTCCTAGCTCATGTTTCCACATAGTGCTTTTATGGTAATCATTACAATTTAATATCTTCTTTACAGCTCCTTTATCCAGATATTTGGTTTCTTCCCCATTCATCGCTTCCATCTTTCCCACAACAAATTTAACTGGAGTTCCTATCTACACGTCTGGCTACTTTGAATTTATTTCATCTCACATCTAAAATTTAACCAGTTCGCATTTACAAAGTTTCTTTGAAGTTCTTGAACATATAATTTTCGCTTATTCTTCCATTACTCAAATTTATAGTTGCTTTTATTTCACCCTTACAAAGTTTCTTTGAAGTTCTTGAACATATAATTTTCGCTTATTCTTTCATTACTCAAATTCATAGTTGCTTTTATTTCACCCTCCCAAAATTAATGGATTCACTATATTTCTCTTCCTATAAACGAACACATTCAAAAATTAAAAGAAAAATTTGAGATCATATTCCTGAACTTACCTGAAAAACGAGAAAATTGCGCGCTTTGACGAGAATTCCGAGCGACTTCAATTTCGCGCTATACTCATCCCAAGTCACCTGTCTCCCATCAATCCGATACTCGCTAGCACCAGCACTCGTAATCGCACGCGTAAAGTGAATCTCAGTCCCATTACCTAACTGATACACCAATTTCACGAAGGCTCTTCGACCCTTCTGCTCTTTTTCGCGGTCGTCGAAGGCATAAATTAAATCTTTCAACTGAGCGCCTCTCAGCTGGCCGGTTCGGACGCCGAGCACGAAACTGATAGCATCCATGAGATTAGACTTTCCGGCGCCATTGGGACCGATGATGGCGGTGAAGTCGTAGAATGGACCGATGGTTTGAAGGCCTTTGTACGACTTGAAGTTTTCGAGCTCGATTCGGTGGATTTTGCCCGGCGAAGATATAGAAGGCATTGCAGAGCGAGATTGAAAACCTGTGTTGGTAGTAAATTAGGGTTTTTCGGGCGAAAATTGTGAAGAATAGAGGGTTTGGAGTGTTGAGAGGGGAATTAGGGTTTTCAAGATTTGAACAGTAAGAGATAGTGGGAGATTTGGCGGGTTGAGAATTTGGAAATTGAAGAATTTTAGGGAGTGAGAGAGTGAGATTCCATTCGGGAGAAGAGTAGTACAGAGGCGGAAGCACGGAATGAGAGGTGAAGACACTCCGGTATTAGTACATGTCATGTGTTACCGCGTCCATTCGTTGACGTATTGCCTTCACTTGTGAGAAAAAGTACCACGTAATTCTCAAATTTCGTTTTTTACTGGGCTGTAAACCTAATGTCACCAATTTCACTGATGTTATTGGATATATAAATAATTTGGGGTATAATGAATTATCACTAATAAAATAATAATAAAATATATTTAATAATGAGTCTTGTTGTAACATTATGAATTTATTATTATATCATTGATAACATTACTCCACCACCAATTTATAGTCCCTAACATTTTTAATTTGTTTATGTTTTGTTTGGTCTTTTTCCTAACCTCCGTCCAAATTTATGACAGAGCCATGACATGTTAGTCTGCCATGAGGGGCAAACTCGATAAACAATAGTATATTTAGCTGCTGCTTGGAGACACAATCGAAGGGAAGTAGTTGTCTGAAGTTACTGCTTTACTGTCGTCGAGGTTGCCATCATCGATTGTTTGTTATGAAGTTTGTTGCTCACCACTGGTTTCATCACAATGGATCTAATTTTCTATTATTTGTGGGCATGTTGCACAAATGAATATTCTATGTAGAAGTGATAATTTTATTTTATTATCAATTAATTCGTTTATAAATAAATAGGTTGGATAATTATATTAATTAATAAAGATTCTATTGGGTTGAATAATATGATTTATGTTAATTAAACGAATTAAAATGTATTATAAATGAGTACCTATTGAATTGAATATTTTTCTTTTTATTATATAATATAAATAATAAAATCAAATAAATATACTAATTTTATAATATAAACATGGTAGGCTTCAATAAGTTCATCCGACAATTTTAAATAGACTCATTAAATGACCACTAACATTTTTTTCAAAATTATTCATATTGTACTGTACTTTCAGACACAAATTATCCCTAATATACTAAAAAATACACTCACATACTAATAAAGTAAAAAATATGCACACATATACTAGTACACCAAAATCACACACACGTGACCATGTCCAACCCGACTCATGACCCATGACTCAGTTGTTTATTGTGTGTGTATTTTTTATGTATTAGTGTGTGTGCATTTTGGTATATTAGTATGTATCTATTAAAATTTTTAATTGTTTTATGGTTTAATGAATTTAGCACAATTCATTACAGTGAAAATTGAATGTGAATCCCCTTAAATGAACTTATAATGACTTGAGTTATGGAATGAAACTTATTTAGGGGAAAGTCCATGTTTAAACTTATATTTAAGTAATTAAGTCCACTTATTTTTTAAATCTCAAAATTATTCCTAACGGCATTAGTTTTGTCCAGTCATAAAAAGTCACATAGATTAAATCATTGAGGTATATGTTGGTTTATTAAGTCAAAATCAGATCACAAAATTTTCTTAATAATTCAAAATTTTCTTAACATTAGTGTTACTATAGTGACAAAGTTACAGTTGATTATTTGCATTCAAAATATTTTCACAACTTTGATATTCATAAATAGAGTTAAGGTATGCGATTTTAAAATGAAAATTGATATTTATTGTAAGGTTTTAAAAAATATATACATTATATATAGTTCAAACTGTATTTTTTTTTATATTCATAATTTAAAAAATGATATTAATTATTACTAAATTAAAGTGTTATATAATTCTATTTTGTTGTTTTCTTTGTTGTGCAAGACATTCGAAATACATTGATTGTGTGTTTGTGTAATAGATCTGTTATTGTGTGATAACTGAAAAATAAATTTCAGAATTTCGATGTCTTGATGTTCTTAATTGATGTTGAGTGTTCTAATTCAACTGTCAACGGTGTGTTACTATTATAAATTTTGTAAATTTTTAATTTGTGAATCGTATTTTTACTATAATCTTTTGAAAATTGATGTTATCGTAAAAACTATATTACATTGTATTTTGTAAAAGTCGAAGTGTTATTGAGCATAAACCTTTGATGTTACTGTGAAAATTAAATACGTATTTTATATATTATACGTCTAAAGGTTTACAATTGGTAGTATAAGTGAAAATTGAGGTTGAGTTTGTATTATTATTTGAAATGATGGAATTCTTCATTTTGAGTATTGAGTATTTTAAGGAAACACAATCTTATTCGTGTCGCTATAGTAAAATTAGTGTCACTATAATAACACTAATGTTAAAGAAATTTTGAATTGTTAAGAAAATTTTGTGATATAATTTTGACTTAATAGACCAACGATTTATTCGTACATCAAACTTCCATATATAACTTCCATTAATTATCATAATATTTAATAAAAGGTTTCCATATATAACTCAATCAAGAGTTTTCATATATACTTCAATTATCTAACATTTGTGAAGAAGACAGTAAGTCAGACGTCGGTTATTGTTTTTCCAAATGGTAGGGGTACAATAATAAACTTGATAAAAAGTGGGTTTAAAACCAAATAAGTTTCTTTACGAGACTTATCTCTAAATAAGTCTATATAGAGAGACCGGTCTCCAAATTTTCCTTCATTATAAATCCAACCCATCATTATCCATTTAATACATTAGTGAAAAAATAGATTAAATTTTTTTGACCCAACTCAATTTAACCCGGTCATAACCAACCAACCAACCCCACCAAGTTGCCTGGCTCTACTAAATAGCATCACCATGGTCACGGTTAGATAGGCTTTGAAGATAGAGTTTGAACATAGCCGTGTCCACAAACAAGGAAACTACCGGTGTTTGCCAATTGGAGAAATTTCAAGAAATAGTAGTAAGATGCGAGATTTTTAAGGGGGCAATGGTGAAACAAAGTTCAAATTCCAGGGCACAAAGCGAAATTATTATTTGTTTAAAAAAGCCCTCAACTAACGTTGTAAAAAATATAAAAGAAGATTAATTCGTCCACCCCCTACATGCGACCAACCAATTCGCAATGAAAAATCGAGGTAGATAATCATAGTACCACAAATCCAATTTCGTTTTAATTAAAACTCATTATATACATATGTACCCCTCATTCATTTATGGTGATCTGTCCAAAAAAAAAAGAAAAAAAATATATACTTAAGGGTTCTGTTCAGGCTTTAGGGACTCGGAGGTTAAGATGAAAATCAGAGCATGGCATTGAAGTTACCAGAAACTTCCTTATGTAGCCATTATTTCACAGGGAAAAATAAACACTAAATCATTAGGTCCTGTCTCACACAAAATCAGTAGGTACTGCCTCACACAAAATACCGTAAGCTGATGAACTAATCATCAACCATGACAGGTTGATGGCTAATAACTTGTGCCCGGTGTACACATACAAACAAAATATGACCATTAAAACTGGTTCTAACACCCAGTTAACTCTCACTCCTCATTTCTTTTCTCAATGTCGGATTCAAGATGATGATCCTCTGGGAAATCAGCCTTTTTGACTTCACTGCTGGACTGAGTGCTCTGTGTTTTTGGAGAATCTTCCGTTTGGGTTTCACTGTGATTTTCAACCTTTGCCGCTAAACTGGCTTCCGCCGTACCAGAAGTTTCACGTTGTTCTCCTCCAGACTCTAGAGCAGCCTCCATTTCCTCGTATTTGGAAATCTCTCGTTGAAGCTCATCGTGAAGATTTAGAGCCTCAAAGAGCATTGCCTCATCATCAGTGGTGCTTTCAGCAATTCTGCGAATGCCAGGCAGTGACTGCTTGCACTTCTCCAACAGGCTTATCGTCAGATCATCCTGCAACAACACAAGAACTTTTACCGCTTACAATTACTTCTAAAAGTGCGTCGACTATTCTACATCAAGGGGATAGTTCAATAAAATTCCAGAGCCTGCCAATAACAACTTAACATAAACATTCTATTATGCACTCTCAAGTTTTTATAAAGCCTGAGATTTCCACCCTGATGGACTCCAAAAATTTGATCACAAAAATACTGCAACAACTAGTTTCTCAGTTCTTAAGCAAATCAAAAAAACTGTCATACAACGTCTACGAAAAATAATTATCACACACAATAAACTGACTGGTAATAAGGAACATTTCCAAAGAAATGGTAAAATTAAGCTATGGATTCGGATAAATGCACACCTCTTAATATCTTACAAAAGTTGGCAACCTATGTATTGATAGGATACTACCATCTTGAAGGAAAAAGATTAATTACCTTGATGGGTTTTGGTTCAGTTTCAGAGTTTAAGATGCTGGAAAGCAGGTCAAGGCTGTTTCGTGTAACCACAATAAGTTCTTTATTATCTTCAATGGATTGGCTGGCATAGCTATAAGCAAAAGTGTTATCATCTGAACCACGCAAACCCGTGTCAGGAATGGGGTATCTTTCAGGTGGTGACATTGGTTGTTGATTCACATACGACTCCAAGGTATATTGCATCCCATCTTGAGCCCCTTGAGGTGTTCCCCTAGTCTTCAAAGTCTGTCATAATGATCACAAAAACCAAAACACAAACAAAAGGAGCATCAGTCTCTTTAAAAACCATATTAAAACCAGGCCTACAATTCAGACAGAAAGTGCCAGAAAACCTTAAATATACAAACTGAGAGATCCCATTAGTAATGCCTGACAACAGTGGATACATAAACAGAAATTGACATATGGGAAAGAGCCATAATGTTGCTTCTAAGATTGCTCTCATCCTTGGAGTAATTTATTCTCCATCAGCGAAAATTGAAAAAAGTACACGATTCAGATTAAGGATAGCTAGGAAGAATACCAGATAAACCAGAGTAAAGATGAAACAAACATGAACCACTGTAGGTACCCAGATTGTCAATCATCTCTTTATTTATGCTTAAGTAAAATAACTAGCATAGATGTCTCCCTATGTTGTGATTATACAGGAGGACTATCCCAGCATCAGCAAAATCAAAGGTGAACGCTACAGGTTACGAACTCTCCTTTGCTCCTTGCATTGGAAAGCAATAATGCCGTGAATGACCTTGTTAACCTATGAATTATGATGCTCGAGTCCTGCGTTCTTGCATTATAAGCAAGGATTGAGGTATACTGATCTAAAGGTCCCTGCAGCTCTAACCTCAGAAATTTGTTTAAGGCATGTTAAGCTCTTGCAACACATATTACATTGAGCTTAATCACACAGAAGTACAGCAAGAAATATTCATATAAGATCCAAACTTCCATCCAGAGTGTGTATCATGATGTCGATAACTGTAAGAACATGTATAATTTCAAATATGTCCAACATCAACTCAGAGAAATCAGTAATACAAATATATTCAGCATCCAAAAATGTTTGCCTAACAAAATTTTCGAGTTGCAATAAAACTACACCAATGTTTTACATCACATAATCATATTTTCTTTACTAGTTCAACTGTTCCACATAAATATTAGGTGCTTACTTGTAAACATTTATTAGACAATCGCAACAAAATAAGAACCAGACATGTAAATCGACTTATTACTTATACGCTTAGCTCCCAAAGACGAAAATTCAAGAAAAAATGATGACGCAACACAATCAGAAGAGAAATAGACTATAAATTAACGACAAATCTACATATACACCACGAAAGGGATGAAAGCTGACCATGTAAGTTTGATGGAAGACGGGCAAATACATGAGATCCTCGGACTCACCCCAAGCCCTAATCAACTGCATGGCCCTGGTTCTATTCTCAAGCTCCGTTTTCGGATCATCGATCATCCTCATTATATCATCCAACACCTTCTCCGACGCTACTTCACTAAACACCTTCTCACAGTTCGACGTACACGTCTCTAGCAAATCAAGACTCAACCTCTGACTCACCACACTCTTCCCCAACATCTTCTTCTTTATGGCCTTCACGATCTCGGTCCCACTCAACTGTTCGCCGTTGATCATCGCGCAAATTCGCAAATTCAAGCCCCAATTAGGCTCTTCCATGGTCTCTAACGTCGCCTCGTCGACTATCTTGGACTCTGGCGTTGGTGCTTGTAGAATTTCCTTCATTTTGGAGCTAACGATTCGACTCATCTGGGCACCACCAGTCTTCAATCTCTCGCCTAGCGACGATGAAGCGAGCTTCAATTTGTCCAATTTATCCATTTTCTGAGATGAAATCCTATATTCTGATCGAGCTCTGAGAAGAAAAAGATATTGATTTTGTAAAGCCCTAGTTTTCAGTTCTTGTAACGCCGATTGTGTTCGTCTTGCGAAATGGAAGAAAAGAGGGTTGGGGACTTTGAACTGGTCAGCTGGGAGAGGAGTTGCACCATAAGAGATAGATATGAAACGGAGTGATCTGAGATACGCGTGGCTGTCGTGCGGTCTTCGTGGCTACATGAAGTCACGTGTGTGGTCCCTTTCGGTCAAATCTTAATTCGGTGCATTAATTTTGATTATCTAGAATATTTTGGAAATAAAATATAAATAAATAAATAATTTATTAATTTTTTTAAAAAATATTTGAAATAATATTAGTTAAAATATTTCAATATATTAGTAAAATTATACTGAAATATTTCAAAATATTAAAATTTTGATTCAATCATTGATTCGTTTCAACCCCTTGAAACTAGAAATATTATAATTATTTTAAAACTAAATTTTGATTTTTTGAATTAAGTCTGGATGAGAAATAAATAAACGATTTTTTCCCCTCTAAATTCACTTTGCTCCTTCAAAAAAATTGAAAATTATATTTTGATAATGCAAAAAATTGGATTTATGCACCACATATCCAATAATTAATGTGGGTAATAAATACAAATAAGTTATCACCACAGACAATAAACACATATAGAGTGGTTTGACCAAAGTATAGAGACGTATCCCTTATGTGTAGATATGTCTTACAATTTATAGGCATTAATGGTGCACAAATTGGGTTTGCACACCACCTGTCAAGTATAAGTAATAAATGCAGTAATTAAAGTAGAGAGGAAACGAGAATTATAGTGGTTCAGTCAAAATAACCTACGTCCACTTTTGAATGACTAGAGTCGCGCGGGTATTTTATTAACTTAAATGTGCAAGGAGAGCAGAGAGAGGAGAGAATTGTGCTTAACAAAGTGTGATATGCTCTCCAAGTGTTGGTGGGACTTACAATTTATAGTCGCCCCCTAATAGATTAAGGTGACTTAATAACAACTAAATAACTATTTTGGTAGAGTTGACGACTTTTTTTCAACGGGCGAGGCAATTGAGGTGCTCTCCATAAGACTCGATCAAAGGATGACTGGGATATTGACTATTTCCAAGGTGACATGGATGAGCTCTTAGACGGCCATGCGTGCTCTTCTACTGATGTAACTCTTGGAACTTGATGAACTTGACTGAGCACAGACTCTTTGAGTTTGACTAACTGAACTTTTTGGAGTTGGGCTCTTGGGCTTAGCCCATCATTTGTCCCCAATGCCCTGTGTCCAATGGAACTTGGAAATGAGGACATTCGGTTGAGTTTAAATTTTTGGCTGACCAGCACAACTGAAAAAAATTCGGGAGGCCAAAACATCTGTTTTTAAGCATTTTTTGGACTTTCAACAGTATCGAGAGCTTCAATTTGATATATAATAAGCTCCGTTTGGAGTAACGGAGCAAAAATTGTGGTCGAAATAACGAGCAGGAAACTGAGAGCGTGATTTGGGCGAGTGGATAGCCTTTGGGTGAGCAAACATTGTTCTGGACGAGTTGGTACTGTTCTGGGCAAGAAGTAGCTTAATGTTTTTTAAAAAATAAAATAAAATTTCGGGAGGTCAAAACAGCTATTTCTGAGCCTTTTTTTTATACTTTTTACAGCATCTTGCATTGCCATAGGCAAAGAGTTTTGTAGGGCTAACCGAGAGCTTCGATTTGATATATAATAAGCCCCATTTAAAGTTTTGGATCAAAGATTATAGTCAAAATAGCGTGCAATCTTTTTTAAATCTAAATTTTTTGGAAACTCCTCTTGATCGACGACCTTCTCCCTTCCAGTAGACTCCTTTTGCTTGTGGAACTCCATTGACTATATAAACTCCCTAATTTATTTCCTTTTCTGGATTCTTGAAGAGCCTAAGTTGTAATTTGGGGATTTTTTTTTGTCTTTTCCTTCCTTCAATAGGATTTTAAAACCCCAACTATAAAAAGAAAACCATTTTTTCATTCTAACCATTCCATTCAATCTTGAGAGAGGTGGAGAGCTTTATTCCTCAAATCTTTCAAGGAGTTTCTTGAGTTTGAGCATCTCAAAGGCAATGTCAATTGGGGGAAGGAGGGATGCAAGCTATAAAAGGAAAAGAAGCAGGCGTCAAAGCCCACATCACTGCGAGCGGCACCGTCGCTAGGGGAATGGCGTCTGGGCCACTTCTTGATGACCATGAAGAGACAACAACACTGGAAGGGAGAAGAGCTCCTTTGGGCGTACGCTGCTGCGTGCACAATGGAGGGCCCAGCAACTCAAAAAATTTAGGGAGATACCCAGGAAAGCCTGGTATTGGGCACCCAGGCCACGGAGATGGGCGCTCATTTGGATGTCTTAGGCGACCTGGGCGAACAGGCCATGGAGGTGGGTGAGTAGGCCATGAAGGTGGGTGAGATGGGCATTGAGGCGCCAAGTGGTGCACAAGGGGCAGCCCCTGATAGTGGTGCAGGCGCGCAGAGCAGCCCGTTAGGCAAGCAAAGGTGTTTGAAGAGTTTTGGCGAGGATGGAGCTTTGGGCGAACAAGGGGCTGCCTTGGGCGAGCCTGGGGCGAGCCTGGGGCGGAGGGTGCTAATATGGTCGAGTAGCAGGTGTTGTGGGGCGCGATCCTGAGGGCCAACTTGAGTGTGCAGTCTGCTGAGGTGCCTATAGCGCTCGATGTGCTCGAGTGGTGCCTTTGGGGCTGGGCATTGCTGGAGGGGCGCTGCTGGCAAACAACTTTACTGATAGAGGCAGCAGTGCCGGATAGACATAAAAGGATGTACCCCGATTGTTGACATTCAATTTAATGTAGTCCCTCAGGTTGCAGACGACCTGAGTTTCAAGAGCCTGGCTAGAGATGACAAAAAAATAATGTTATTTCAAACATTAAAATATCTTACATAATTACCTGGAGAGAAAGACAGACTGTTTGCGCAAGAGCAAAGACAGAGTTTGAGGATTACTCATGAGAGAGATTACTCATGAGAGAGCTATACCTTTTGAGACCGAGCTTTTTTGGCGACCCGTGAGAGAGTCCTTAAGCTTGAGAATGGACTGCCTATTTGAGAACAGTGCAGAGGTCAAGCTTTTGGCGATTCGCAAGATGATTCACCTCGCTTGGACCTGTTGATTTTCTCAACATTCATATATTTTTGAGTTTTTGCCAATAGTTTTGACATGCTATTTGGCGATCGCTTCATTGCTGAAAAGAGGAAGTTTGACGAGCGGAAGCCTCCCAAGAAGATGATCATAGTTACTTTGTCATCGGACTCCTTAACTTGGAGGACCTCCTCGTTAAAACGAGCAAGGTAGCTCATTAGGCTCTCATCTCAATCATGATTTATGCTAAGCAGATGGCGTGATAGGCTTCTGGTGGCGGCACCCTCCAATAAAGTGTAACACGAAGGACCTGCTCAGCTTAGCAAAGGAGGCAATGGAAGATGGAGAGAGCTTGACGAAACATTATCGGACGGATCCCTTCAGGGTGGTTGGGAACGCCTAGCACATGATCTCGTCGGGAACATTGTGCAACTACATTATAGTTTTGTAAGTTTCGAGGTGGTCTAGTGGATCCTTTGTTCTATCAAAGGTTTTCATAGATGACATATTGAACTTTTGAGGGAGGGGTTAGTTTTCCACGTCAGGTTTGAAAGGCGTGTCAGTTTGCCTGACAAGGTAGTCCATAATCTCAGGTTCTTGCGCCTTCATGGCGTTGAAGACGTCACCCAATTGATTTTGCACCTCTTTTATTTTTTTGTTTTAGTGGTTGGGAGCTCCTTTGAAATTATTATGGAAATGACTTCCATGTTCCATATTTTGATTTTCACCCTCATCCTTTTGAAAATTAGGGTCTCCACCATGGGAAGCAGGAGCTAAAGAAGGTGGAGGCCTTTCATAGTCGGTTCCCCTTTGTGGGGCGCCCAGATGGGGAGCTCCTTGGGGAGCTTCTTGACACCCAAGGTGTGGAGCTCCTATGACTTGAGGTCCAAGAGGTTGTGCTCTCCTTGTCCGGCGAGCATAAATTATAAGATCTACTAGTTTTGGGCCACAACCTGCTGCATGGTCTCCAACATCTGCTGCGTTTTTAGGACAGGAGCATTTGGGACAAGATTGGTTAATGGAGGAGCAACCTCCTCCTCTCGCGGTGGATTATCCTCAAGTTGGTTTATGGATCTGGTAATGATCGTTATTGATTCAACAAATGAATTTTTTAGAAGTGAGAATTTAATCGATTTCCACAGACAACACCAAATTGATGATGCACAAATTGAGTTTGCACACCATCTGTCAAGTATGAGTAATAAATGCAGTAATTAAAGTAGAGAGAATACAAGAATTGTAGTGGTTCGGTCAAAGTGACCTATGTTCACTTTTGAATAACTAGGGTCGTCGGGTATTTTATTAACTCAAATGTGTAAGGAGAGTAGAGAGCTATAATCTAGGAGGAAAATGAGAGAGTTATGCTCAACAAAGCGTGATTTGCTCTCCAAGTGTTGGTGGGGCTTACAATTTATAGTCGTCCCCTAACAGATTGGGGCGACTTAATAACAACTAAATAACTATTCTGGTGGAGCTGACGATTTTTTTCAACGGGCGAGACGGTTGAGGTGCTCTTCATGAGACTCGGTCAAAGGATGACTAAGGTATTGAATATTTCCAAGGTGGCATGGATGAGCTCTTAGACGACCATGCATGCTTCTCTATTGATGTAATTCCTGGAATCTGATGAGCTTGACCGGCTGCAGACTCCTTTGAGTTTGGCTAACTGGACCTCTTGGAGCTGGACCCTTGGACTTGACCCATTAGGCACAAAGTCTTAGTTAAGGTAGTGGCGTGAAGAGATAAGTGATTAGTCACTTGGAGTTGATAAACTACAGTTAAGGATAGGTACAATTAAAGATAAGTGTGATATTTGAGATCGGCTGTCCTAGTAATTATTCTCCACGTGCACTTAAATTCTTAGACCCCTTAAGTTTTGGACTAAGCCAAATTCATGAGCTGAGCTTGACCTATTTTGTAGTTAATTTGGGCTTACTCTATGAATTGAGCCTAAACCCAACCAAATCTGGGCTCATCATATTTTATCCTACCCAAAATAAAAATCCCATATTACTAAGCATGCACAAACCATAATGGAGTTTTTTCTATCAGGAAAAATAACATAATATCTAAAAAGGCATAAATCCATATCATGTATACAGATAATAAACTCTCATGCTCTTGAAAAAACAAATCACGTGAGTCACAAATAGAAGTAATGGGGGACGTGCTGAACCGAATTACAACAATTCGGTTCATACTACCGAGCATAAATGCACAATTCAGTTTGAAGGCATAGCCTAAGCTAAACAATAGGAAAAACGCTTATAATTAGGGAATTTAGGTGCAACAACTAAGTGAAGTCAATAGCTTAGAAGAACTGCAATTAATGGATTGTCTGAGAGATTTTAGTGATCCCTAACATACATTCCCAAATAAAGGGAGATGCATCATCTCCCTCACCGGTAAAAGAAACCCTAGAAATAAGATGAAGTGTATATAAAGTAGGTAGAATGCATGGTGAGGGGTAAGCAAAATTCTCTTTGCATACATATTCCTCTTATACAGGTACTGACTGAAATATCGGAGTGTCTTCGATCGAAATATTTTGGTCCTAAGTAGTTTGTTCATTTTTTAAAGATGGGATTTGAAATAGGAATACAATTTTCTTCATCAAACCTAGGAGGTATTACAATTTTATCACCTACAATTTTTTATGATTTACAAACTTTTCTTCCAAAGATTAATTATTTCACATTATAACATAATTTGAGAACTCAATTTCTTAATTATAATAATAGAGAGATTACTTAAGCTGTACAGTGAAAAATGCAAAGTTTTTATTTTTTTGTTGCAAATTGGAATTCTTTCATTAAACAATCTAATTTTTTTTTTTATCATACAATGATCTTTTTTTGAAATATATTTTATTTTACTATTTTTTAATTTATTTTCTGAATTTTTTTTTATTATTTAAAAGTAGTGTCTTTATTCAAATAACAATAAATGAAAAAATAATGTTACCCTCACGATAAAATAGCAATAAAGTTCTAAAACTCACTCAAATCAACCCGACCCAAACAAAATAAGCACACACCCGACCGACAGAACTTAAAAAACGGGTCAGATACAAATGAATAATGTTACATTAATTATAAAGTAAAGGTTTTCAAAGGTTTAAGAACCAGGGCATGCTGGGGCGGCAATCTGGCGACGACGACGACGACACACCAGCATTGCGATGGTTTCCGTCTCGACCTGGTTCCGATACATAGCCCACAAGCTCGAATACTCCGTCTCTCTCAGCTGGAAGGTCCCTCAATCTCTGTCTCTGTCTCTGTCTCTCGCTATATTTATATGTTTTGATTTCTTTTGTGGGTTGGTTGATGAATCTCTCACGATTGCTGTTTGTTTACACGATTAATGTTTATACTTTCTGAAAGTTTTATATTTCATTTGATTACTTTCTAGAATTAGAGTCTTGAGCGTGCAGACGGGAGTATTTATGCTCAAAAGATTTATGGGTCTGCTCTATTTTTTGTAAAGAACGAATCTTTCCAACTGATACCTACATTAAGAAAAATTGTTATCTTCCTGAGTTTCTCATGTGGAATTGACTGGATTTTTTGTCATCCTTTATTTATTTACTAGGGTAACACGTGGTTGAAGCCGCGGCGTAATGTGAATGGTTTTGAGAATGTTGGTGGCCATTGGATGAGTCTATCTGAGTACATTTATTGAAACCTATTTTGTTTTATATTATAAATTTATTTATTTAATTATTTTTTTTTTGGGGGCGGGTTTTATTTGGTATCTTCAATTATCATGATACGGACTTTTACCATCTACATTGATATTGGTGGACAAGGGTTAAGTCCCCTATTAATTTCGCACTATAGTTGTTATTGTTAGGAGTTGGTTTTACTTTTTATTTTCTTTTTCCAGTAGACCATTTGCTGTAGTATTCATCTGATTGCACTACTAGCAATTTAAGGCTATCTTTTTTATTTTATTTAAAAAAAAATGACGAACTCAGTCCCAGAAAAATAAAAAAGAATATTTTTTTTCTCTTATATTTTTAATTGGATTATAGATGAGAGGCACTCTTTGCGCTTTACAATGTATCGAGAAGCCTTGCAACATCCAAATTGTCATTTTGTTATATGGGTTGTTATTTCTTCTTTTTTCCATTTTGCATATTCATAAGTGTGTTCAAGCCTTCAAGGAGGACACCGTGAAGTCATGAGCCTAGAAAGTACTATAAATTAACTTTGCCACGTCGTTTGGCTTGTGTTCACTGGTTCTTGCTATTATGTGACCTCATTGTACAGGACATGGTGATTACTCTGACATCTGCCATGAAATGATCAAGTGTGTGTTTGTGCTTTTCTTCTTAATTGAATGCAACACACCACCATCGAGATATATGTATTAGTCTATGTGTTTAACTCCTGTGTATGAGAAAGGCTTTTTAAGCAAACAAAAACAATGAAGAAAGTTAATCAACTTCGAATTACTATGATTAGGTCAGTCAATCCATTGATCAATCAACTTCGAATTACTATGACTAGGTCAGTCAATCCATTAATCAAGTGTGTGGGATCCATCTTTAGATGCAACTTTTTAGGGTTCACATTAGTAATATTATTATTATGTATCCGCACTTCTACTTATTTTTAGAAAATAGACACACAATATCTACTTTCTGGGATTGCTGGATTTTTACCTTGGGAGTTATTTATTTATTTTTTCCTGTAAATTTTAGTTTCGCTTGAGAAATTTTAATGCTAAGGTTGGCAGCATGGAATTGAGGACTTGGAACTAGAGTTGAGGGAAACTCTGTGTTTGTTAGTTCTAGGCCTGAAATCTATGATTGCGTTTGAAGAGGGATTGAAGTTTGTTGTTGGTACAGTGAGTAGCCAGCATACAGTGGGAAGCTGGAGTTTGTTGACAGATCAAAATTGCAGTTTCTTGAGCTTTCACAAGCCTATAAACACAAACTATGGATTTAAAATGGAATTAATCCCCAAAAATGAATGATTATATGAAGAAAATATATGAAAGAGAGCTTCGTGCTCAATCTCTCTCTAACAGTATTATTCATTATTTTTTCTTCTCCTCATGTGATTTCTTCCTTTCTTGTCCCTGTACCTTGTCTGTGATTCTTTTCCCCTATTGTTCCGTCGTCTCATGGACTGCACCTGCCTTCTTTCTTTTCTATTCTTCCCCTTTCCCCTTTTCTCTTATTTTGCTCTCTCTCTGATTATCTCCCACCTCGAAGCATTCACAATCCCATTTTTCGGTTTTCACTTTTCATTTGAAAGGTTAGGTGGGTTGTTTTTTTTACTACACACAAAGCATTCCTAATTCCTGCTCTTTGTCGGCTCATGTGACTCAGGACTACTACCTTTTTCACATATTCGGGTAAACGAAGAGAATTTTGTCACTTTTGAGTAGGATCATTAGTTTATAAGCTAATGAATGATTATTGGTTAATCCTTCTTGCATTATGGCATTATTTCTGAAGGTGTGAGCTCCAAAAGTAAAATTGGAAGCATATTTTTTGCCAGTAATCTCACAAGAAGATGGCTCACATAGTTTTTTTTCATGCTTTGTTTCTCCTGTTGACTGATATGTTCTGTTTTTTTTTTTTTCTTCATGCAAACAAATGTTTAATAGTGGTCCATGTTTGAATTATGGTATTTGTAACTCATCCTGACAGTCATCAATATGACGCAGAGCTATAAACGAGGTCAAATCACTGACAGAGAAGTAGGTGATACTGTTTGGAAAAACTTTTTCCAGGGGAAGTTGACATACTTGCATTGGAACAAAGGAGAGGAGATGGCCCCGACAATAACAGGGCAGGGGGGAACTCTTCTTGTCCGAAAATTACCTGCAGCAGATCCAACGTAAGTTTTTGCAAAAATGAATTAGCACAATCATTTGGTATTACCTAGTCCAAACTCTCCTCGGAATTAAATTCCCTCTACTCTGATATAAAGTCCCACGTATTAATTAGAGTCTATACACTGCATTTTTGGGAATTCATCCTCTAGTCAAACTTGACATTTCTTGACAATGACTAGGTGCAAATTCCTATGATTTGAAACCTGAACGTTTCCTAGTTTCTGCATCTTGTTTCATATTTGGAATTCGAGTTCTGTTTTCCCATAGGTTTGGTTTAATTGGTTCTGATATTGGGGAGGGTGGTTAATAACTCACCCACAATTTTTTCACTGGATTTTATGTTGTGTCAACATTAGCCTTGTTTGCTTGTGCCTCTGTAAGTCTGGAATAGTTAAACATGTCGTTCCCATACACTGTTCAAGGTGGATGCACTAATGCTTAACACCAATCCACTTTGTAAGCAATTTTACTGTATTGAACAATATACATGCACGAATATGCACACACTTCGTAGGTTCGTATATTTTAGTGGAATCATATTTGGACATTTGCTTCTTGAAACTCTGCGTTGATTTAATTGCTTTCTTGAAGGAGAACATTTTCTAATTGTACACTCAGCCGGTGAGAAACTTAATTTTGCACTTTGGCTGATTAATCAATTTCAATAATCATTGTCATATTTGAATTTAGCAGTCATGCAGAAGTTTCCAAACTTAATATGGGTCTAAATGTCAGATTCAATTTTCTGTTTTTGGAATTCCATGGTTATTTTGTTTGATGGTACCATCTAAATTTTAGTTGCCGACTAATTGGTAGGCATAAAGCTTTTGTATGACTATTGATACATAAGTATCTGTATGCTTTTACATCCACTTTTTGATATGAAACGAAGGTTGGGTATGTGGATTTTATGTCACATTAGTGTTTGTACCCAAGGATCAAAATATCGTTTCGAAATGGTCAAAATATCCAAATCGTTTCAGTTTTCAAGGAGACCGAAATGAATAAGTGATAAAATTGAAATTCTAACACTTCGAGGTGTTCCATAATGTTTTGTTATATTTCAATGTATTTGCACAATTATTTCGGAATGTTTCAAAATATTTTAAGATATTTTGATATATTTTGACAAATGTTTTGAAAAAATAATTCTTAAATTTTTTTTTATTCTGTTTTCGAAACGTTTCCGGAACATGTCGAAATGTTTTTGTTTCCTAGGTGACCGAAACAATACACCAAAATGAAATTTTGATCCTTGTTTGTACCCCTATACTCAAGTGTCGACTTTGCCACATGTTGCAAGGTTTGACAATGGCAGGCTACATTAATTTTTTTAGCAGATAATGCTGATCTTTTGCTAAATTCAGGCATGAACACTTTTGAGAGTTTAAGCTAGTTGAAATAAGTTAGCTAGTGACATCAGAGCTGCTGAATTATGTGGCTGACTATATAGCTGGAGTAAGGGTTTGAGAATAAACATCTGAATGACATGTATAATTAAATGTGATTCTATATAAGGCCATACTTTTGAAATATCTAAGAAGTTTTAGTTAGTATTTGATTCGACTGTTGTTTCATATATGTATCATCATGGGTTTTTGGCTGGGATCATTTTAACATTTCTCCTTTGAGTGGAGTTTCCTCTTCTTTCAGTGAGCTTCCTCTGTAGGTTCTTTTTGCAGCCGTATCCCTAAGAGAAACCATAAACCAGAATAGAAGAGTTTGTTCCACCCATGAGCAAATATTTCATATTAGCCTCATTAGAGCATCTCCCACAAGATTTTGTATTTTATCAATCTAATAGTACACTTTTTCTATTTAGCTACTCACTTTTTCAATACACACTAACCAAATCAAACTAAGCCTTATGTCCCAATCATTTGGGGTCAGCTATATGAGTCGTCTTTGCCATTCATTTAGATAATGCACTATACACTTATTTAAGTTAAATATTTTCATATTTTTTCGTTCAATGTTAATTTAGGTCTACCTTTACTTCTAGTACCATTAAGAGAAATTCTCTCACTTTTTCAAACCGTTGCATCTATCGGCATCCGTTGAATATGACCGAACCATCTTAATCTATTTTCTCTTAACTTATTTTCAATTGAAGCTACTCCTACAATTTCTCCGATATAGTCATGTCTTATTCTATCCTTTCTGATTTTTTCATACATCCATCTTAGTATTTTCATTTTTGCTACACTCATTTTGTCCCTATGTTATTTCTTAATTATCCAATATTCTGTCTCATGCAACATTGTTGTCCTGATAGTTATTCGGTAAAATTTAGCTTTCACTTTTATTGGTATCCTTATGTCACATAATATGTCAGGCTTTCCCCCACTTATGCCAACTGGCGTTGATTTTATGAGTTACATCATCTTCAATCTCTCCATTTTTAATGATCAATTCTAGATATCTAAATTATTTACTCGTTGGTATTTCTTGATTTTCAATTTTAACTTTTTCACTATATTTACTTTTTTTATTACTAAAATTTCATTGCATATATTTTAAATCCCCTTGACTTGAGTGTCTCTCTCTCTAAATTTTTAATTTATTGTTAATCCTCCTTCGATTTCATCTACTAATATAATATCATTTGCAATTAGCATAAACCTTGGGACACCATCTTGAATGTACTTAGTGAGTTTATTCATAATTAGGATTTCATCCATAATTAGGGTGAATAGGTATGGACTTAGGGCCGATCCTTAATGTAATCTTACCGTGATTGAAAATTCTTTACTTTCTCCCTCGGAAGTCTAATTATAGTCATAGCCTTGTCATTTATATCCTTTACCACCTCAATATACCTATTCGTTTCTTCTTTTTTTCTCAAACACCCTCCATATTATATTTTTAGGTATTTTATCATACGCCTTTTCTAGATGTATAAATACCATATAGAGATTTTTTTCTTCACTTTATATTTTTCTATGCGTGTCCTCAATAAACATATAGCCTCCATAGTTGATCTACCTGGTATAAATTCAAACTGATTTTCCGACACTGTAGTCTCCATTCTTAGGCAACGTTCAATGATCATTTCCCATAATTTCATTGTATTATTCATCAATTTTATCCCTCTATAATTATTACAATTTTGAATATGTCATTTATTTTTATAGATAGATACTAAGGGGTCGTTTGGTAACGTTTTTGTTTTTGCGTCTTTAAAAAATCAAAAACAGAGACAATTTTTTGTCTCTGTTTTGTGATAAACACTAAAACAGAAAACATGTTTGGTAGTTATTTTTGTTTATCAAATTATAAAAATAAAAACAGAAACATGTTTGGTAACTATCTCAAGTGTTATCCTAAATATGTGTTATAATATCTCATTTTTTGTTTTCAAACAAATCAACACTTTATTTTATTAAAAATGATTTACAACCATGTATTACAAAGGAGTTACAAGAAGCAAAAGAATTCAAAATTTCTAATTACAAAGGAGTTGGCTTTAATCTTTCAAAAATGATTAAAACCAAAAACTAATCAAAACAGTCCAGCTGCCAGCTATTCAAATCCATGGCCCAAGCAACCATAACCTGCCTGCTGACATAACCCAAAGTCTAGAACTGCTTCCTCTAGCTGCTGAACCAACATCTCCTTACTGTGCTATGATCCTATAGTTCAGTTATTGCACCAAAGCTCTCAACTCAACTCACAGTAGAAAAATGTCAGAATAGCAGATATCTACTGAAACAAAGCAGAAAACCTAGTCCAGCAACCCATCAAAAAGACCACAGCCACTCTCATCATTATCACCCCAGCAGCCATATTCAAGATAGTACAACAAATATAACCAAAAAGAAGACAATATGAGAATAACCTCTCTATGCATTGCAACCTAGCATGTAATTCTTGGTTAAAGACTTTTCTTTTCAAATTCTATGCAAAGAAACATGTTGATATGCCTCTGATAAGATATGACATATTAAAGTGCATACAGGTTGAAATTATAAGATAATAACAACTCCATTCGACATGCCCAAGGACAAACAAACACACATAGGCTCCATTCCAAACAACTAATCTCAAGAATACTCGCTTCTTCATTTTCTTTCTTTATTTTTTTTTTCTTCCCATTCTCGTGACAATTAATTACAACAACTAAATAAAATTAGCAAACCAATCATGCACATTGTATGGTCTTAAGTTCAAGAGCATATATCAACAAACATTTAAACCAAACTATGTAGGTCAAATATTTTACACCAAATATTTACAAGTTTTTTCAGTGTCTTTTCACTGCCTTCTTTACAAGTGAGTTTGTGTCCAGCCACAAGGGAAGTAAAGAATCACCAAACTAAGGTTTGAAGCAAAAAAATGTAATTAGCATGACTATTGCCAATAATCACATTGAAGAAAGACAGAATAGAACATAAGTATTTATGCTGAACAAAATTTCCAATAGATGGATTTATTATCAATTCGTTAAATAGTATTAGTCCACTTAATTTGGATCCAGAATTAAAGTAGTTATTGCATATAGAGATGACCGAATAATTAATTATGATTACACATAAAACAGTAAAGGTATTTGAGATTAACCACTTCTTCTATAGAGAATCCCTTGGTCCATTTAATGAGAGTGTCTGATGCAATTGATGATTGGCTAACTGGAAAGAAAAATGTGAAACCAAGCTCCCTTTGTTTACCGGGTGAAAGATTATCATCTTCACCTTCTGTGGCAACAAATTTTGCAAGTGCCGTAGCAATAAAATCAAATAATGTCTGAAATCACCAAATTTGAAGTTTGAGCGCATTGAAAATATTGTAATCAAGAGACAGATATTTATTGGAGGGCTAAATAGATACTTGCCTCAGAAGTTCCAACCATCAAACGAGGAGGAATCGAAACTTCTTCAAATTCAGATCCACAGGCTCGCACAATTAGATAGAAAATTAAAGATAATAGAGGAAGAATAAGAGATTTGAAGAGAGAGGGATTTAAAAGTTGGGTCAAATGGATCACACACACACACACACACCAATCACACAGAAAACACACGCAACACATATAGATCAGTGCATATATGCATATATGTGCACAGATCTGTGTATATATACACAGATCTGTGTGTATATATATAGAGAGAGAACGAGGAGATGAGATGAGAGAGGGAGAAAGAGAAGGGGTTGACCTCCGTCTATGAGAGAGAGAGGAGAGGAGATCTTTCGGTGATGGTGAGAAAATGGGGAGAGTGAGGCAGATGGAGTGTTTCAATAGAGAAGAGTGAGGTAGCGATGGAGAGGAGAGATAAATGAGGTGGGTTTAAATACGTTCACAAAAAAAGACAATTTTTGCAGCTAAGAGAGTTCGATACCTGGATTTCATTAATATTTTTTGCGCGTGTTTCCTGGAACAAAAATTTTTTGTTCCCATTTTTTTGTCTTTGTCTCAAATACAACGAAAACAAAACAAAATCAAAAACAGTTACCAAACATATTTTTGTTTTTATTTTTGACAAAAATTGAAAACAAAAACACAAAACATAGGATAAAAACAATTAGCAAACAACCCCTAAAATACTCTTTCTCCATTCGTCGGGCATTTTTGTAGTAGCAATAATTCTATTGAATAATTTCGTTAGCTACGACACCCTCTCATTCCTTAAGCTTTTTCAAACCTTAATTAGAATTTCATTCGGTCTTAAAGCCTTGCTTAACTTCATTTTTAATAGACACTCCATTAGATTTTCTATATTTTAATTACTTTTAAATATTATTTCATATATTTTGTACCTTTGTTGAGATTGTTGGAGGTAGAGAGAAAGAAAATAGAGGGAAGGACAGAAAGTGGACAAGAAAGGTGGGAAAGGACAGAGGAGAGAAATAATTATAAAATATTTATACAAGTTGTTGCTATATATTTAGAGTATCATTGTAACAAAAAGCTATTTTAGAGCATTAGAACATATTCTGTTGGAGGATATTTTTGTTTTTGGTTAGCTAAATTTTAGCTATTTTGGAGTTTTACATTTTCTATTAGAGATGCTCTTAAACCGTACATTTTTTTTGGTATATCAAGATAATATGTAGGGGCATAAACTGAAACATTCTGGGGCTAAAAATATAATTATTAAATTGTTAAGACATTATAAAAACATTCCTTCTAGACTAGCTATTAATATGAATAACAGAAACTCTGTTATAGTCATGTTTGTACATTCAATTTATTCTTCGGTGAGAGGAATACATAGAGTTGAACATAGTAAAATGAGAAATTGAAAGGTTTCGTTCAAATTGTTCAAGAACCCTGAAATGGTCTTGAAGAACCCTGTACGTTCAAAGTACTCTGTGTATATGCACATCTTTGTTATGATCGTTCCGTTACTGTTTTCATTCTTTTTGATAGGCGTGTTTTCGTTGGTGATGTTGTGGTCTTGAAGAACCCTGAAAACTCAGATAGCCATCTGGTCCGGAGATTAGCTGCCATTGAAGGGTATGAAATGGTGTCCGCTGATGAAAAAGATGAACCTTTTGTTCTTGAGAAGGATCAGTGCTGGGTGTTGGCTGACAATGAGAATTTAAAGCCCAAGGTATATGTCCTATTGTCCTATGCCCTTTACTTGTTTGAATACTTAATAAATTCTTCTAACTGTCATCATTTTTGCATTTATCTGTTTCCTTGGGTTTTATTTATGCCATGGAATTATGAGAAAGCAGAACATCAAAGAGACACTAGCATGCTCATTTGTGAAATTTATATTTTGTATATGTTTCTTTAACATCAGGCTTCTTGAGTGTGATCCTGAATATAATACAATCTCCTTTTTCCTTTATCTATTTTGCCACCTCTTAATTGCAGGAAGCCAATGACAGCCGAACATTTGGCCCTGTTTCCATGGCAGATATAGTTGGCAGAGCGATATATTGCCTTAGGACAGCCGTGGATCATGGTCCTGTGCAGAACAGGTAGCTGTTTGAATTAAATGAGAACTTAAACAATTATCATTGTATATTTGGGAGGGACCCTGGTGATAATTGAATGTTATGTTACTTTGCTAGTCATTTCAGTATGCGCAAGGATTCCCCCGTGTTGGAAATTGAACTAGACGTTGATGAGATGGCGAAGAGGCACAAAGCATAGAATGATTCCCAGAAAGCAAAAGCTCTGGCTTCATTGATTTGTATGTACTTTTGTTGCCCGTTCTCCTCCTTGGACCTCTTTTTGGGCTTTGAGAAGAAGAGAGAAATAAGTTCCAAATCTTCCCAGTGTTCATCTGTTTTGGAATGGTGGCATATTTATTGTTTTCATTATCAGGTATGGTGATCGGTTGTCGGCTTTCTCTCTCTTTCTTTCTGTGAAACTTAAGCAGCACCTTGTGCTAATGAATTTTGAGTGGTAGGTGTATTTGAAATTGATTTGAGACATTAATGTCGTTTCAAAAATTGTGGTTGGATAGCTTCAAGTAACCACTGATGTTTGGATGGGATTCTAGGGCTGCCCATGGATCGGGGTTAGCCCGTGGCAGCCTGCTACTTGACCCGGCACAGAACAAACTCTTTTGTTTTCCCTTTTGCGTGTACATTGTTGTTTCTTGTTTCATTTGTTTCATGAGTCTTAGACCGGTTTGATGAAGGTTACAAAAAAGTATTATCCATGATGTGCATGTTGTTAATTTAGCAAGAGCAGTCCAATGGTAACGTTGGTGCACCGTAAATTTGGATGGTTTTGAATTCGATTTTTATTGGTGATATTTAGATCCAATTAGAAATTGTGCTTCTCAAGTGATTACAGTGATTTTACATTCTCTACACAATATTATCTATATCTATACTACCAATAAAAGTACTTTAACATGAAATTTTTTTAAATTTCTATTTTACCCTTTTAAGAAATTACAAAAATTACTCTATTATTTTATAATTAAATATCTAAATTATCTCTAACATATTTTTTAATTATCTATTTATTTTCGAATAATGATATTGAGACATAATGAGTTGTCACTAATGATGAGACCCATCATTAAATATATTTTGCTATCATTTCATTAATAATAACTCATTATGTTCTCAAATTATGTCTCTCAATTATGTCCTAATAGTATTAGTGTTTATTCTCTGTGTATAAATATTAATTTCTATAAAAAAAAATAAAAATTGATTGACTATATTATCCTTAAAAAATATGCATCATTATATTTTTAATAAAGTGTTCAAAAACTCTATCAATTTAATATTACTTATCTCATATGCAAAGATAATATTATGTCTACATAAACGAATTTTATCTTTCATTGAAAATTTTAATCCTTTTATTTTTAAGATAAAAAAATAATCATATATATAATTTTTTTAAAATCAATTTACATTACATTAGTATAATTCTTCAGTCACAATAAACTTTCTAAGTTGTATGAAGATTTTATATGAAAATAGATATTAAAGTGTATTTTTAAGTAAAACTTGAATGGTTTAGAATTTTAATATGGTTGATAATATATATTATAGAGTAATATATTAAATTTTATCTCAATTTACCTGATCAATTCCTAATTAATGTAAAGTTCAATATGATTAGTATATTGATAAATAATTTATTTTTATTCATGGAATTATAAGTGGAATTAATTGTAATAAAATGAATTTCAAAAAATTTAATTTCTCAAAGATCACTAAAAATAAATCTCAAAGTTAAAAAAAAAAAAAATAGAATTTTAACTATTTTTCTAATCTTTTTTCTTATAGTTAGAACAAAGAATTTTTGGGAACATACAAATTCTTCATAATCCTACAATAAAATACGAGCAATGAAAAATTAAGTTTGTTAAATTTGAAATAATATTTAATTCAGATATACATATACCAAATATGTTTTATTACTTTTTGTGTAAAACTATTCACATGCAACGCAGGTGCTGCGTTGTTAGTAATTTAAAGTTTAAAGTAGTGCTTAACTTATGGATAATAGTATCCATTTATTATTGTCGGGTACAAGGTTGGATTGACTCTATAACATATTTATTTTTTTCTCTCAATCAATAAAAATATAATAATATACAGTAAAGTTATTTACATCATGATTGATACTATTCGGAACATATTTTGTATTTTTTGACACAATAATCCTAATATTGAAATCACTAAATTTCAAATTAATGGCATGAATGTAATTAAAAATACCTAAGAAGTTTTTTGAATTTATATTTACAGAGTCGAGGAAAAAAAACATTGAGCGTGGGTAGACCCATATTGGCTTCACCAGTGACTTGGCCGGCGATGAGTGAATAGAGGGGGATGAGATTTAAAGAAAGAATTTAATGTGAAAAGGAAAAAAGAAATGGTAATCGAAGTTGGGATTAATTTCATATTTCTTATAATCGATCATAGGTATCTGTGATCGATCATGACTTTTTTTTGAATAGTTGTAATTTCTGATTTTAAAGTTATAATTTTACCGTATAAAATATTAATCAAAAGTATCAATACCAAAAATCGTACGTTGCGTTTGGTATGCGGTAATATTTTTTAGTAGGAATGAAATGAGTTTGAGAATGAAATGAACTTGAGAATGAAATGAAATGTGTATTCCAATGTTTGGCAACCGTTAAGAATTAAATGCTGCAATTGAATGCCCATTCCATTCTCATGTTTGGATAAACAATTTTTTCATTGGAATGAAAATAAATTTAACCAAAATATCCATAGTGATTAAAAATAATTAATAACAATATTTTTTTTTATGATTGCAATTACCTTTGAAAGTTATGTGTAAAAAAATTTATAATTAAAAAAAATGAGAATCTATTGAAAAAAAAATTAAACCCCTATAAAATTTAAAAAAAAATAAGAAAACAAAATCCTTCAAAAATAGGTTTGCAAAAAGAAATTAAAATTAAAAAAAAAAAATATTTAAAATTTATCATTCATTTCAAATGAACAACTATAGTTCTTTGTGAATTCAATAGAGTACATGTGCAAACCCAAAAAGAAAACTATTAAGACAATTAAGAATCTTATCCGAACATACAGGTTGAACCAAAAAATAAATCGATGAAAAATAAGTCTAAAAAATAATCAACAGAATAACAAAAATAAAAACAAGTTGAATAAAAACAAAAATTCTTAAATTCCATTCATTTCATCTCAATTGCATTGGAGGTAGAATTCCAAAAAATAAAATCATTCTCAAATATAAGTACAAAAAATTACACTATTTGTGTATTTGCTCTCCACTCATCAAACATTTTGTTTGTCAAATTCAATCTAAATGTTGACCACTGGTTAGATGTTTCAACCGTGGTAATACATTCATCATGTGCATCATTTTTCACCACAAGACCTGTTGCATCTACCTCCGTCTTGATTGGGTCTATTGACATCTGATTCCTGATATAGTTGTGAAGCAAACAATAAACTATTATTATACGATTCTATAACCATAGAAAATATACACACCATAGAACAATGCCAATAAACCCTAGAAAATTAACAAATAAATAAGGAAAAAAAAACAACCTCTATACATTTAGCATCTTAATTTGTCCTTGTTTGCAGTTGGAATCTTTGGCCAAATATGCAAAGAAGGGAAGAGTTCATTATGCACATGTTATTGTAGGAAGAACTTACAAAAGTAAGTATTTTACTATCTCACTGCTTAGCACTGCTTAGTTGGTTCACTTGTCAAAGATGCCAATTTGTCACTGGAACAAAAACCATAACCTTGAAATTTTAATATGCAACCCATCCAAGTAGAGACAGAGATAGGGTGCAGATGCACCACATTCTCAGTGTGACCTTGCATAAAAAAAATTCCCTTCAATCCAAGTTACATACAAATTTTCATAAACATAAAAAGTAAAAGCCAAATCACATATATTAAAGATAACAAAGACAAAACAAGTAGTTATTGATTTGTGTGGATTAATTTCTTTATTTGTTTACAAGTAATATTATTAAGACCTAAAAATTTAATCTAATTATTAACTTAATGATGTGATTTATTTGGAGTTTATTGTAGTGAGGAAGGGAGAGGATTTGTAGAGGCTTTTGTGTGTGAGAGAGAAAGAGAGAGAGGGGAGAGAGATGACACGGTTAGGGTTGCGGTTGGGTTGGGCACGATATTATCGTTCAAATATAGACCGGCATACTTGTGATGGTTCCCAAGGGTCTAATATGACCACTTAGGTCTATGTTTGCCACGGCTCTATGGAAATCGGTGGGTTGTTAGAAGTTCAACCCAATTTTTTTTGGTGTCGTAGGGGAGGGATTGACCTTTCTTACGCATATTTAGTCGTACCGATGGGAGATGAGTGTGTTTTAGAAATTATAAAGTATGATTTTAACATTTTTAATCTTCACGCGTAATTTTGAGTGTCTGATTATCTACATCCATCAATTTTTTATTTTTTTTTAAACATTACATCCGTCAATTATCTACATCCGTCTTGTTCAATTAGTTGCATCTGTCATTTTTTGCATTTTATTTTTAAGGATAAGAGGATTTAGTGTGAAAGTTAAAATTACGAGGAGGTTATCTACAAATAACCCCAATTATAGAGTTTTTTTTTTTTGCATTTAATCCAAAAATAAATAAACAAATTCTAACTATAAATACTTTTATCACTTTCATCTATGTTTCATTTATCCCTTCCTAGTTTCATCTCTTCTATCTCTTGTCTGCTTCTCTTTCTCTCACGTCCATCATCCGCCATATCATCCTCTAGCAAGAATGTTACCCCATTCTTTCCGAAAGAATGTTACCCCCATTTGGTATCTGGGTTTTCGCTGGAAAAATAATACATTGTACTAAGAAATTTGCCAAGAAGTTGAAGTCAGAGCCAAACCCCAAAAACAACCCTAACCAAGAAATCCCAATTAATGTGTCGTATGCTATTTTGGCGATTGTAATTTTTCTATTCTGCTTTCTCATCATTTGTCTATTGTTTGAACTTCTTTATAGTAAGAAGAAGAAGCCAAGGGAGGAGAAAGCGAAGGGGAAGAAGTGATGGAGAGAAGACAAGTGAAAAATTATGCAAAAATTAGAGCTGAGAAAATATTTTATAGAGATTTATGATATGATTTATTTTTAAAGTTTTAATGATTTTAGGATCGGACACGATCAAACAATAAAATAAATTTTAAATTTTGGCTCTACCGTTGAGCCTACCTTGATTGAAACTTAGAACGAGTGATTATTAATTGGGTAAGTATGAAATTGAAGAAGAGTTGTACTTCTAAGATACGTTAACCAAGGCCATGATATATTCTTTTTCTCTCTCACTCACTCTCTCTCTCTCTATATATATATATACTAGTCATAACTCGTACATGAAAGTACAATAAAATATAAAATTCGAGCGTCTAAAAAATCGATCACATTATATTAAATTTTTTCAAAATATATTAACTACAAATTAAATAAATATTAAATATGTGATATAAATGAGTTATGTGATATTTTTAGGGAGGAAATATATAAATGAGTTGTGTGATATTTTTAGGGAGAAAATATATAAATGATTAAATATGTGATAGAAATGAGTGATGCGATTTGACGTTTGAGTCTAACAAATGGATGATCGGTGAGGTAAGTGATTGGTGATATTTTTGAGAAAAAAAATATGACTGAAATAAAATTCAAACACACTCCTATTTTATTATATAGATATATATATTCTTTCATTTAGATTTTATAACATCGCTCTGTTAACAATGACAGGGTGCATGTCTTACATTTTCTCCCTGTCGAATTTGAACTTTAAAAACTCTATTATCTCCAAACAATTAACTACAACGTAAATATACACAACAATCAACAAACTACGTATTAAATATCATATCAGTGAAAACGTCAACTAAATCAAGGCAACATAATAACAAGACAAGAGCGAGCGAGCGAGCGAGAGAGAGAGAGAGAGCAACAAGCCTACGCGAAGAAACGCAGAATGTGATTCTTCCTGTTGGGATTTTTGACCTCTTCTCACGTTAAGCCCCGAACCAGTAAAACCCTAGGATTTGTTTGGTAATATGTTATGTTTTATACAAAGAGACGGGCTGCGCAAAGGGCGAAAGGATACGGTGAGGAACAAATAGAATAGATTACACTTACACCCTTTAAACTATTATATTTTTTTTACTTTATTCTTTCAACTATAAATTTTTTTTATATTATACTTTCAGCTAACACTTTTATTTCACGTTGTCTAAATTACAAATGTTTATTATTTTTTTAGATGAAAATTATTGACGTGTCAGAGCAAAATAAAAAAAAATTACATAGTTTGAGAGATAAAATAAAATAAATTTTCGTTAATTAATTATATAGTTTAGGGTATAATATAAAAAATATGCTAGTTGAGGGGGTAAAATTAAAAAAAGGTAATCGTTTATGGGTGTAAGTGTAATTTATCCTAGAGAATATGCTGCCAAGTACTTTAAAAATGCAGGGACAAAAAAGTATTTTAACTCAATTATAGGGGAGATATAGTAAAAATAGCAACTCCCTGCGTTTCTCGATTGCAACGCACAGTTGACATATCAACAACACGCTTTGAACCTACGTCTCTTCTGCAACTCTCTTTCTCTCTCATTGATACCTTCCCCACTCCCTCCTCCCTCACCTTCATCAATTCTTCTCTACCACTTCACCGTCCTTGTGACCCCCCACCGCTTCATATTAAACCTTAACCACATTCAGCTCTGCCTCTGAATCAATTGATCTTCCGAATTCATCTGAAATTTACTCCACATTGCACTCAAACGATGTCGTTCGAAGAGGAAGAATCGTTCGAGCACACACTCCTGGTGGTCCGCGAAGTCTCCGTGTTCAAAATCCCTCCGAGAACCACCAGCGGAGGCTACAAGTGCGGCGAGTGGCTCCAGTCCGACAAGATCTGGTCGGGTCGGCTCCGAGTAGTATCGTGCAAAGATCGATGCGAGATCCGATTGGAGGATCCGAGTTCCGCTGAGCTCTTCGCTGCTTGTTTCGTACACCCGGGTCAGAGAGAGAGCGCGGTGGAGCCGACGCTCGATTCGAGTCGGTACTTCGTGTTGAAGATCGAGGACGGAAGGGGAAAGCACGCGTTTATAGGGCTAGGGTTTAATGAACGGAACGAGGCTTTTGATTTCAATGTGGCGTTGTCAGATTATGAAAAGCATGTGAAGAGAGAGAACGAGAAGGAATCGGGTGAAGCTAGTGATGAGAGTCAAATTGATATTCACCCCGCTGTGAATCACAGATTGAAGGTAAAGAAATTTTGAATTTGTGAACTGTGAAAAGTTGTTTTGTGAGTCTGGGTAGGATTAACTTTTGGTGATTTGGGTAATAGGAAGGTGAAACCATTCGGATTAATGTGAAGAACAAGCCATCGAGTGGGACCGGGATGCTTTCAGCTGCGGGATTGTCTGGAGGACCTTCTGGAACTGGAAAGCCTAAAGCTCTAGGCCTTGCCCCACCGCCCAGTGGGGGAGGGAAGATTAGGTCTCCTCTTCCACCCCCACCCAATGATCCTGCTGCTGCTCGGGTTACGTCTGCAAGTCATGGTGGTGTTGTAAAGGGATCAAAGGAAAATGCGCGACATTCTACCGATCCTTTCTCAGACCTCTCCCAACTTGAGGTACACCTCTATATGCTATTTGCGCTTGCTCTTGATTAGGTGGCATGTTTTGGATATAGCTAAAGATAAACATTATGTTGCATTAATGTTACTCAAGAAAAGAGCCAACTTTGGTTACCTGTTATGCCTTTTCATGGTAACTTGATAGATCATGGTAGTCTTAGATCTTTTATATACCCACTTGCTGTTGACAACATAAAGGTCCTTTTGGTATCAAACTCTTCTATGGAATCATCTCATGTTTCTTGAAATAAAGGACATAGCTAATTTTAGTGATTATCAAGCAGCCAATGCCCTGATGATCCTTTTTTCAACATGGATTAGAGGTTTTGAATATGCTTTTGGTACTTTCTTTCAGAAATTCAATGGTGAGCTAAGAGTCAAATCTATGATGAAGGCATAATGTCCTTGGTCATGCTGATGTACAGGACACTGTCCAAGCGCTTCAAAATAATTAAAATGATAGTTCACAGCCCCTCATAAGCCAAATTCATTCACAAGCACTTGTGTATTGGCATTGTTCCAACAGGATAGTGTTAACACAGTTATTCGTAACCACAATGTGTCCAGTTGCTATGCAAACCCCTTGTGATTTAATCTGACAAAATGTCTGAACAAGAGTTTTGGATCTAGGAAGCATTGGCGTACTAAGTTTGAACTAAAGGATAATGTTGAGGCAATCAGAAAGATTTCGATAAATTTGAGATCCATGATACCTTCGTATTTATTAATCTGAAGTAATGAGCAGTTTTGGTACTGCTTTTGACATCTTCCAGTAATGAGTGTACTTTATTGTATTGCCTTTTGATGCTGGAATAAGTATATAAACATAGAAATGATCGACATACAAAGTTTCAATTAAAGGAAAATGTTTACTATGCCAACAATGCTGCCAATGAGGCAATCCTCATGATTTGGATATATATTTGGGATCCACATCTACACATTTATTAAACTGAACTTTGAAATGATTACAACTGTGGTCCTGTTTTTGATCTTTTCCATTTATGTGTTCTGTTTATGATCTCCTTATTTACTTCCTCGTATTGTTATCTTTTTAAATGACGTTATTTACTATGTTAATGGCATTGGTTTTGCCATTTACTCTTTCTTCCTTGAAGTGCATTGGATAAATGGCAATGATATTTCTTTTCAGAACAGGTATATTGCCAGAATTCACTGTACCACATAATCCATCCACCACGCTCCTACAGGGTGCCGCTTTACCCACCTATCCACACACACACACACAAACACCCATGAACCAACCACCCACCCACACACACTCAAAGGGAGAGACAGGGAGAGATGTGGGATGCCCAAGTAGTTTAGCCATTATGTTCCCCTTGAGGGATTATTGTCAGCAGAAGCAATATAATAATTGTGCTTATAGATGGACAATGACATGTAGTCACGTCAAGTCCAGGAGTATACACTTTCTGTGCATATGCCAACGGGTAGGTTTGGAGCTGCTTCACATCTCCCAGTACCCTACTTAAACAATCCTTAAATGGAACCGCTTTGGGTGATGGCTTCTTAATGACATGCTGTTGTGGATAGCACATATTACCCCCCCAGAATAGTAGTGTTGCATGTATATGTGTTAAGTTGAAAAACATGCTAGTTGAAAATATGTACTGGGAGGAAACTATGTGGTTTGAACTTTTATCAATGTACATAGTTCTCATGAGAATATAAACTTAAAATGAAAGAAAGGAAATGAAAAAACATTGATGTTTACTTACATTTATTTGAATGATATTTTTTTATGGATAATAGGTTACAAATTTAGTTTCGACTGCAGAGTTTTAAGGCTGTATCCCACTGTAGGGAACATTGAAGATGTTCTTGTGGGCTGAGGTGCTGGAGTATATGTATCTTTATGTGACATGAGTCAATTTTTGGACTTTTTTACTTTTATTTTAGAAGATTTTGCTGGGCCAAAACGGAGAAAGAAGAAGGATAACTGAAAGGCTTGACTACAAACAATCCTTGGTTTTTACGAGTAAAGAATAACCTTATTGTCTTGCAGCTTGATGACAGATGATTTTGTATAGAACATAATGACATATGAGAGGTTCTTGCATTTGTAAGTGAATGAGATGTTTATTGCACATTTGCTTCTTTGGCATGTACAGAGGAGCCTCCCTCCCACAACTGGATCGGGATCAAGTAAAACCACTGCAGCTGGATGGGCAGCATTTTGATTGTGTGAGTTTGTGTTAAATATTGCTGAGATTGCTGTTGTATTAAAAAAAGAAAATGGAAGGGGAAGTTGAAGAGTGAAAGGCAATGCAGGGTACCAAATGCTTCATTTTTGAAAAATAATGGTCAATGGAGTATGTTGATATTCTTCTTTTGATGAGCTTGAACTTCTAAATCCTATATTTATATATATTATATGGAAAATAATTCTTTTTTTCTTTCTTGCTTTTCTATTGCTAATCCATCGTGTGGTTGACAGGTGTTCATCTAAGGTGGCCTTCTTTTTATGGCCCATGATAGTTTTATATTTTCTTGCCAAAAGTTGACCCTATTCTAAATTTTTCTTGCAATTTTATGCACGGGTTGATGTGATATTGGAGTGGATGTTGTTGTTTGTACAGTATCGGTTTTGTGGTTGGAAAATCATTTCTCCACCCACTTATTCAGGCTCAAGATTTCCCGCATCAAGGAGTTTGATGATTCGATTAAAATGAATTTCGTACAAGGTAGTGTGAGCGGACTGCTGTTGGATCGGAAGATGCCCACCTATCTTTTGGATAATTTGAACCCATATTAAATTTGAATTGAATTTTGTCGCTCTTCTTTCTTTCCTTGCTAACTGGAAGCACACCAGTAAAATGCGTTGCGTGAGTCTACCGGGTTGTTTGCACTTCTTTTAACTGAGGTCTATCATGGTTTCATGATTAGGAATTTGCTGAATTGAAGGGATTAATGGGGAATGGGCCACGGCGATTGGACAGTTTTGATTTTGATAGTCATTTGGTGGTACACTGTATTGACACACTATTATTCGTTGGGTGGGCTCCTTTTCAGTGGGGATGTAGCCAAGAAAATTGGCTGATAATACCCATAACTTTTTAGCAAGTGTATTTTAGTTGCTTATCATTGGAGAGCATTTAACAAGAGTTCAATCGTCTATCATAGGCTTGGTAAGCTGTGTGCAAGGACATAAGCACATGTAAAAAAGCTATCTAAAAACTTTCTTTATACAATTCATCCCTGGTTTTCAACATTACGTTTCTATCTAAAAAGCAAGAGCATAGTCAGATGTACTACACGTCTACCACCCATACCCAGAGATTCAAATGTCCCTTCCTTACCCGTTTTAACATCAGATCCATTATAAAAGCCGCAGTAGGCCAAGGCTGAATGTAAAATTACAAAAATAAGGAGCGACCAGCCAATTTCAAAGCACTTTACCAACAATCACAGATGCGCAGCAATCCCATATTATGAATAGTCTCGTAATATACCATTTTTAGCAATCATAAAGTCACAACTGTAAGGGACCCATTTACTCCCGGCAGAAAAGTGACTGAAAAATTGTTGAATCCAACAAAAGGTCCAGGAATCTTTAGCTCTTCAAAAATTGCATAACCACCACATACCCGTTGTAGCACAAGCAAAAAAAAAAAAATCAATGTTCTCCATACTCTGGCTTTAGAACCCAAGAAGACCCATTAGAGCTTTTGTCCAATGTGGCTATTTCCTTCAAAAGATTCTTAAATAAGGGCAGATCCTTTGGGGGTATTCTGTCCTTGAAATGATTCACTATGCTGGCTGAATTAGTACTTCCGCCACTTCTTTGTATAAACGTACAGATCTGACGAATCAAGACTTCAGGCTGAACCCCAGGTAAGTTCCTAGATGCCCTAGAAGATCCGTTAACTGCAGAATTTACTCTATCAGTAGAGCTTGAAGCCAAGCCTAGCTGATGTTCAAGCCCATCGCTAACTGCTCTCTCTTGGTTTCCCCTAATTCTAGCTAGCAACTCGGCCGAAGATAATGCTTTACCAGCAGAAGCCCCAGCTGCAAAACCATTAAGCCCTCTTGCTTCATTGTTGGGCAGTTCATCCGAAGGTTTGGGATTACTAATCAATTGGACATTCACAGCAGAGCCAAATTTCTGCCGAATAGATGATGGTGCACCAGCAGCTCCTGATTTGCCAGTCCAGGTGGGGACAGCTACACTATCTTGGCTTCGAAGCAATCGGGAGTGGCGTAGTGCTTCTGCTGCTCTTTGTGCAACCTGGGAAGCTTGCTCCTCAAGCCTCATTTTCTCTTCATCATGAGCATTCATGATTACATCGTGGTTCACAGCACTCTGAAAAAGAAATAGAACATAAATAAACAGTGTAAAAGAAGAGCAAGGGAGAAGAATAGTATGCATATATACGGAGTGTTAAGTAGGGATCTTAATGGAACACCAATAGAACCATTATATCAAATTTCAATGCACATAGTTTTTAAAGGAAAAATAATTAAAAGAACAAGACGATGACCAAGGAAGTTCTTGTGCTTTGGGCTACTTTGATATATCACCTTAACAGGCAACCAGTTCACCTTTTTTGTGTCAGCAGTTTGCCCAAAAAGGTTCTTTTTTAACATAACCGAAACTTGCAGAGAAAGGGGTCAATCTGGTCCACTTTCCAAAACTCACAAACACCCTTAACAGTTGAAAAATTGTTATCCACTGACAATTCTTTCCAATGAAGGCCCAAGGAAGTTAGCAAAATCTGTTAGCTATCTAATATCTCAACTGTAACCAAAGTTTGAGAAACAACCATATTCTACAAAGTTTATTTTTTGGGAACAGTGAAACAAGAACATGTGGATTTTGATGCAAATATCCACAAAAACCATACGAAAACTTACATGAATCCCATGGGCATCAAAAAGACTCCGCAAAATGTTTGTTTCTTCATCTACTTCCCCATTGCTGTGATCCGATTTTTCTTTCCCCTTCCTTTCGGCTTGTGCTGCAGAATCATTAGCTCTTTCTGCTGTTGCCTTCACAGATTTTTGCTTATCCCGGTTATGCTTATGAGTCCCAACAATGTTTACATCTTCAGATACCTGACTGAAAATACTTGACGTTTCAGTAGAGCCACCCTCTCCATCATCATTTAGCGTGAAGAGATCCTTCATATCTCGCGCTTTAAAAAATCTTCTCTGCTGTGGATTCTTCAATATTTTGTTAGTGAGAAAGTGTTTGTAAATCTGTCGGTGATACACTTTCTCTTCTATAGTTCCACGGGAAATTAATCTATAAACTGTCACATCTTTTGTCTGACCAATACGCCAAGCACGCTCCCTGGCCTGTCATGAGCAACAATTTGAAGAGAACGAGGTTTTTCGGGAAAAGGTACCAAATTTCACTAAATAAGTCAGTTTCTGTTCTGCTCAAATTCAATAAAAATTCTCAATTCCACTCAACATTGCCTTGGCCTAACAATTTCTATAAATATTTCTAGAGATCACATTTCACAAATACAGAAACCCAAGTTGATATTTAAAAACATTTCCAATTAATTCGAGAATTGGATAAAAAGAGAAAAATGGGAAATTTCTAACTTTATGACTTGTCCACACAAAACAACATGAGTTGTTAGTTAAAAATGTGGATAAAATAAGGAATCGGTTGAAATCAAACCTGCATGTCAGTTGAAGGGTTCCAATCAGGATCAAAGATGATCACTCTATTAGCGCCAGTTAAATTGGTTCCCAAACCTCCAACCTTCGTTGTCAGAATAAAGATGAAGACATCATCTGAATTGTTAAATTCATCTATCAAGGTCATTCTCTGTTTTATAGGAGTGAGGCCATCCATTCTCCGGTAATTGTAGCCACCAGAACCCAGAAAATGCTCAAGAATATCAAGCATCTGTTGTGTCTGTGTGAAAAGGAGAACACGATGACCCTGTTCCTTCCACACTTTTAGCACTTGGGTAATAACTTTCATTTTTCCACTGCGTTCAGGATTCCCGTAATCAGGATTCCTGCAAGAATGTTCTCTCTCCAGCAGATCAGGGTGGTTGCAAATTTTGCGCATCACGTCAATTCCGGAAAGGGAGTTTCTGCTGCCATCAAAAATTTGTTCAACCTCAGAGCTAGCAAGAAATGCTCGGTAAACAGATCGCTGCTCGGAGGTAAGACTGCAGAAGAGGACATGTTCAGTCTTCTTCGGAAGCTGCGCATTGACATCAGCCTTCATTCGCCGGAGGAGGTAAGGCATGATCAAGTCACGTAAAACCACAGCACACCTGAACAATAACAAATTGAGTTATTGCAAGTATCCACCATTGAGAACAATCGTCAAATTAAATAGGGGAAAATCCATAATAATGACAAGACAAGGATCCAATATTCATATCTCTGATCTGATCACACCATCAACATAGATCCAATATTCATATCTCTGATCACACCATCAACTTCGGCCATAATGGAGATTTCTTTTCGTCTACTTTCCCCACCTTTCTTGCATTCTCTTCTCTTTCTTTCAAGAGCTGTGTTGTGTGTATGGGTGTTGATAAATTAGGGCTTAATATAAAAACCACACCCACTATTTTAGAAATCAAAAGTAAAACCGTTCAAACTCTCAATACTGGGTGGAGGGAGAGACCACTGCCTGTGTGAGTGATAAATTAAAGCACATGTTGAAAACTTGGCACTTACCATTTTAAAAATTATATGTAACAAACTTCAAACTTTTGAATATTCACTGACGACTAGATGAGATGGAATACAATTTTTAAAAATTATATGTAACAAACTTCAAACTTTTGAATGTTCACTGACGACTAGATGAGATGGAATACAATTTTGTTGGCTTAATGAAAATTTCCTCGAAAAAAGGTATGGTTGGAATTTTTTCCTAGATGTTGTGAAATGCTCACCGGTAAGCCGTGGATACTTGCAAAGGCGATGCATTTGCATAGCCGCCAACAGATATGGGAACAGCAAATTCGGCTTCAAATACAGGCAGGACTCCCAACTTTCCAGGGAAGACAAAATCAAACAAAGACCACAATTCATTCAGCTTGTTCTGAATCGGTGCACCAGTCATGATTATACGATGAATTGTCTGTAGTTGTTTGCAAACCAGAGTAATTTCTGCATTCGGATTCCGTATGCGGTGTCCTTCATCTAATATTGCATAACCCCATTCAATGTCAAGCAGTTGTTCCCCTACCAACCGTAGTTGTTCATAAGTGGTAATCAGTAACCCATTTTCTGATGTCAAAACACGATTAATCAAATAATCCCACTTTTTGGAGTTCCTTGAATTTAGATTTCCTTCAGTATCACTGTCAAGTGAATCTCCACTTTCACAATCACTTCCATAAGATTTGGCTCGCTTCTTTCTACTAGTTGGATCCAGAGCAGAATCATGTAGTAGCTCCACATGAAAGTTTGGGTACCATTTCAGTGTTTCCCTCTTCCACTGTTGCAAGAGGGTGACAGGACAGATGATAATGCTTGGTTTGTACATGCAACTGAAATGCAAGGCTCCGAGGAAAGCTAAGACCTGGATGGTTTTACCAAGACCCATCTCATCTCCAATGATTCCACCAGCTCTTTGACAATGAAGTTCCCACAACCATTGTACGCCGACCTTTTGGTAGTCAAAAAGTTCGCTGAAAATTGCTTCGGGGATTTTCAGTCCACCTTCAAGTGTCACAAAAGAAGGCTCATCCTCATCCACATCCTCAAGATCTTCTTCATAGCTGGAGGTCTTGGCCTCATCTGTAAAACAAATAATAAATTAGATCCCAGTCCAGCTATACTACACATTTTTTTCACTTTCTCTGATTGGAATAGAGTTCAAATGGTGGGATCTGATCCATACAAAGCCCGAGGTTACCTCTAGGCCCAAGACACCAGTTATAAAATAAGTAGATGTAGATGGCACTACCCACTTTTGTGGTACTCTGAGCCTATTGCTGAGGCATTGAATGGACAATTTTTCCCCGGCACATAATGATTACGATAATATAAAAAGGAAATGAACAACATGCATAAAATGTCTCAAAAATGCTGTTCTTTCTTTCACACTAACAAACAGTTGTCTGTAACTTGGTCTCCAAAAACTGTCTACTCCAATAAAATGTCTTTTGATTAACTGAACTAGCCCCATAATATCCATCTCCGGTTATACTTACAAAATATGACTCCTTTTTTTTAGTCTTGAATATTACACTCAGAAACCAGCCTTCCCTTGACATTTTCCCAAACCTCACCTAACATGCATCTATTAAAACATTTTGAGAATTCAGCTAAAACAAAAAAATGGTCAGGTGAACGTGTGAAGGTTTCAACAGTGGACTGACAGAATTTCAGCAGGGTACACTTATACAACATGAGACTTGCATACCTTCCCCCTTCAAAAATACTTCATCCAAACTCAACTAATTGTATTCTTACAAATCCAATTTTATGCCATATCCAGTTAAGGCTGTCATAATGAGGCTTTGACATACATCATTCACCAAATGCCTGTCGCGATTGTAGAAGGTCAAGACTCAACAAAGGCACAGATGCACCTTTGACAAAAATTACCAAACCAAGTATTAGAAGGGAAAAAGTTAATAATTTATATAGGAGAAAAAATAAAAGAATGCACACTTATTTTGTTCTTTTAAAATAATGGAGGAAAAAGCAAAGTTCCTCATCAATGGAGGTTAGGGAGGCAATAGAGTATAGACTAGCATGACTATACCTTTTCCTTCGAAAAGCTTTTCCTCACGAGAAGCTAACTTTTTCCACTTCTTGTCGGGCAATGGTCTTCTCTTTATCCTTCTTTTATCTTTGCTCTTCTCTGCCTTACTGTCATGGATTTTCAATGGTATTTTAAGCCTTTGAAAAGGGTGAGTGGGTGCATCAAGTTTTGGCAGCAATTCTGAATTAAGCAACTTTGTAGTAGGGCGAGCTTGTGCGGCCTCTGATATTGACCGGACAGCTCTAGCTATGCTGCTGGAAGCAAGATCTTCACTCTTGTCTACTTCCTCGATTACTTCGAGCCTATTAGATGGCCCAGGTTCTTGGATACGGCGTTCAAAGCCCTTGAGCTTATGAAAAGGGGTCAAAATTCCCTTCCGAACCAACTCATCCCTTTCCTAAAACACGAACAATTTGTAGTCAGCCCTGATAGCCCCAATTTCATTTGTATACATAAACAATTTTAAACATACATTACAAGTATAAATACAGCTGATAATCATGATAAGAATATCAATCATCCACCCTACAACAATCATTTTTTGTCCAACTCTGAAGCAGTACACTAGAAAACTAAGTTTAACTCACTGTTTCAACAAATCCTGCAGATGCTGCATTTATGACTGCATCAAAATCATTATCCTCATCAAATGGAACTGTTTTATGCCGCTTTTTTGTATTTTTGCTTAATTTCTGAACATGTTTCAACCTTCGCTTGGGTCTTGATTCTTCCTTAACAAGATTTTGTATCACTTTGTCATGCTTACTACCCTTCGAAGGGTCATCCTTGTACAAATTTGAAATCTCTTTCTCAAGTTGAGTCCTTGTCTTCTTCAGGCTTCTTAGTCGATCACTGGCAAGGGCATGCTGAAGGCTAAAGTCATTGGGAGAAGGCTGACCAACTTCTTGTTGATCCTCTATGTCTCCGTGCTTCCTATCATCCTCGTTGTCAGGAACATGCTCTTCATTCCCTGCAAAATTCTTTACTTGTTGAACAGCAGATGCAACAGCATCTATTTCAATTTCAACTGCTCTCAGTTTATTATAGAGTTCTGTATGGCTGGTAGATGAGGACTCATTGCTTTTTGTTCTGTCATATAGTTCCTCATTTGCACTCCCCCCAGCTTCAATGTTATCATCTGCATTGTTTTTTGCCTGCCATGGAATGCTTATTATCAGATTTGTAACATTTTGATAACCATTTGCATTTGTATATACAGTGGCCAATGCAATGCAGTGAATCACATAGAATAAAGCCCACAAAGTCAATCACAATTGGATTGTCACTGAGGAATGGAAGATTTAATCAATTGAAAAACTACTTAAACTTTGTTTTGTCACACCGAGTACAATGTTTCCCTCCTGAACCTTGTCAGATTAACAAATATATGAATTTAAAATGGAAAACATCAATTAAAAAAAGGAATTGCAAAAAAAAAAAACCAAGAAACAGCTATGCAACTAATGAAATCCATCAGCAAAACCATTAAGGTACAACTACAACCAGCTTGCAGTAATAATAGCAATTGCAGCCGTATGTGATATGGATGCCAAATGAAAATGTCAATCCCCAACATTATTCATTATCAAAGTAAATGATTAAAATACAATACCTCTTCTAATATGTCACGCTCGATATCTTCCGGATTTGCAGATGCGATGCCCAAACTGCTTAACAGAACTCTATCTTCCTCTTCTTCTTCCATTTTAATTGGATCAGTTACTGCGTTTCAAAGTCAATGTAACACCAAGACGAGGCACTTGCCACAATTACAAGTGCACTTGCTGTTCATCCTCATCAAATTTAGGCATACAAATTCTTTATCAGAATTGAACCTCCTGATTTGAATATCCATGAAAATGATTCGGAGTCTTCGCATTTGAGGCGTTGAGTATGAGGACGTATGATTTTGAAAAATCGACGAGCGCAAAACCCTAGATTCGCGGACACGATGATCTTCTGAGTCGTCTCTCTCTTACTTTCTGCGTCTACAATCGAACCCTTTCTCACTCCAGTTTCGCGAGCTCTCTTATTTCCCCTCTCTCCTGGTGTTGCCCGGTTGTGTAGCGACCAAGAATGTCTACTTTTCTGGTGGTTTTCTCTAACGTGCACCTGAGCGTTTAGAATTATAAACCTACGCTTCTTTTCTTTACTTTTCTTTTTTTTCCGTTGTTTGATTGCGAAACACGCGTCACCGCTTACATTGGCGGTTAGTTAGCCTTGGCAACTACTTTCCCGCGGCATTTATAAGGGATGTTTGGAAAACTTTTTAGCTTCAAATCTCCTTTTTTTTTCTTCTTAGCTATGAGGCATGGTTGAATTTATATGCCCCCAGCTCAATGGCAGTAAAAGATACACTTATGCAGGGACGTTCAAAGCTGTATAGTAGATCAACACGGTTATACAATAAAGGAATTAGCTAGAAAACATTCGTTAGTAAGGATCAGATTATTCGTCTCTCATTTTGTTATTTGATTGTCAAGACGATTTAAAAAAATTTATCTGAATTTTACGTATATTTAAAACAATAGATAACATTATTTTCAATTTCATTTAAACTATAAAACAATGAATCAAATTTTAAATTAGCTCTTCTTGCACCTCTTTTGTTCTATCTTTTTAAAAATACATAGTTCGATTTAAGTATATTTAATAATTAATAAAGTTATAAAGGTATTTCTTTTACTGGTTAAACTATAAAAAAATATTTTGAGAATATTTAGGATTGGTTCAAGGCTAAGGCTAACCAGAACAAATATAATAGAAAAAAAATTATATTTATTTGACAAATATAATTTTAACAAATTTATAAAAAATATTGCAAGTGTGATATTTTATACTGGTACAACACAAGTATTCGTGTGAGATTTATTGTAAAATTGATTCCTTATTAATAATGGATGATCCGCCAATAAAACAATTGATAAGAAAATGTATTGCAAAGAATTTTAATTAATCTCAGCCATGGAGGAGTTCGAGAATCTGAACCGTCCCCAGAAGAGAGGTTTATGTAAGGTATTTGAAAAAAAAAAAAAAAGGATGTGTGGGGGACCTATAATAAATATATTTAAGATTGAAATTGGATATAGTTTTAAAATTGATCAATTCACCATTTTTGAGTATTGGATAGAGTTAGAGCAAGAGCCTCTTTCAGAGACAAGATGACAAATATTTTTTATATGTATCTTTTTTAAGAAAAAGGCCAAAAAGTATCAAAAGTTTTGTGTATTTTAACAAAAACATCCTTTTTCAATTAGATAATGAAATATAGAGTATAAATAAAAAATAGATAGTGACATAAAAATGTAAAAGTTTTGTTTCTTATATCTAAAATTCCAATAAACCAACACCAAAAATGGTATTTACAATGGAACTTAAAATATAGTCATCCTTTTTTTTTTTTTTTTTTGAATAAAAGATTTAGTCATCTCATCGGACCAAATTGCAGTTGCCAAACAGACCCTAAAACCGTGGTCCTTGGGTATCATTCTTCCACGTTCCTCTGGTGTTTGGTCAGTCATTAGACTGGTCGATACGTAGGTAAAGCCTTCGGAGACGAATATAAACCGACGGTATAACAACCAGAGAACGGTCCTGCCATTAGTCGTTGCTGAGGGAGAGAGAAGAAGACGAAGATGGAGGATGACACGAGTAGTATAAATGTGAGCGGATTGCAATTCGCATACGATGGACAACCCTCGCTCTTCTATGATTTCAACCTCCACATCTCTCCTGGATCTCGATGCCTCCTTGTCGGCGCCAATGGATCTGGTACTTCTTTTAATCATAGCATATAGGCCGCTTGTTTTCTGATACGATTTTAAGTTTCTGCAAATTTCTTACCATTTATGTTCATCGTTTTTTGTTATGGTTAAAAGGTGTTAATCCAAGGACACTATCTTTTTCGATTTCTACTCACTTACATGGTAAATTGGTAAGGAAATCACTTCAAATTTTGAGCCACACAACTTAATAATCACTGCATAATTCTACATAGAAAATTTAAAATTGATCCAAAAACTAATTGAATACAAAAAACTAGCAGAGATAAGGGAATGCTTTGGTATTACCGAAAAGACCGAGCGAGTGTTCCGCAATTGACAGATAGAATTGTTGAGAAGCTTCGAAGGCTTTAGCCTTTGTTTGATTTTGGTGTCTGTATGACAAAATTAGAATACAGAGAAAGATTGCGATATGAAAGGAAAGAAACAAGACACAAAGAAATCACAGTTCAGCACATACATCCACCAACCAAATGCCCCAAAGGGCTTCATCTGATGTATTATTGATAGTTTACACTCGTGATAGGGAGAGAATTATACAAAGACAAAGATAAATTCACACTTGCTTATCATCATGTACATGTATTCAAACAACTTGATATTGATAGATGTCTTTGGATGGATCCTATCATATGTACCCTTATGCATAACAAACACAATGGAATAGGCGATTACCTGGTCAAGCTCATTTAAAAAAATGGCATTCTGGCTTCAGTTTTCTATTTCACATTGTGGGTTGTAGTTAACTCCCGAAAATCCTGCGAAAGTATGATCCCCTTTTTGGTACTAATCCTTCTTCCTTATACTGTAAAAGGGAAGACCACTTTGCTGAAGATCTTAGCAGGAAAGAACATGGTAGGCGGACGAGATGTCGTGCGGGTGCTGAATTGTTCTGCTTTTCATGATACACACTTGGTTTGTAGTGGTGACTTGTCGTATTTGGGAGGCTCTTGGAGTAAAACTGTTGGTTCCGCTGTGAGTCTTTTTACACTGCTCATTATATAACCTATCATTGGGTTAATTCAGTCTCATTTTTTAAAAAATTCTGGTATGTGACGTGTGATGTTAACGCAATGTGAATGCTCATAATAGCATCCGTGTTTTGCGAGGAAGTATTGTATTATTGATGTTTAATGGAATCAAATGTATCAGTTTCAAATGTTTTCTCGTTTATAGATTTTGCCTAAATTCATGCATTAGTCCCGTAGTTTCTCAAGGTAATTTGAGTATGATTAATTTGATAAAAGCTTTATTCCTTAAGTCAAAGGTTGAAGAGTAATGCGACCATTTTTAGACACGTATGTCTTTGGGCTTTTACCTTGTCTTTGGCATGGAGTGCATATGCATGCCTCTTCTTCTTGGAAATATCAGAAGTGTAAGCTTGCTGTCCGTGATAATCGCCTATTCCTGCTGTATAACTGTTCTTTTATTGAATTAACTTTTGGGAAAGTGTTTTTCCTCACTTGTCCTGAGAATATGTAAGGCAACACACTTACTAGACGAACAATTATATTGGTTTTGAGGTGCTGACAATATTGATATCTTTTCATCTTACCCCAATTTTGAATGCATTTGTCATGAAACCCTGGGTTTGGTGTGTCATTGAGCTGACTCAGCCACATAAATAAACAAAATGCACTGCTAGTTACCCAAGGTAACATGGAACAATCTATACATAGGTGTCTGGAGATGTTCCCAGTTGATTTTGTTTTCATGATTAATATGCACATTCCATATTTTAATATTTCTGAATTGCAATGTCTCTGCAAATGTTAGGGAGAGGTTCCGCTCCAAGGAGACTTCTCTGCTGAGCATATGATTTTTGGAGGTGGGTGAAAGCTTCATTGCTATGGTTGTTTATTTATTACATCTTGTACTATTGCAGGGTCAATGATCTTCTCCTAACTGAAAAGTGTGAACCACTCCCTTCCCCCCTATAGAACATAAAAGAAAATGAACCACTGTGGGAAAATATATTTTCCATTTTCACAATTGTCTGTAGGATGCTATTTGCGAGTGATTATTTAGTACTTACTTATGCATGTATGTTTTACTTCAGGCCTACTGTAGATCTGAATACAGTTATACATGTGTGATCTGGAGTAAATGTCAGTTCTCTGTTGATGTTTCAAATTTTCTTTGCACAACTTCATCTTCCCGTTGTCCAACAAAAAACGAAGATTGCACTACAAGCATCTTGACTTTTCTTTTTTGTGGTCCAGTTGAAGGGGCTGATCCTGTTAGAAGAGAGAAATTGATACAATTGCTCGATATTGATCTAGAGTGGCGGATGCACAAGGTTTCTGATGGACAGCGGCGTCGAGTCCAAATCTGCATGGGTCTCCTTCATCCTTTTAAGGTAATTTTCTTTCCACGTGATTCACTAGGCAGAAGGTTAGAACGTGTGAGTGGCATGTTTATGATAGGCTGCATGCCCATGTTATATGTTGGCAGGGTAATTTTTTTGTAATTCCAGGAAGATTTGTGTCCTCTTGCGTGCACGTCTATACTGATGTATGTGTGTATTCATTCATGCTCTATATGTTGTACTAGTGTATACTGGTGCACTATTCTATTATATCACTTTAGATTTGTCATCCGGTTATTACGAAGTCCTCAGCTTAGTTTCTTAACCTTCAATCCCTTTACTAGCTGGGAACCATTCTGGTGCAGGTCCTATTGCTGGATGAAGTTACTGTTGACCTAGACGTTGTTGCTAGGATGGATTTACTGGACTTCTTTAAGGAAGAATGTGAGCAGGTATGGATTTGCTCTTTGTTACAAGTTACAAGTTACAACTTACACGGGAAGAAAATTTTATACAAACGTGATTGTTATTTGTTGAGCCTTTAAGGAGGCAGACAATGCATGTGCATACCCATGCCGAATATGCCACTGCATGACATCTTTAAAATACAAAGCAACTTCTCGCATACATTGTCTCCGTTTGAGGTGTGAGAAGGAAACATTTGGTTTTGGTCCTATGTTGATCCATTGTGGATAAGACCATCATTCATTGCCTTGAACTTCTTTTGAGGATTTATATCGAGGAGCTTAACAAACTTGAGAAAGATTTCTTAATGTTGTAATATTTTATTCCTTTCAACTCTGCTCCATTTCTAGAGAGGAGCTACAATTGTCTATGCAACCCATATTTTTGATGGATTGGAGACGTGGGCGACAGATCTGGCCTACATCCAAGATGGTGAGTTAAAGAGGACAGATAAGTTATCTGAGCTTCCTGAGTTGCAGAAGTCCTCCAATTTGCTTTCAGTTGTTGAATCCTGGCTGCGTTCTGAAACCAAAATAGACAAAAAGAGACCGATTACTCAAGCGCAAATTCAGAAGACCTCTCCATTTGATACTTCTCCTTTCAGGTCCTCCAGACACATGGCATACTATCGTTAATCTAGCTCAAATTGGTTATTTTTAGCTGAAAAATTCATGGCATACTCAATCAATAACGAGCAAGAAAAAAAAGGGATATAAGAAGATAAAGTTCCCGGCTTCTTAAAAGGTCAGTTAGGTTGCCCTCTTTTCAACAAGATTGTGCAGAAAAGATGTTGGGACTCATTGCCTGCTTTTGTAGTGAGTTATTGTATCTTGAAGCTCCACAGATTTGCCCCTGGCATAGATGTTTAATTCATTTCTGAATATTGCATTAGCTGGTAAATTGTTGTGGTGTTCGGTTTCATATATTTGTTATTCATCAGAAATTTCATCGAATTGTGAAACGCTTCCTTTGTTCCTTTTGCTTTGATTAGTATATTTCCCTAAATTTGTGTTTTTGGTGCATCGGTGTTACCTGCTTTGCTTCCATTGAAATTTCTAAGAGAATAGTCTCTTCCCTTTATCCAATAATCATAAGAAGAAAGTTACATACAGCAATCGGCTATGTCCATGCTAACAAAACAAAGCAGCATATTGTTTATCAGCTAAATCAATTTTGAATTAAATTCTGAAATAATAATTGAAACATCTTAAAATATTCCACGACCCTTCAAAATATAGAAATTTCAATGTTTTTATCACTAATTTGTCTTGATTTTCATTTAAACCGGTACGTTTTTCATCTTCTTAGGAAACAAAATTTTAATCCGTAGGTTATGCTTTTCTACCAACAAAACAAGGTTCGGAGAGAACCATGATGGCATTTCCATCTCTTGGCCAGCAATTTTTTCACCAGTCACAATCAGATGGCTATGTTTCTCCAACTCCCCAGTACCACCACCCCATCCACAATGACAGTACCAATCGTACATCAAATGTAATCTTTTATGCTTGCTCTTCTTGTTGGAATCAGTTTGTTTCACTAGTTATTAAATAGTGGCATTAATGATTGGAATGCCAGAGTTATATATAACTTGTAGTGGCTGTTGTGTATATAAAAAGGTCCTCCTCTGGGTTAGGTCACTTTTTTTTGTAATATATAAAGCTTTGCTATAGAAGAAAAAGAGAGTAAGAAATCAATATGCATTTGAGTGGACTTGACCCAGATATTGTCTAATGATGAGTAGCTCAAATTTTGGATAAACCCACTTTACATTGGGGGTCTTATTCAGTGTTTGGTAGTTACAATGTGCAATCTGATATGAAAAGAAAATGTAGCATTTGTTCTCAAGAAACTGTTCTTTTGCATTCATGTCCCCCAAAATGGACAGAAGATGGTCCATTCCTGTTACTGTAAGGAACCCCCAACATCTTTTAACTCGTTGGTGGAAACTACCAACTCAGCTTGTCAGCTTAGGTCTTACTTTTCCTCTGAATCATTAAAATTTCATTTCGATGCATTATATCAATAATTTAAAAAAGGGAAATGTTTCGACCTGTTTTGAAAATATAATGAAAACGAATAAAAAATTTAAAAATTATGTTTTCAAAACATTGGTTGAAATTTATCAAAGTATCTTAAAACATTTTGAAATAATTATGTAAATGCGTCGAAAGATTATGAAATATCTTGAAATATTAAATTTCCGATTTCATCACTAATTTATTTTGATCTCCTTGAAAACGGAGTTGGCCCAATAGTAGTCTCCTTATTAGAGTAGGGCCGATAGTGTGAATGGGAAATAAAATTGATATATTTCTAGCTAATTATTTTAAGCCTTGTCAATGTAATTTGAGCAAAATGTGTAGAGTGGCAGGTTAGTGCTTCGACTCTCTCTTCTCTAATAAAAATAAAACTTAGTAGGTGTTGCACACTATTATACCATTGGAAAGATTCAAGCTTTTTAAGTAGGACTAAACAATCTTTTGCAAGTAACTCTTTCGGTCTTTATTAGAAGAACCAATTCTAGGGTTGATCGGCTTTGATAATCCTTAGTGGATTTCACTTTAATTTTTTGTAATATTAAACTAATTATTATAAATTTAATTAGAATATATTATGTATAAACAAATCTCCAATTAGTATACAATAGGTGTTATATTTCCATAGAATTTGACAAAAAATTAAATTAAAGATCTAATGTGTCACCAATGCTCTTTTCAAGCGTGACAAGTATATTTATCGTGGCCATAATTTAGATGGATTAATCTGAACCAAAGTTGAGTTTAACCCAAAAATATTTAGTATTGGGATATAAATTTTTCGTATTTTGGGTTAGGTTTGAAAAAAAATATCGAACTTACTATAAATTTAGCTAGTATTCATGTGAGTTTCTCAAATGTAAACATTGAATCACCTCAAGTTGAACATTAAACTACTGTTCAAGTTGTGTAATATAGAGAATAAAATTCACTACCGAAATTAAAATCAAATTCTACTTGATATCCATTTAAATTGTATAGCTCGAGAATCAAACCGAATTTTAACTGATTGTATAGCCAAATTTTAACTTGACTTAAAAATTTGAGACGTTGGTAATACTCGATATGAATGGTTCGGGTCGAATTCAAATACAGAATTAACTTCAATATGAGTCTCATACAATTTCCTAATGCGTCCAAATCTAGCCGGCTACACGTCTCATATGCTTTGTCAAAAAATAGCTGGAAACAAATGTGGAAAGTATTTTACAATGAAGGGTAAATGATCCTTTGGACCATGAAAGAGATTTATATTCTGAATTTATGCACTAAAAGATTGAAATTCTTATTTTTGCATCCACAATTAAATAAAAAAGGAACAATTTGTTACATTTTAAAACAAATTGAGTACAAAAAAGTTTGTGTAAAACACTTAAAATTGAATATTATGCAAATAATTGTGTATAAAATAGGATAACATAACAAATAATCAAAAAATTGTGTTAAAAAAGGCATCGAACATTTAGTCTTGGATTACATTGTTACTTTTTTATTTGATAAAGGGTATAATATAAAAATTTTAATCCCTCACAATGTAATTGAGAATATTTTAAAATGCAAAGTGTTACCCACTAGAAAAGAAATATAAAATAAGAATCAATTAAAATAGTAAATTCATTTAAATAAATCTCATAAATGTTCCATGACCTATTTTAATTATCTTAATTTGTCCATTAAAATATATAATTTTATTTTAATCGACCTCTTCCATTAATATCAACAGATAATTGAGATAGATTATATTAAGATTAATGATTAATTAGTCTCATTTAATGGTTAATTGAACAAAAGGGATTGATTGAAATAAACTGTATAATTCATGAGATAAATTGAGATAATTAAAAATCTAGGGTAGAATTTAAAGTAAAAGCCATAAGTTCAGGGGGCGTTTATAAAATTTACCATAAAATAAAGTATAAAATTCAAATCGGGAAACGTGGGAGAAGAACGTATATAAAATGGGGGAAGGTGGGGGGCACATATTACAGAAGGAAAACAATGCAGCCGGACAACGAGGAGGAGGAGGAGGAGAGAAAGTCATCGTAGGTTCCAACCACTGCCTACCAGCGAAATTGGCGCTCTCATTGTCCATTCATCTTCCTTAATGTATACGTATATGTATATATATACCCGTCGCTCAAATCAATCTTTATTGCATTTCAAATTATCCAGTGATTTTAATTTTTAATTAAGGCATCGCGGATCGAGTCGTTATCTACTCTCTCTCTCTCCGATACAATCTCTACGCGGTAATCCGATTTCTCTGCCTATTGTTTTGTTTTTTTTATCAGATATCTCAACATTCTAAGGTTTTTAGTCTTAGATTCTTTGTATTGTTGAATTAGAGGTATAGGGTTATGGAAAATATGAATGTTGATCCGTTAGAGTCTTTCTGTGTCCCCAATGGAGGTTGAGTTTGGAGATTTTTCGATCTTGTATCAGTTATTGGATTTCAAATCTTTTTAATCTTTGTTAAAATATAAGGTATTATATCAGTACCCAATGATTTGTTTTTTCCAGATTTCTCACGATTGTAAGGTTTTCGGTATTAGATTTGTGATATTCTTGAATGAGAGGCATACAGTTTTGGAAAATATGAATGTTGATCCGTTGCGTATTTCTTTTTGTCCCCAATGGCGTTTGAATTTGAAGCTTTTCCGAACTTTATGTGTTCTTGGATTTAAAATCTTGTTGATATATGTCACAATAAAAGGAACTGTCAATCTGTTTTTGTCAGATTGTTCTTTTTTCTTTTTAGAGATGTGAATACTGGGTTGGATTATAAATCTTTTCGATCTATGTCAAAATATAATGTACTATGGTTTCACAATCTTAGTCTATGCTCTGCACTTTGTTCTTGGTTTCTTTTCTTTTTTAAGAGATGTAAATTCTGGAATCTTGATTATGGAGGTACCCTTTCTGCATGTTTGTTTGGACTTCTAAGCCACACCATGTCTATATGTGTTTACTCTATGTTTGAACAACAAAATCATGATTATAGGGAAACCTGAAACTGAAAGATTATGATGAGCTTTAGTCTTGGTATTTAGGAAATAAAGGAATTTAACATCAGGCGAATGTAGGTTTTGGTGTGTTGAATGATATATGTATTTCTCTCTCCCTGTATCTATCTCTACGTATATGTATATGGATTTGTTTGTCTGTATGTTCTATCAAATTTGGGATTGATGTTCCACTTTATCATTGCAGAATGCGTGCAGTCAGCCTGCTATATATGTTTGGGCATGAAATAGTGTCAGTATAGAATGAAATGTTTGTTCGTGGAATTTGTATATTTTGCCTCCTAAGCTGAGGAAAAAGAAATGGATTCCGCAAGGAGTTGGTTGCAAAAGTTTCAGCCACGAGATCGATCTAGGTCTTCAACTAGGAAGAAGGAATCTATGGATTCTGGAAAAGAGGAGTCAAAACCTCTGTCTGCCGAGGAAGCCTCCAACATTACAAAGCAGAAGGTTGCTGCAGCAAAGCAGTATATAGAGAACCATTACAAAGAGCAAATGAAGAACTTGCAGGAGAGGAAAGAGCGGTATGGCATAGTCTATGGATATCATCTATTAACTTTTATTGGTAGGATGATAGTTTTGCTTTTGTCGTTCTTTCAATGGGAGAGTACGATACCTTTTACGTTTCTGGTTTCTTCAAATAGGCGAAATTTACTGGAGAAAAAGTTAGCTGATGCTGATGTCTCAGAGGAAGACCAAAACAACCTATTAAAATTCTTAGAGAAGAAGGAAACTGAATACATGCGCCTTCAAAGGCACAAAATGGGTGCTGATGATTTTGAGTTACTGACAATGATAGGAAAGGGTGCATTTGGAGAGGTAAACATCTTTACCGAATCATATCATGATTGGTTTGTGTAGCATTTTAGTTTTATTTGTTTTTAAGGTATACATTTGTAGTTTTTGATCTAAGTTCGCTGCAGTTGGTATATCCTAGTGATAGTGTTATATATTATGTGCTTTTTCTTTTTGCTGCATGGCTTTGGCAGCTAGATGCTATTTAAGAATTGGGACTGCGAATATTTATCAAATATAAATTATTAACTATAGATTGGCTTACAACGGCAAATGTTGGTTCCTATTAGTTCATTCTTCCGAGCTTAGACATCAACCTCTTCATGATTTAGAATTTAGGTAATCTGCAATCTTTCCAGTTATCAGAGTATTTACAACATGTAAGGCAGCTATTAGTTTGTAGCCACACATTCACATGCACACCATTTAAACATCCCCCACCTCTATGAAGCACGGACACAAACACCGGACACGGACACGACATGACATGAACATGCAAATACGTAAATTTTTAAAAAAGTGGGATATGAACACGTCGAAGACACATTGAATAAATATATTCAAAAATATATTTTATAAGCCTATATAATCCAAACTCAACATTTTTTGATCAAATTAGATATTAAAATAACCAAACCATCACATTATCACTAAATAGCAAAGTTATTAAATAATAGTGAGCATAACAAAAAAAAAATAGCATAAAAGAATAAAACAGCAGACAAAAAACAAACAGTAGGGTTGAAAAGAAAAAAAAGCAGGGTTGCAACAGCAAAAACAATAGGGTTGTAGCAGCAAAAATAAGAGGGTTGCATCTGCAAAAATAGGAAAAAAAAATAGTAGATAGACAAAAAAACTAAGGAGAAATTGCAAATTTTGGATTGAGTAACAAGGCCAGAAAAGTAGAATGAAAAATAGAATAAAAGGTTTTTCCAGAAAAATAGAATAATAAAAAATGTCAAATTTTTTTTTTCATGTTAGGGTTTAAAACTTGTTAAACCCTAACTAAAAACCCTATCAGGATTAGGGGTGTCAATTTTTTCTATTAACATGAACTCGAAAATAACACGATTAGTTGGTTCGACACGAATAACACGATTAATGGGTACTGGAGATAGAAAATAATTATTTAACGAGTATTGTAGATAGAAAATAAAAATTTTATAATTTTTTAAATAGTATTATATTAGTTCCTGTCAAATTAAATAATTTTTTATTAACACGAATATTGATATGAACCCGACACGTACTGAAAGTGATGAAAGTGATACTACATGAAAATAACACGACCGAAAGTGATACGACACGATTGACACCCCTAATTAGGATAAGCCCTAAAGAGAGTTGAAAATCACATCTTATTGAAGAAAAAATGGTGTAAATAAGAATAAAATATTATGGGTAGTTCAGATTGAAGATTATCTGTGATGGGGAAATTTGTTGGTCGTTGAAAAATGGCCTAAATCGAGAATAAAGAATTTTGAATCTCTCCGGTCGACTTGCTGGAGAAAAGAAACGTCGTCAGAGTGAACCAAAGTCGCCAAAGTGGTTGGGCTTCTCCTCTCTTGGCTTGATAGAGAAGCCTAGAAAATTTGCCAATGTTTTCTTCTTTTTTTTTTCTTCGTCGATTTTTTTCTCTCATAGAGAGAGAATAAGAAATATATATGTTTCTTTTTTAATTCCTAATCCTTGGGCTTTTTATTTTCTAGCACTTCCACTTTTAAATAACTACAAAAAAGATCCCATGTTTTTATTTTAAAATTATAAAATGCCCCTTAAATGTGTCCACTGTGTGTCTGAATTTGAAAAATTAAAATAAAAGTTGGACACTCTAATTAATGTGTCCGACACGTGTCCGTATCCCAGACGTGTTGGACACGGATACGTGAGCCAAAATCGAGTGTCCGTGCTTCATAGCCCCACTTGTGTATATATACATATTTGTTAATTTAGGATGTGCTATTGTCTGTATACATAGACAATAATTTATTAATTAATGGGGAGGATTATTTGCTTATTTTTGTTTAGATAATTGTATTGAAGGGAATGTATCTGCATGTGTTGTCTATGGGGATGGAAATTTGACTGATAATTAGGTAATCTGTGGGTCTCATTTCCACTTCAGAACAGGTTGGGCCCCTATATTCAGGTAGGGACGAGGACAGGATTCAACCTCTCAGAACTGTTCTTTTTTCCATTCTAAATTTTTTTTTTTTAGGGTTTTAGGGTTTAAGACGCTTTATCCAAAACAATTTGGTATTTCACTGTTACACACATTGGAATTGATGTAATTTATTTGCTGATGTGCAACAAATCTAGATTTCTGCAGTCCCAAATAGTTCCTTTGATGGAAAGACCTTTGATGGAAAGAGACAAGTTCATGCAACAAAAGAGTCCATGGTCCATTACATCTATAAATTGACCGTTTATAAGGTCTGTAAAATCAAATAAAACTTATTTTTTTTATTTGTAAGACAGGGCCCCGTCCAGTTTAAGAATTCCTTCATTTCCCATTTGTGCTCTGAGGCAGGTAGGTGTCAGGTCTGGCGTGAGATTGTAAGTTTTTTGAGTGGGTTGGAAAAAGGGTGTCTCACGACTCTCACCTCGGAATATGTCATGTTACCCCTCCCTATGTCTCAACGATCGCACCATTTAACACTTCATGGCTTGCTATAGTTTTCATTAGTATGTGATTGATGCAGATAGTAAAGTTAGTTTATTGGTCACTTTGGGGTACAGGTCAGAGTCTGTAGAGAAAAGACAACAGGTCATGTATATGCAATGAAAAAGCTTAAGAAATCAGAAATGCTTCGAAGAGGCCAGGTATGTGATTACGTGGTCTTCAGGTGGCATTATTATGGTTTCATTCATTATGTTTTCTGGCACTTAGCCTATCAATTCGTTTAGGTTGAGCATGTGAAAGCTGAAAGGAATCTGCTTGCAGAGGTGGACAGCAACTGCATTGTCAAACTATATTGTTCTTTTCAAGATGATGAGTATCTATATCTCATCATGGAATATCTACCTGGTGGAGATATGATGACTTTGCTTATGAGAAAGGACACCTTGACTGAACATGAGGCTAGATTTTATGTTGCTGAAACAGTTTTGGCTATTGAATCCATTCATGAACACAATTACATTCATAGGTTAGTAGATGACCATGCTTGATTTGTAAATATGATTTGGTGTGCTATGTTTGTATTTTTAGTGGATGGCGTCAGATATGCTGATTTCAACTGTTTATTTGCCTGCTCCAGGGACATTAAGCCTGACAACTTGCTGCTCGATAGATATGGTCACTTGAGACTATCCGATTTTGGATTATGTAAACCTTTAGACTGCAGTACTCTACAAGAGAAGGATTTTTCAATGGGGGACAACTGTAATGGAGCCTCTAGGAATGATGAACGCACTGCAGCTCCAAAACGCACACAACAAGAGCAACTACAGCATTGGCAGAGAAATAGGAGGATGCTTGTAAGTTTCGTACCACTTCTTGTTGCACCTTTCTTTTTCTTTTTTGCTGAACTATTTGTAAACATAATGAACTTGTCTGGGGAGGATTGTTTTCCACTGGTTGGTAACTTGAGTACTTGACAGACACTATCATTGGCTTGCTTCATTTCATCAACTTACTAAACAATGCACAGTGCATGATTCCCATTTATCAAATTCAGAAGGAAAAACAAGTAGAATGTTAGGCAACTAGGAAACAACAAAGTGATAAAATGAGTGTAGCGGAAATAAGAATGCTAAGATGGATGTATCGAAAAATTAGAAATGATAAAATAAGAAATGACCGTATCAGAAAAATGGTAGGAGTAGCTCCAATTGAGGATAAGTTAGAGAAAATAGATTAAGATGGTTTGATTATGTTCAACGGTGACCGATAGAGGCATCGGTTCGAAAAAGTGAGAGAATTTTTCTTAATGTTACTAGAAGTAGGGGTAGACCTAAATTAATATTGAACGAAATAATAAGAAAAGATATGAAAATATTTAACTTAAATAAGTGTATAGAGCATGATCAAAATGAATGGTGAAGATGAACTCATATAACTAACTCCAAATGATTCGGACATAAGACTTAGTTTGGTTTAGAAGGAAAAACCAGTGCAGTGTAACCTGTGTTCTCATGTTGGGTCATTGCAGGCTTATTCAACTGTCGGTACACCAGATTATATCGCTCCAGAAGTTTTGCAGAAGAAAGGTTATGCAATGGAATGTGATTGGTAAGTCATTCTCCTGAAAGTAATTTTCCTTTATTGCATCTCATGCAGGAGTTGGAATAGCATTTGAATGGGCCTATTGATTGCATTTGGCTGGCTTATTTAAGGTTTCATGGAACAACGTTGTATATGCCTGGGTTGATGTTACTCCATTTTTGGTGTGACTTTATTCTATAGACAGATTTGTGCTTGAGAAATAAGACGCTGCTGGAATTCATGGGAGACGAATAGTTTTCACAAAAGTCTGACGTGTTCAATTTTATTCCATGCATTAAGACAATGATATGGTTATTATTGTTCCACAGGTGGTCCCTGGGCGCTATTATGTATGAAATGCTTGTCGGGTATCCTCCTTTCTATTCTGATGATCCTATGTCCACATGTCGGAAGGTAAACTTTGGAATGCTCTAATTTAATATGTAGTTTTTAATTGTTCTTATTTTGTATGTTTAGTTCTTTTTTTTGGGGGGGGAGGGAATATGTCGTTGTGTTCTGGTTTTCCTATATCCCAGGTTTGAACAGCTACTCTTACCCTCAGTGTTCAGCACCTTTAATAAATAGTCGTTTTGAATTCTATTTCCTAAAATAAACTCTTTGACCTGGTATACTATTCCATATGAGAAAATGATCAAGTGAAGTCTTCTGCCATTATGCGGTGCACTGGTGGACTGCTTGGGTTCAGTGGCCAGTTGGCATCCATTGCCCAAGGCACTTTGATTGGCACATAAGACCAAACTGTTTAATGGCCTTGATATGCTAGAAGTCACTTAGGTCCTTTTGTTTCTAGTAGTTTTTAACTATTCCATTAAATTGATGGGTTCACGTTCATGACAATGACATGATAATGGAAAAACAGAAATCCCCAAATGTAGGGTTATAATGGACTGTATAAAGTGATTAAGGGCGATGAGAGAAATAAGAAGACCAAGGGCAACGTCACATTTGAAACATAGACTTGGACTAAGTAATGATGAATCCAATATTTCTTTCTAGTTTGTGCTTTTTGCACTTGATAAAATTGCAGCAAGTGGGCTTGGGTTTGGATGACGTGAGGGCTGAATTGAGTCTCTCTGAGCCTGGTCTACAGCTGTTTTATGGATTATTAGTCTTTTTTCATTCAATGCCAATGAGCCTAAAACAAGTGTGGCACAACTGTGATTTATGATGAAACCTAGACTTGAATTATTCTTGCTTTGTTTGAGAGGCTAATTTGCTGCAGAATGTCTGTAATGACTGAGAAATATGTAGTTACCTGAGGATGTTGATATGATGGATTCAAGCCGAAAGCACTTTGTAGCCAGATCTTTTTTTGCTTTCTATTTTTCAACAATTTACTTAAGCTAACTTCCTTGTTGAGGATAAGTTTCTTTGGCAAATTTCCCTGTACTTCGCATCCTGCACCTTAATCTGATTTTTTGCTGTTCTTCATATATAGACTTTTCAAATTTATAAAGAAGGCGGTGAATCCCGCGACCCCTCAATTAAAATTCCTGAGTTTTGTTATCTTAATCCAGATAGTGAACTGGAGAACACATTTAAAGTTTCCTGAAGAAGCAAAGCTATCTTCAGAAGAGAAAGATCTTATCAGTAAACTGCTTTGTGATGTCAAACAGAGGCTCGGTTCAAAAGGCGCAGATGAAATAAAGGTGTTGTGTGGTGTGTCCTATTCTATGTTCTTGAATCTGTTCCTGGAGTTGCAAATGAAGCCAATGACGTATTTGTTTGTCTTTTAGGCTCATTCCTGGTTTAAAGGTGTTGATTGGAACAAAATATACCAAATGGAAGCTGCATTCATTCCTGAGGTTAATGATGACTTGGACACCCAAAACTTTGAAAAGTTTGAGGAGGTAATTGTGTTCCTCATTTTTTCCAACTTTTTTTTGGATTGTTTCCACTGGAGCTAACTCTAGTGAATCATCCCTTGTTGCTCACTGCATCCTCATTTTCCTGCCTATTTTGCGGTCCACAGTCTGAAAATCAAACTCAGGCTTCATCAAAAGCTGGACCATGGAGAAAGGTAAGCTCACTTGCACAACTTCATGACTTATTTCTATGAAACATTTCATATCTCAAGTACTACTATAAATTTCCTACATGTATGTGTGCAGTGTTAGTATTTCTTTTGCTATTTAGTTTGGGATTGAATTCTTACGGATTTCCCCTGAACCGGTTGGTTTACTGGAATCCAATAAATAATCTGCAACTCAGCTTGCAGACGACAACATTTGGATGCCTCCCATCTCTCTGTGTCTTCTGCAGTTTTATGTCTGTCTTCAATGCCCATTTACATGTGCCTCTCAACAACGACCACGACACTTCTCTCTCTCTCTCTCTCACACACACACACGCGCGCGCGCACATGCACTAGCAAACTACGACAGACGGACACACGCACCATTGATCCTGCTCCCTCTTTCCCACCGTAAACCACACCCCTCACCTAGCAGTGGCCTCCTTCCCTCTTCTCTATTGCAGACCCACACCTCTCACCCACTGTAAATTCAGAGACTTCTTCTAAAAAATCCTCTTTTACATTGATATCACTTGGAATAAACGTAAGTAAAAAGGGATACAAACTAAGTGTAGAGCCCCCGTATATATAGTCAATGAGAGTTACCATAAGGACAAAAAGGTAAAAAAAGGAAAACTTAATAAAACCCTAATAAACTAGGCTGCTGCTATATCTCCAACACTCCCCCTCAAGTTAGGCGCAAAAATGTCAACTAAACCAAGCTTGACAACGGAGTCCCGAAAAATAGACAGAGTGACAGGTTTGGTAAAAACATCCGTAACCTGATCACTGGTCCCCACAAACGATGGAGTGACAATACCACTATTAACCTTCTCTCGAAAAAAGTGAACATCAATCTCTATATGCTTCGTCCTCTCATGTAGTACAGAGTCAGAAAGCGAGCTGAATAGCAGATCGATTATCACAATATAATGTGGAAAGAGAGGTCACTGAAAAACCCAACTCGCCAAGAATCGATCGTAGCCAGATAATCTCACACGTGCCAAGTGCCAGTGCCCGATACTCTGCCTCTGCTGACGAGCGGGAGACAACTGCCTGTTTCTTGCTCTTCCAAGAGATAAGATGAGTCCTTCGAAAAGCACAGAAGCCCGTAGTAGATCGACCATCACATGCTCCCCCATAATCTGAATCTGAATAACAGGCTAGAGAACCGGTCTGAGATCTTGATACATAAAACAACCCAAGTCCACGACAAGACTTGAGGTACCGAAGAATATGATAAACTGCATCAAGATGAGGCTGACATGGCCTGTGCATGAATTGACTAACTCGGCTGACTGCGAATGAAATGTCCGGCCTAGTATTGGCTAAGTAGATAAGTTTACCTACCAATCTTTGATAAACTGTCGAATCTTTCGACTCCTCACCTTCAGCAGTAAGTTTCAGGTTTGGAATCATGGGTGATGATGCCGGTTTGCACCCCAACATCCCAGTGTCTGAAAGAAGATCCAAAACATACTTTCTTTGAGAAAGAACAACACCCATGCCGCTACGGGCAACCTCAATCCCAAGAAAGTATCGCAGAAATTCAAGGTCCTTCACATCGAAGGCCTTTCCAAGGTCTATCTTGACCTGTGCAGTCCCAGAAACATCATCACCAGTAATAATAATATCATCAATATATACCAGAAGAATGACACACCGTCCAGAAGTATTCCGTCGAATAAAGCAGGTATGATCAGAATGACACCTAGTGAACCCCAATCGTACGACTACATCACTAAAGCGAGAGAACCAGGCTCGTGGCGACTGTTTCAGTCCATAAAGAGACTTACGCAGTCGACATACCTTTCCAGCATACTCCCCCTCACCACAAAAGCCCGGTGGTGCATCCATATAAATAATCTCGTCCAAATCACCGTGAAGAAACGCATTCTTCACATCTAATTGATGAAGAGGCCAAGAGTACTCCGCAGCCAGAGAAATAATCAACCAAACAGTAGTCAATTTTACCACGGGGGCAAATGTAGCATCAAAATCACGACCTGGTACCTGAGTAAAGCCCTTCGCCACAAGTCTAGCCTTGTGACGATCAATAGTACCATCCGCAAGAAACTTCAGGGTGTAAACCCAACGACAGCCAACAGGCTTCACCCCTGAAGGTAAGGAGACAAGATCCCATGTATGATTACACTGAAGAGCGTCCATCTCTGTCTGCATGGCAACAAACCATTAGGGCTCCCGCATAGCCTCCGAAATAGAGCGAGGAACCGGCGTATCTGATAAGGCCATAGTATAAGCTCAAAATGTGGGAGACAGATCACCATAAGAAACATAAGCAGAGATCGGATATAAAATTCTGGCGGTCCAACCATAACGATCAACTGGACGGCGATCACGCCGTGGATAACGACACCCTAAATTATACTCCTCCACTGATAATGTCTCATCAGGTAAATGAACTGGCTCAGCACCTGCAATCACTTCAGTACTAACAACAGGTGCATTAATATGCTCAACAAACTGAGAAGTATTACCTGTATCGTCTGAGGTAGAGGGGACATCAACAGGGTGATGAGAGCGAGGGCGACAAACATACACCTGCAAAGGAAGAGAGACTGGTAACTCTGTACTGACAGAGAGGAGTGGCTCTGAAGGAGGAAAAACAGATAACCCTGTAGGGATAATGACCAATGACTCTGACTCCTGTGGTAATGAAAAATCAAAGGGAGTATCATCAACTGGAGGGGCAGACACAGGACTGGGAGGAAAATAAGGAATATGCTCAAGAAAGGTAACGTCTAGACTGTGATACATACGGCGCCTGATAGAATCATAACACCGATACCCCTTAGATTGATGACAATAGCCCACAAAGATACAACGAATCGCTTTATCATCAAGTTTATGACGAGTAGGAGATCGATCCTGAACAAAACATGTGCATCCAAAAATACGAGGGGGGACCGAAAAAGTGTCCGCTCAGGAAATAAGACCTGTAAGGGAGTCTTATGCTGAAGAACACGACTCGGCGTACGATTACACAAAAAGGTAGAAGTCAAAATAGCAAAATGTCAATAAGATTTTGGTACCCTCATGCCTCAAAGCATACAACGTACCATCCCTATCAAACTCCTATTTTCTTTTCAGCAACACCATTTTGCTCAGGAGTATTTGGACAAGTGAGTTGCTGAAGAATACCCTGAGAAGAAAGGTGAGACACTAAGGCATCAAACACATATTCTTTGGCATTATCCAAACGAAGAGCACGAACAATGACATCGAATTGTGTCTTAATCATTTGTAAAAACTGAGTAATTATAGGAAGTACATCAGACTTTCTATGCAAAAGATAGACCCAAGTACAACGGGTATGGTCATCTATAAATGTCACATAATATCGGGCATTTGACAAAGCAGTAACGGGAGAGGGTCCCCAAATATCAGAGTGTATTAGGTCAAATGGCTTAGGTGACTGGTGCATGCGAGGAATATAATTGGCCCTAATATGTTTCGATAGGGAACATATAACACACTCAAGTTTACCACCAACACAAGCATTGCTCAAAGCAGGAAACAACATACATAAATATTTAAAATTTATATGTCCAAAACGGTCATGCCACAACTGAACAGTTTGTGACAAAAAATTATAACGACAACTACTAGGTAAAATACTAGCATGCAAGTTAGGAACAGAAAAAGACAAAACAGGTGCAGGTGATGTAGGTGGAGGAATTGGTGAAACTGGAGGTGGATTGCCAAGATAATACCGTCCATCTTTCTTATGTCCCCTGATAATAATCCTCCTGGTACTCAAGTCCTGCAAATAACACGAATCAGATAAGAATACAACCGCACAGTGAAAATCTCTGGCTAATTGATGTACAGATAATAGATTCATGGCCAACTTTGGCACATGAAAAACCGAACGTAATGTAAGGCCATCTGGGAGGCGGACTGTACCCCTATTAACAATAGGGGCATGTGTCTCATCTGCTAACTGAACCTGTGTATATAACTGCTCGTCAAAATTGGTGAAGTGATGGGCCTCACCTGTCATGTGACTATTCGCACCCGAGTCCAACATCCAAAGGGGAGATGAACTGGCACAAGTGTGAAAGGCACGAGGTATACCTGTAGTGGTGACAGCAGCAGTAGTCAGACTCTGAGAAGTCAGAGCAGACATAAGTATATTTAATCGGGAAGTGATAGCATCCATATCACTCTGCCAAAGTGGAGTAGCAGCAGCAGCAAGAGTAGCGGTAGTGGGTGGTGGTACCTCAGCAATAGCAACAGTACGGCTGCGAGGAGGCAGCTTAAGCTCTGGATGAGCTTCCAGCAAGTAGCCCTGAGATGTTTTGATCGGCCACAATAATCACAGTGACGGGAATCCCCCTGTCTACGCTGATCTGAGGCACCCTGACGGCTCTGATCCGAGCGCTGCCCACCCCTGACTGAGGATCCTGAACGAGACCCTGCAACAACTGCAAGGGTCATCTGGTCAGGCGAAGGAGTCAAAGCCGCAACTGGAAGTGATGCAATACAGACTCGACGCTCATACTGCTCAATCATCCCATACACCTCATAAAGAGAAGGAAGTGTCAACATCGACAAGATCTGAGAACGAGGTCCCTCAAACTCATCACGAAGCCCCATAAGGAACTTATGAATCCTATCCTCCTGCTCTCGAGTATACAAGAATACTACTCCCTCGGGCTCTATCTTCGAAATAGCAGCAAGAGGATGTAGAGTCTCATACTTAAGCCAGCGCTGGGTCAAATAGCCATAATAATCCTGAACGGTCATATCTCCCTGCCGAGCATATGAGAGCTCCTGAGAAAGCTCATAAACACGAACTCCCCGTCCTGACTGAGAATACATCTCTGATAGTGCGCTCCATAGCTTCGGAACAGAGCTATGAAACTGGTGGATCCTGCAAACAGATGGCTCTATCGAGCCAAATAACTATTCAAGAATGACGCAGTTCTCAGAGAACCACGCAGAATATCCAGGGTCGGCATCAGCTGGTTTTGGGTGAGATCCCGTCAGCCAACCAGGCTTCCTTACACGGCCTAAGAAAAGCTGGAATGAGCGAGACCACTCAGCAAAGTTACGACCATTCAACAACTGTGCCATAACTTTTTGAGAGATCATGCCCGGTAGTGCTTGTAATGCAACTGTGCTAGTAGGTACTGTATACTGGTCAAACATAAAAGTGGAAGTACCCATAAATGTCTCAACGGTAAAGGTGTCAACAGTAGGGTTCTCAAGTCCCTCAATAGTATTCATATCAACAACAATACTAGGGCACCTGTGACAGAAAAATAACTTTAAGATAAATAGAGAGATCAAATAAGGGAGAACGATATACCTTCAGTCGAATAATAGCGACAGATAAAGAAGATCCAGAAAGCTCTCAAATTTTCAGTTCACGGTGCCCAGAAATCTAATAAATATAGATAAATGATCTACTGTATCAAGAGCATATCAACGGAGAAGAGGATTTAACCCCTCTTAAAACAAAGTCCTAGATACTACAATCTGACAGTACTATGACGAAGAATGGGAAGGACGAAGCCACAACGAAAAACGAGACCCAACAGTGAGTGGGCAATAGGCTGGTCTGGGCTGTGGTCTGGGTTTACTGGGCTGGTGTTTGGGTTTATGCTTGGCTGTGGCTTATTGCTTTGGTTTTTCAATCGGTGGAGGCAGTGGATAGTGGTGGTTGACTGGGGCAGTGGGTGTGGGCTGGTGAATGTTTGGACAGTGTTGGTTGTTTGTGTATTTTTTTTTTTTTGATCTGGGTAGTCGGTGAATACTATTCAGTTGATCTAAGTAGTCGGTGAAGGTGTTAGTCGATGGATTGAGGTTGGGAAGTCGGTGGATGGGGACCAGTCTTCTTTCTCGCCAGTATATGTTGTCGGTGTTTGGCAAAAGAGTGGGCTGGTATATGTTGTCGATGTAATGCTAGGGTAATGCTAAACTATATTTTGGTTTGTAGTGGCTGTCGTTGGTTTGGGGCTGTCTCTGGTTCGCTACTACTGCTGAAGGTGGTTTTGCTGGTTGACTGCTGGGAAGGTGATGAAGGCTAGGGTTAAAGTTAGAGTTAGGGTTTTTGCTCTGATACTAACTTGGAATAAACGTATGTAAAAAGGATACAAACTAAGTGTAGAGCCCCCGTATATATAGTCAATGAGAGTTATCATAAGGACAAAAAGGTAAAAAAAGGAAAACTTAATAAAACCCTAATAAACTAGGCTGCTGCTATATCTCCAACAATATCCTCTTTCCCAAACCTAAACAACATATTTGATCAAGAAGTTTGGCCAAGTGAGGTGAATCTTGGCAGCATAATGTGATGTGTTTGCTTTGATTTCATTGAACCCATTGCATTTCGTGATCTGATTTTCTAATTTGGTTCGAGTTTTGTAGTATGAGATGGGTTTTCCAATTTTCTAATAAAATTGGCTTCCTAGATGGGTAAATGATGTTGACGTAGTTTTGCATGTAGACTAAGAAGTACGGATATGGACATGGGTGTCATATCCAATACGATACGGACACAGGAATATGACAAAGTTTCAAGATATAGAATACGTGTACGGTACGGATACAGTTAATTAAAATAATATTATATATTTTTATATAAATAAAAATATTAATAATATAACTTAATAAATATTAAGCAATTGGTTAATATTTTATAATTGAACAATGAATTAATATTAAATTAGGTAGTGGGTTAATTACTTAATGTTCTAATTGGTGGGCTAATATGGATAGTGGATTGATTATTTAATCTGTTTAAATGGAAAGAGAGAGAGGCGTGGCTGATAGAAAAAAAAAAGAAAAAAGGAAAGCCGTCTAACTTACACAAAACCCAGATCGCATCAAGAGAGAGAAAGATCGTAATGAGAGAGGATCCAAATCTTTAGATCGCAAAGAGAGGGGTCAGACGGTGAAGAAGAGGGAAAGAAAAAGAAGAGAAAGAGTTCTTCGACATACTTGGTCAATACAAGTTTAGATTTGTGGTTTTCAGATTTGTGGCTGAAGAACAGATGAAAGGAGAGAGGTACTGTATCCGATTTTATTTATTTTTCTGGTTAGGACACTTGTGGAAGTATCGAATATATGTCCGACCGTATCCCACGCATATCTGTGTCAGACACTCGACACTGCCATGTCGACCTCCGCCGGAGTATCCGTGTTTCCTAGACAATGAGAAGGTAATGGTGTGGGTTCAAGATGGTGATTTAGTGTGATAATGACAAAGAATCTGTGAAAATGCATCAATTTTCAGGTAGAATAAGCTATGTATTTGAATGATTGGGAGAGAGGAGGGGAGGCGCCATTGTGGTCCGGTGGTGCGCGTGTGATAGCAGTGAGAGAGAAAATTTGAGACGTGGGAGCAGGACAATTTGTGAAGGACCCACAATAACTGACTTGTTGGCTGTTAATTGGAAATCTGTAAACTACTTAATACATGGCCGATCCGGAAATAATTTAATCTCATTTAGTTTATATTTTGTTACATGATACTTCTTGTTTGGAATTTACATTTGGATTGACTTTCTTGCTTTTATAATTTGTACAAAGGAGCTTTTTTGATATTACTAAACAACATAATTGCATCCGAACATGGGAAATTAACATGTCTGTTAAAAGCATGTGAGTATTGTTGAAAGCTAAAAAACTTGAACTTTGTTTTATTATCCGATTTTTCTGTAAGGTTTGGAAATGTGAACCAATATTAGTTGGCTCGTGAAAAATATTTGAATAATCAGTGTCTAAAAAATGGATCTTTTTGCTGAAGTCTATGGGAGTTCAAATGAGGATTTTGTCCAAAATCTTATGTTATAAAGAAAGGACATTTGATTGTGGATACATTTACAAGTAACTGTAAGTGTGATATTCTGTGCAAGGCTTGCTAGATATGAGATGTGATGTATTTCTGTTTTAAGATAATTAATTTTTGGTCTGGATCACGAGTATTGAAAGCAAGTGTCCTCTTACATTGGACAAGGAAATGATGAACATGCCAATTATGTGAAGTCTGTCTGCTATAATATGTTTCAGCAAGTGCTTTCTAAAATGAAACATTGCCATTCTACATCTGTCCTTGACGCTTGAATTCTCAGGTGTATTATTGTTTTTTAACTTATGTTGCTTGGATGCTATATGTTTTATTTTTTTTGCCTTTTATTTCTATCTTCTTTTCCCATCATCCCTTTTTTTCTTCTCTCTCATTTCTTTCTTTCTTCCTGCAGATGCTTTCATCCAAGGACATTAACTTTGTTGGGTACACGTATAAGAATTTTGAAATTGTCAATGACTACCAAGTGCCTGGGATGGGTCTCTCTCTCTCTCTCTCTCTCTCCCCCCCCCCCCCCCCCCCCCCCAAGTGTATGATGCACACACAGACATCTTTATGCATGTACACCCATAATATTATTAAGTTTGTGGAGGTGAACATTGCGTGCAAGCTTATATTTATTAGGTCTTCAATTGATGTCATGGTAATTAGCTTTACATGTTCATTTAATGCACCATCTATGGATCTATAGCCTCTAGCACAACTTGGGGCAAGAAGTCCTTGAGGCAGCAGGGATGATGATTGGTAACATGTTGGTACCATGGTGTTTCTAATACTCTTCTTGACTCCATCACATGGTGCTTGTTGTCATTTACTCCTCTTAGTGAACAGTCTGAACGAGGTTGATTTTGCATGCAGCACCACCCTCTAAGGGGTTCATGGTTCTAATTTTTTGGGGCAAAACAAATTTTTTTGGCTTAGATGATTAATCATTAAGACAACTCTGGCATTGCTGGTTGCAAATGCATTTGGACACGCTCTAGTGCTTGTTTGGCACCCATTGGGTTTACTTTTACAATCTCACGAGTTGGAAAAGCAATGAACACGTAACCCATAATTTTTGAATGCTATTATATTTTCATTTGTGCAATAGTGTTTCTTCGACTACCTTCTTCTTCGACTACCTTCAGTAGTCTCACTTTTCTTTCAATATTTAAATGGCTTGTTAAATGATTGAAGGGGCAAGATGGCCAAGAGTAGTAGCAGTGCAGTCTATCTATCTGTTTTACTGATTTTGACATGATTTTACAACCCATTTGGCTTGCATATCCCATCTGGATTATCAAATGACCCTTCTGGAATCACTCCATTTCACTGATCTTTCATGCTTAGCGTATAATATGATAAAAACCATGTCATCTGGTTCAAGTTGCTGTGCTAAATGCTTTTTATTGGTGACTGTCAAGCATGGTAGTAACCTGTTATTGATTTAAATTTTATATCTCTTGCAGCTGAATTGAAGAAGAAAAGCACCAAATCAAAGCGGCCAAGCATCAAGTCACTCTTCGGTAGGCTTATAAAGTTTATTCCATATGATTTCTTGAGGACATTAGCCTCTTTCTGCAATCACTCTTTTGGTCTTGGGACACATGCACCTTTTTATATGAAATAGATTTTTGGATCCTGGTACACAAGATGCAAAACTGATGTGCTATCAAATTTAGAAAAGCGACGTTTTAGGGTAAGGTGTACCTGTCTTTGCTCATTGCTTGCAAGTTTTGTCTAGGCCGTTTTACCCTGGCATGTGGGACCATTTGCATTTGGTTGAATTCACCTGATGAGAATGCCCTTTTGATACAATACTCGTGTTCAAATGATCTAATACAAGACGGAAATTCTGATAGTTGTTTCGCTGTAATTTATGACTGAAACTACCTGTTATAAAATACCTCCTTTAACTGAATTGAGTATAAGTTCATTTATGCCCGATCTAGGTATGAAATCTGGGTTTTTGTGTTCTCATGCAGAGGATGAGTCGGATGCATCAGATACATCTTCCAAGCAACACTCGCAAGGGAGCTTTTTGAATCTCTTGCCTCCCACACTAGAAGCTCCTGAAAAGCAGAATAATAAGTCCATGTAATGCTGATATCTCCGTAGCATCTTATGCCTACAGTGCTCCAATCAGTTGAATCATTTTCGAGCAAATACATTTTGTCCTTGATCCCCCCATGTGCCTCTTAGGAAGGTGGCAATTTTTGCAGGATCGTGATTTTCAAATGAAAATTCAAGGGAGGTGCTGGATTTTGAAGCCTACTAATTAGCTTTTGGGTTTGCTTGGATCAGAGTCTCCACAAGCCTTTTTTGTTTGGGTTTTGATCATTGATTCTTTAACCAAGAACCGAGAGGTAATCACTAACTTTGATTGTATTCCATTCTTTCCCACTTATTCTCAAACTATAAAATCTGTACAAAAAAGAAAATATACCACTTCGAATGATGCCCATGTTGTATTATTTATTGGTTTAATGATAGTGAAATAATTTTTGTTAAATTCCTACTTTTTTGAGAAAGTTGGGGAAGAGGAATTTGTGATCATGTTTTTGACAGCCAAACGGGCCAATAATATTCTTTGGGCATGGGTTTCATGGCTCATTGGGTCGGGTACTAGATTGCTATGTTTGTGCACCTTGTTATGATACAATGGTAATGTAATGTCAGGCTTACCAAACTTCACTTTACCTCTCTATCTCAAAAGTACATAACCTCCCTATCATTTGTAATGCTCCGTTTGGTACGATAAAAAATTATAGAGATAAATAAATATCATGTTTGGTAAGAAAGGAAAGTAGGAAGGATGGAAAAGTGGATGATTAACTTTTCTTCTAACTCACCAAAATCAATCCCTCTAAAATCGAAAGAAAAGTGGATAAAAAGTTAATTATTTGTGTTGAAATATATCTTATTTGTTTATATATTTTATGTATATATTAATTTCATATAAAAATACAATGGTATAATATGTATATATATTTTAAAATTTTTTAAAAATTAATGTTTTAAAAAAATAAAAAATAAAGAAATTTTTAAATTTTAAAAAAATTAAAAATTAAAATTTTAAGTTAAAAAATAATATTTTTTTCATTTTAACTGAGGGTGAAAATTTTCGACTCAATACGGTGACACTACTTAAATGTGATACGAAAATAAATAGATAAACTTTCAATTCAACATGACAGAATTAGTTAAATGAGTTAAGTTAGATTTGACTAATATTCGACACAAAATTGTAATAACTCAACACGAATCTAACATGACAGTACTCAATTTTATTGTCACTTCTTGGCCAACACAAAAAAAAAAAAAATAGTTATTTTTATTTTCTATCGATTCAAACAAACATAAAGGAAGGAAAGTGTATCCTTGAGCATTAATGTTTACATAACCCATGCATGATTTGTGGACTAAACTGAATCGTTACGGTTTTCGTCTATTTTAACTGGTTGTGTTTGACACGCGTTAGAAGTGAGAGTGGGCATGAAATTTTTTTTTAAAATAGCAAAGTGCCCCCCCACCACGTCTCTCTCTCTCTAGACAACCGTCGTTCACAAACCACACCATTCTCTTTCTCTTCTTCCTCCTCCTCCTTCTCCTTGTTTTATATGTCTTTCCTATTCTCCAACCAGTCCACTACTAATACAGTCACCATTACCTACTTCGTCCTATTTTTTGTTTCTTTTTTTCCTCGTCATTAACCAGCAACCTGCTGACAACCACTGTCAATTCATCTCTGTCTCTCTTCAACACCAACCCTTCAAAACTTACTGCCCCTCTCGAATTGTCTGACATTTTTGTTTGCAATTATGGTGCAACTCCAATTTTAATTTATTGTGATTCGAACCAATTTGTGAAACACTTTGAAGCATACCCACTAAAATTTGAGGTATTGCAGATCATTACAACGAATTCTAAAAATTGTGGCAGAGAGAATATCCCCTTTGAAGCCACATTGAATTTTTTTACAGTTAATTTTCATAAAAAATATTAAATTCTGAAAATTTCTGCCGCAAATTTCAAAAAATTGTGGTTGAAAATTTCTATTGAAATTTTTGACAATCTTTCTACTAAATTATATGTTGAATTAAGACAGCAACAGAGAAGAGGAAGGAAGAGAGATATATAGAATTGATTTGTTTTTCTGTCGAGTGAATTGGGCTTTGGGAGAGGGTGGCATGGAGAATATCAACGGAAGGGGTTTGTTTGGGAAGAAGAAGGAGATAGGGGTGTAAAGGTTATTTTAGCTTTTCTATTAACAGAGTTAGTATCGCAATTTAGTTCACAAATCATGCGAAGGTTTATGTGGACATTTATAAATATGATTGGGAGTTTATGTTCATTTGTTTGGATAGATAAAAAGTTGATTGAAAGAAATTAAGAGGGATGAAAAGAAATCTGTTTGTTTATTTCCTTTATGTGTGGTAGGAAACAAAATGCACATATATATATTATCATTATATGCTTGCATATGAAATGATCTTTTTAATTATATTTAACAGACTAATGTAACTTTGGAAGTAATTAAAATTTTAGAATATATTTTTTATTGACATGGGCATGGGGCCATTTTCTTTTTCAACAGCCAAGAATATTCGGATCAGTTTACGTAAATATAGATTAATTTTTTCTCCATTTGATTAAAGGGAGACCATTTACATCGAGATTAAACTATATTCATGAGAAATTTATTTCTCATGACCTACCTTAGAGATTATCAAAATTCGAATTCAGGACGTCTCATATGCACATTTGAAGGAAACTAATGAAAATGCTACATAATTTAAATAAAATTTAAAAAATACAACTCAAATACGTATCATCATTTGAGTGTTAGATGAGTGAGTTCCACTAAAAAAATTAAAGACTAATCTCAACTTGTACCTCGAAAGATCACTCAAATATCAATTTGCATTCTTAAAATTTAAAAATATCAATTTATACCCTAAAAGATATAAATTCGTATCAATGTGCACTGGATGGTAACTCTGTCCATTGTTTAGTTAAAAAAGTTTGGATTAATTATAAATTATGCCCTCTAAGTTTAAAATACTTCATATTTATGTTCCAAAATAAATTTCATCCATTAATTCTCAATTGTATCGTATCATATTCGAGTCAATAAAAAATATTTTTCAAAATTTTAAAAAAATTATAAAATACCTATTTTTTATCTACAATTAAACACAAATCTTTTGATTGTCCAATCAAACAAAAGTTACATACAAATAACACAACTATAGACAAAAAATAGTTATTTAACAAGTATTAAAGACAAAAAATTAGTATTTTTTAATTTTTAAAAAATATTAAATAGTATTATATAAATTGTCGTAAATGTGAAATACAAGACACAATACAATTGATCTGACACGAAATTTTTTTTTGTTAAAAATATTTTTTTATTGACTCGAACACGACACAAAAATGTTAATGTATAGAATTCTTTTTAGATCATAAATGTGAAATATTTAAATTTTGAAGAGTGCAATTTATAATTAATCTAAACTTTTTTAATCGCAAAATAGATGACAGTTAGTCTCAGGTGCACATTGACACATATTTATCTTTCGGAGTGTAAATTAATATTTTAAAATTTTAAAGGTACAAATTAATATTCACATAATCTTTCAAGATGCAAATTGAAATTAGTCCAAAAGTTAATGAAATCTATTAATCTAAAAAATAATATATATCTTTAAATAATAAATTTTTAAATTTCATTTGAACTTTGTAAAATCACTTCAATAACTAATGTCCCCGTTTATGTTTTTCATTTTTCGTTTTTATTTTAATATTTAGAGAAAACAAAGAAAAAAAAACTCATTTGATAACTTTTTTTTTTTTGTCATCGTTTTGTAAATGAGGGGTAATTTTTAAAAACGAGAAAAAAATATTTTTAATTTTTAATTTTAATAAAAAAAATCAAAAATCGTAAACATTGCCAAAAGAATCCTGACGGAGGAAAATCACCGTCACAATTCATGCCCTCGGAGACTGTATACCAAATGTGGCCTTCTGGAATTGCCTGTGTGATTGGATGCCCGAACAAGTGGGGCCAACGTGGGTTCCACTTTGCAAGATAATATATGGCATTGGCAGATCATGACGTTGACACCCGGTATTAATTTAATTGTTGTGGAAATGGTGTTAAGCCCATAGTAATAAATATATAATAGTCTCACCAGAAAATTTCCCCTCCTTCCAACTTATAAGGCCTAGGTCACCACAATGTTATGTGGGGCATATAATTAATGAAAAATAATCACAATACTTACTTGTTAAACTGACAATTTAACAACTAACATTGATTAATTAAAATTTTATAATATTTTATTGCTAATATACACCATATGACGTTGTAACCTAGTATCTTGGAAGCGCCGAATATCTTTTAACAACCAACTCTCTATAAGTTGTAAGTTCATCCAATAGTTTTAAATAGACTTATTCAACTATCACCAATATTCTTTTAAAACTCTTTCACATTGTACAGTACTTTTAGGCACGGATTACTCGTAGCTTATAAAATAAAACATGACAAGTTTCAATAAATCTATTTGACGGTCTCAAATAGACTCATCCAACAGCCACCAACATAATTTTCAAAACTATTCACATTACATCATATTTTAAGCATTGGTTATCTTGTATGTGTGTGTATATATAGATCTTCTTCGTTAATTTTTTAGTATTAAATTTTACTTAATAATAAAATACTTACAGACTAAAATCGATCCGTTTATAAAAGTGGATTACTTTGAATTTCTGGTAGGTAATTTGCTAACAAGTAGACATATAACTACGAGATCCCAATCCACGGGTAACATATGCCACAACAACAAAAAATAATGGGTTGCATCGACTTTGGATTCCAGTAAGGTGTCTTGATAAACAATGACGCTAGACAAGATGTAACGGGACGGCTCTGTGATTTAGTCGACATAGATCATGACTTCAAACAAAGATGGACCCATGATGTTACCAACATCAAAGATTGAGGAGCCAGTGTTCATCGAGATTTTCAAATACCCATTGCAATCATCATCCCAAGACTGTTAATGAATCACATCGTAACATGTCTTTAAAATTTTAGTGTATATTCGATCGTGTTAAAATTTATTTATTTTACTTTTGTTCTGTTTATAATTTTTATATTTAATTGTGTCATATATATATATAAACAATGTCTAACAGGTTTTGGTGAAATTGTTTGTTTATGATAACACATAAATAACTGTTTGATGTATTATTAAGACACAATTGTAATTTATTGATGTAACTGATTAATGTAGTTGTGTCGTTGTAACGTTGATATAAACGAGAAAGAGAGAAAATAAGGAGAGAGTAATGATAAGAGAAAATAAGAGAGAGATGAAAAAATTAAATCAAATCTTTACATATTTAAAAATAAAATAAATTATCAATAAAAAATAGATAGAGAAAATAAGGAAAAGATAGTGGAAAAGTAATGGAGAGGAGTGTGAGAGAGCGAAATTGAGAGAAAGTAAGAAAGAGAAATGGAGAGAATAAATATTATGTATAATCAAAGGAAGGGTAATTAAGTAAAAAAATTCAAATGTCATTTGAATTTTGTACCTAATCACAATATATTTTATTAAAATTGAACTTAATAAAGTAAAATACTTATCCATACATTTCCTATCAAATAAATCTAAAAAAATGTACCAACATCCAAAAAACTCAAATAAATACACGATATGATTCGTGTATATACTAGTCAAGGAGCAAAATTTTCGTTTCAAAACGTCCGAAACATTTGTATTTTCATAGAGAATGAAATGAATCATTGATTGAATATTAGAATTCCTGTGTTTCAAAGTGTTTCGCCTAATGTTTTGAAAATAAATTTTCAATTTTTTTTTGTTTCTATCTTGTTTTTGAAAGAGTAATACTATTTGAATCTAAAATTTTTACATAATTTACTGACATAATTGTGTGTTTTCATAAGAATCATTGGATCAACACTAAATTCCAATGTTTGATGGAGTCTACAATGAATCCAAAGGTTATAGTGAATTAAATTAGCAAATTATGTCTTAATAATACTGTTCTTTTTGAAATGTTTTCGAAATATTACTGAAATATTTCCATTTTTCAAATTCATCGAAAATTGTGCACCAAAACAAAATTTAGATATTTGATACCAGTTATACACGATTCATATACGACACGATCCTGATATGACCCAAAACAAAATTAAAATTTTCTACGATAGACTTAGGAAATGTCATAAGGCAGAGTGTTCTTATGCGATTAAGATCATCTTTAATATATTTTTAATGAATTCCATTTAACAAATAGAGCATTGATAATATATGGATAAACAACCCGCTTATAAATGGTGGATCTACATAATTTAGAATAGGCAATTCTATAATTAAGTGAATTGAATAAAAGTGTAATAGAGAGAATATTTATTTTACATTCATATATCATTTAGCCAGGTAAAAAAAATGAATTAACAACCCTTTTGCTAAAAGACATGGGAATCATGATTAGTTTACTAAGATTTAGTTGAAAATTTGAGCAATTAGTGACAAGTACTCAAATTAATATGGTGTCTAAAGGTCAAAAATTAACTATATTTTAGAATAAAAATATTATAATGAAAAGAAATACGTAATAAAATAAGAGAGAAAGAGAAAGAGAAAGAGAACTTAGAGTGGAGTATAAAATTAAATATTTTTTTTAGCTAATTCACAAAGTTATAGTGACTTAGAGTTATGATAAATGTTTAATATTTTGTGCCCAAATGATATGATGTAGGTTTTTGTGTTCGATTAGATAAAAGTTTTAGTATATTCAAAATTATTATCACGTACGCAAGAGAAAAAAAGAGGGAAAGATACACCCAAGAGAAAAAAAACATAAAAAAGACAAACGCGTTGGGCGGGAGATGAAGAGAGAGGGCAACGCCTAACCCCTTATAATTTATATTTATTTAAATATTGATTTCTTATTTTGTGAAAAAAATAATAATATCAAAATGATAATAGTTACAAATTGTAAATTACGTGTTGAATTTGAATCTTGATAATTTTTTGAGACTAGACAAATAAGAATTTATCTCTTATGAATATTATCATTTCAGTATGGATCAGTCTGAGAAAAAAATTATTCAAAATGTGCGTAAATTAACTCATACCTAGGCCTATCTATCAACCACGTCAAGTAAAATAAATTTGTATTAGATTTTAACAAGTTTGTGTCAAAAAATATTATAGTCATATCTGATTTTTTTATTAATTCATATTGAATGAGTTGTGTCATATTAAATCTATGTTGTATATCAATCATATATAATTAATATATAAACGAGTCGTATCGTGTATTTTTTTGATTGATTTACCAATATCTAATTCATTTATTAATCATATTATATCGGTCCGCTCGTTTTCAAAATAGGTGGCTTGTAAAAGACTCAAATCTTTTCAGAATATCTCCGGCCCTTATTTTTTTTTGTACATAAATTTAAATTTATTCAAACCACTTACTTAAAATTTATACTGCGTTGAATAGTAGATTATGACAGATTTTGACCTCTTTTATTATATCCTGACCGTCCAAAAAAAAATATAATAATTTGATCGCCACCTGTTTCCCTTCATCAGTCCCACATGTTTCAATCAAACTCAATCTTTCTTTTCTCCTTTTTCTCTCTCATCGTATTACTTTCCACAACAGAAGTCTTTGTTTTTTTTGAAGGCATTTCAACCTTTGTCTTTCTGGTTTCTCAATCTTCGCCTATTTGTCTCCCGGCTCCCCCCCCCCCCCACCCCCCCAACCCCACACCCACTCAATATCTTCTTTATTCTTTGATTAATTTAATTCAACAAAGAATTTGTATTCACATTTGCTCATGCATCCTGGATTTCTGATCAATAAGGTTCGATGATGCTTACGAAATTAGGGTTTCGATTTGTTGCCTGTATTTGACGATTTAGGGTTTGTATTATCGAAGGATGTAGTTTAAGGAAGTGGTTCGTGAAATTATCTGAACCGTTTGTTTGGGTGTATATTTAAGGGGTATCGATGTTTGTCGGTCGGGTGGGATGTTAATTCTTGTTAATTGATGAATTTGGGGCTGGATTGCTTCGTGGGTAGGGTTTTTAATCTTGATTGATGCTCAGTTGGGTTTAAATTCGAGTTTAAATATCTGATTACGATTGGTTTATTCGTGGAAAGTTGATTGAAGAAGAGTATTAAATCATGGATCACGTTGTTGGTGGGAAATTTAAGCTGGGAAGGAAAATTGGGAGTGGGTCTTTCGGGGAGCTTTATTTAGGTATGCCCTTTATTTACTCAAATATCTTTTCTAGCTTTATGATGACATTCTCCTTTTCATAATTGTGATTTTAGGTAATTTTCTGAGTTGTAAATTTTTTGGTAATGTGATTGCTTGGTTGCATCAGGTGTTAATATACAAAGTGGAGAAGAAGTGGCCATTAAACTGGTATTTCCCTCTTTTTCTTTGAACTGTTTTTTAGGAATGATAGACCCATGTATTATTCGAAGTGCAAAAACTTGCTTAATGCTACACGATTTAGAAGCTTGCATTTATTTATAAATTTGTAGTTTTATTTTTGGATAGAAATATCTTCGATGAGATGAATTTAGTTATCAAATTGACTCAAATTTGGTTTCTCGATGTCATTGGTTGTATTAATTCCATTAGCAATTTGATGCTTTGTATACATGTTTGCATGAGGTTCTTTAACTTTGTTTCCTTTTTTTATTATGTTTCTTGCATCCCCCACTCTTTTGTGATTTCTATTTTGCCACCATTGTGGTAATTGAAGAAGAAAACTAAATTTTTTACTCCATTTAAAATTGAGCAGAGAAGTAGCAATGGCACTTAAGCATTTGGATGAGCTTTGTAGTCTGCATGAAATATCCTTTGGTCTTGTGCAACTACTGTTAATTTCATGAACCTATATCATCTTTTTGTAACTGCATTCTTGATGAAAGATGCTGGATGTAGAAACAAGTTTTGTGTTTGTAGGTCTTCTTTCAATTGCTTTTATACCAAGTTCATGGAGTTAGGATTTACTTTGCAGAATTTAAGGTTGTCTCTCAGCTTAATCTTCTTATCTGTAATTCCCAGGAATCTGGCAAGACCAAGCATCCTCAACTTCACTATGAGTCAAAAATATATATGCTTCTCCAAGGAGGGAGTAAGTCTCTCTCTTTCTCTCTCCTTCCGCATGTGTGTTTGTTTGTATGTGTGTGCGTGTGATCCTCCCTCCACAAATGGATATTTCATAGAAAATCATAATATAAGCTCCAATCGGTGATATTGTTAATAACACCTCCCTATGGATAAGCAATTTACCCCCAAAACTTTATCTGTATTTTCTTCTGGAGGCATTTCCTTTCTCGTTTCTTCTATTTCTTCACTTTTTATCTAGAACAAAAACAAAATAGAAAACTAAAGAAAGAACAAATCAGACGTTGATATTAGAAAGTATAGCTGTCCCAATTCATTGATCATGTGAAGTAGTTATGGTGCGTTTAAATACAGATTAGGTAATTCGTCTTTCATATTCATACACACGCATGCACACATAAAGTTGGAAATTGATTTTTCTATAATCCATTGGATGCAGATTTACTTTTTGTTAGAAATCAATCTAATCATGTGATGTTTCTTTGATGCAGCTGGGATTCCCAACCTCAAATGGTTTGGAGTTGAAGGTGAATACAATGTCATGGTTATTGACCTTCTTGGACCGAGTTTGGAAGACCTGTTCAACTATTGCAATAGAAAGCTATCATTGAAAACGGTCCTAATGCTAGCTGATCAATTAGTAAGTACATTAGTATTCATTATCATAAAATGTGCCTCTTCGTGCCAAGTAATGATGCTGTTATGTTAATTTAAATACAAAGACAAAAGTTGATTCTATCATGTTATGTTTGAAGATTAATAGAGTTGAATACATGCATTCGAGAGGATTTCTTCACCGTGACATAAAGCCAGACAACTTTTTAATGGGCCTTGGTCGCAAAGCAAATCAGGTAACCTTTTAAAGTGTCTTCAAGTTTGTGCTGTGCTTTGTACTGCATTTGGGCACTAACTGGTTATCAAGTTTTTTTTTTAAGTCCAACTTTGGACTGAATTTCTGATGATGCTGCTGAAGAATGTGTAGTGCTTCTATTTCTTTGGAAATCTAATTAATTTTGTTATATAGTGGGGCTCCCTCTTGAGTATACTTTCTTTGTTGTTGTGGGATTGCGGGAAGTTTCCTGTCTAATGCATGGGTCAGATTCCTTGCTTCATTGGCTAAATTTTATCAGATACCTTATTAGTTTTGGTAACTACTGCTGTTTTTGTGCGTAGCTTCCAGCACACTTTTTGTGAAGGGAGATCATATCATTATTTCTTGTAGTTGTACTGGCTGCGCATTTGCAGTGAAATGCCTGCTGTGACCTGATGTTTGTCTTAGATTATTGGCACCATCACTTATTGTAAGCTGAATTCTTTCTCTACAACTCAGAAAAATCTGTGATTTGGTGAAATGTTGGCTATTTGGTATGGTAGTTTTTTTTTCTACATATTTTATAGCCTTGATGATGGTCCCACATATCTTTATTATTGATTTTTGTGGTGAATGCTTTGAACTTATGTGGATGCCCAATTTTAAGGATCAAGGTAAGTTGAATATTGAAAAAATAAAATCAACAAAATGGTGAAGTAAAAAAGGAGGGCTACAATTAGTTAGGCATCTTTGGAAAACACATCCTGTGTAATACTCAAGACAAGAGGATATCTTGTGGCTTGGAAAGAAACTGCACTCGAATGAAGTGGATAGATTTATGAATGGGATGGCACATGTATAGAAAATTGCTAAATGTGGGGTAAATGTGCTTTTTATGTAATTTTCACCATCAGCGATAAAAATAGATCCTAATTTTATTTTTCTCTTGGTCCTTTTTCCTTTTTTGATTGGACCACTTGCTTACTATACATTGTTTAATGTAAAACTTTTGAAATAATTGCTGGTGAGAACTCTTGTATGTTATATAGACCATGTTCAATGGTTCATAAGTAATAACTTTTATTGCAGTGCTTAAATCTATAAATCATGAATGGCATTTCCCTGATTCCTAGTTAGGTATAAGCTCAGTGACATTCCTAACTCTTATCACAGGTATACATTATTGACTTCGGTCTTGCTAAGAAGTATAGAGATCTTCAGACTCATAAGCACATACCATACAGGTACTCATGCCATCTTGACGTCAGTAATCATATTGTCACTTATTTTGTTTCTTCTTTATGCATAGCTTTTATCTCCAGGGAAAATGTTCTTGCAGTATACTGTGTTTCTTTTTTCTATCATCTCTGGCATTCCATGCGGGGACTTGTTATGTTGTTGGTCTGGCAGTTTCTGATCTTTTTGCTTGAGCGGACCACCTTGGGCTGGTTGAGAATTGAACTTGTTGCCAAGGGCTCTGTTTGATAAAAATGAAAATTTTAGGATTTAGAGAGATTAGTGCTGAATTTATTGTGCTGACAACTATATGCTGCAAGATTTTTGAAGAAATCAAGTGTAGGTGTTATGATTATTCTTCTGTGATGATTATGATGCCCATGCTACCTTCTCAATCCCAACGACTTACTTTTTAGTTCAGTCCTAACACTTAATTCCTGGATCGTTCTAGATTGGTTGTCGTATCACCTATTTTACGATTTTTGGCCAATTTCTAACCATCTTTCGCTAATTATTATTGTAACACCTACTTCATGCAGACTTGCGGCATTTGTCCTGATTTGGGATTTTTCGAAGTGTGTAAACATTTTGAAAAGATTATTCAAGTTGATGACACATCTGTTTTTACAAAACAGCCATGTTTTGAGTTGAAATATAACATGGCTGACATTTTTTATTTCTTGAAGTTCAGAAGTTGAAGATGGACTCTGAAATAACATCACACCTTGTTTTTCATATTTTCCTACTGTACAGTTGTTTATCCTAGCTGCTGGGGGTTGGCAGATGCTCAATCTTTTTCTCCTGTCCATATTTCATATCCAATAGCTGGCTTAATATCATGGGCCATACCAATTCTGTGAATTTGAGTCCGGTTTTCCTTTCTCTTCTTGTGTGTGCATGTATTTGCATTAGCGCCCATGTTTATTGTGAAGACTCATTGAGGTTCTATTTCAGGGAAAACAAGAATCTCACAGGCACAGCTCGCTATGCCAGTGTTAACACACACCTAGGAGTTGGTGAGTGATAAACAGCCTAATAGTAATGATAATAGGCTGTTATAGATCCACATCCAATACAAGTCAATTCCATCTAATTATGGTTAATTTTGCTGGCAGAACAAAGCAGAAGGGATGATCTCGAATCCCTTGGTTACGTGCTTATGTATTTTCTAAGAGGAAGGTTGCATATACAGAACTGCCACCCTTCATCACTTTTTATTCCTTTGGCCAACTTTCTTCTTGATTTTGGGTTCTTTTGTGCAGCATTATTCTTTTAATTTCGCTTTTTTTTTATTATTAATTTGGTATGTACAATTTCCTTTTGTCAGTCTTCCCTGGCAGGGATTGAAAGCTGGCACCAAAAAGCAGAAATACGATAAGATCAGTGAAAAGAAAATGCTCACACCAATTGAGGTACTAACTCTGGCCACCTGCATGGCTGCATTTTTCATATAGGACAATTTACTCGCATCTTATCAAGCTTGGTGCTCCCCCATTTGATTATGTTTGATCTGTAATAAGATTTTGATATTCAAATAACTTTCCATCTTAATCAGTTTGTGTAAGAAATAGCTATATGATATTAATCATTTTTATTGTTCAAAAAAAAAAATATTAATCATTTTCACATTTTTCTGGTAATTATCTTAATATGACTGGATGGAGGCTCAAGTAGCTGATCCAGCTTCTGTATACTTGCCTGAGACCTCATCTTGGGCCAGCATAGTTCTCCCAAACTTTAGTCCTAAGCTTCACTCTAATTGTTTTTCTTCTTACTCTGCTGGTTGTACAATGTGAATTCACATGAGACCATTTGTGTTCTAACAGGTGCTTTGCAAATCATACCCATCAGAGTTCATATCCTATTTTCACTATTGCCGATCTTTACGATTTGAAGACAAACCAGATTATTCATATTTGAAGAGGCTTTTCAGAGACTTATTTATTCGTGAAGGTAGATGTTCACAAGAACTGTTCTGTATAGATCCATTAGACTTCAAGCCAGTATACATTTTTGTGCTTACATTTTTACTTTGTTATTGTTGCAGGTTATCAATTTGACTATGTGTTTGATTGGACTATATTGAAGTATCCTCAGATTGGTGCCAGTTCTAGAGGACGAGTCAGTGCTTCTAAAACTTTTTATTTGTGGATTTCTGTTCTCTGGAGAATGTTACCTATTGGTTCTCTCTGATACAAAAATGATATTCATTTTGGTACCTTTGTTTTCAGGTTCCCAGTGGGAGTGCAGGTTTAAATGCAGGACCATCTGCAGAAAGACCAGGAAGGACTTCAGGTATGTAGTGCCAATCCAACACAAGTCCTTATTAATTTAATTAATATTATTTTTAATGATTTTATTATATTATTTAATATATTATTAAGTTTAATTTGCAATTGAAATTGTATCCCTTTATCAAGATTTATATTGACAACAGTGTGTCAAACAAACATATATTCATCGTGATAAGCGGATCTATTGATTTCCGGTCGGTTTTTTGTCTTATTTTATTCAAATGATGGGTTCGTTGGATTCGTTTTGATACAGGAAGTCTTTTCCTTCGAACAAATTTAGTTTGGAAATGAGGTGGAATGTTTGTATGCTCATACTTTATTGATTGATTTGAAAGCGGATAAATGTATAACATGAGATTGCTTTGCTCTTCAAATTGTTTGATCTTTACACGCAAAAATCTTGATTTTCTGAGTTTTAGGCTTGAGCTTAACATATATTCATCTTGAATCGCAGTTAAGAATGAACTATGTTAGCAAAGCTACCCTTACCTTACAAAATCATCAGTGCTTGACTTATGTGATTTAATTGTTGAATCCAGTGGGCCAAGATATTCGAGATAGATTCTCAGGTGCTGTTGAAGCATTTTCCAGAAGAAATGCTTCAGCTACTGGTCGGCATGGTGACCACTCCAGACACAGACAATCAGAGGATGCACCTTCATCCAAGGATATGGTATAGTTTTCCTCTTCTTTTAAATTGTACATTGGCTTCATGGATTCTTTGGCCTATTTTAGTTTTGTATTGGATCTTTATTTACCTGTGGTTGGACTTCTTATTTCGTGTAGAGATCTATATGTTCTTGTTCTGAAGAGATTTTTGTTCTAGAATTATTGTTTTCCTTTTCCTCCATAAATTATTTGTGGAAAAGATGCTAAACAGTTGAATTGTGGGTGTAAAACTGGCTATGGTTGTTTCGATTATGCTAAATCAGTTCTGGTTGTATTATAATAGGATTGGTTTCACTTTCTGAAGAAGTAAGTTGAAGGATTAAGTCTGCCTTATAGCCTGTTGGCTATCCATGCATCTTGAAAGCCTCAGATATTGTGTCCTCCCTTGAAGATTGCCTTTGTGATTCTTTTTTTTTTTGGGTGGTATAATTGGTTTTAGGGTAGGATGTGGGCAAGGGTGGAGCTAGAAATATACGGTGGTGGGGACAAATTTTACAATAACAAGAGAAAAAATTAAATTAATAAAACTAAAATATTGATTAGTCAATACATTATGAATTAATGTTTCATATTTTGAAAATATTGCATGATAACCTTAATAGTCAATGTCATTAAACATGTTTTTCTTGACAGAGTAATGGTGCTTGGTAATAATTCATTGACGTAAATTGTTGACTTAATCACCTGTTGCCATTGGATTGATCGTAGATCTCGATATTAGTGGGGAACAAGAGATTGGGTCAGCTAATTAGATCAGCAAATTCACTCCAAAGATTAGTATTGCTTTCACTCTATCCAAATTAAAGTGGTGAGAAAGGTAGCGAGATATAAGGAGAGAGAATAAAGAGCTTGAGGGTCATATCTTGAAAACATGGTCATGGGGATTCAACCACTTAAACATTAAGTTTACTTAATTGAGCGTTCAGGGATTTAGTCCAAAATGTGAAAAATGATTAAGCGGATCAAAATGCATAAGAACGTTTTAGGATGGGGCAGATTTAAAAATTAAAACATGTGTTCGAATTTCTTACAAAGGAAAAATTTAAGGGGGAGGGGGGAATTGGCCCCATTAAGAACCATGAGGCTCAGCCAGAGGGTGTGGGCCGCTATTGCAAACTGAGATTTTTATATGTGAATGATAAGACATTTTTTTAAGCTATTTGTGATTTGTTTATGGAAAATGATAACCAAAACATGTAATTTTTTTTGCATTTGAGTTGCCAATGCGTTCAAGTTATTGCTGGAAAAATGCACCGAAAGGTCTTTCATTGTTTGTGTGCAAGATTTGTATTTAAAGGTTTTGTGGTTCCACTTTACAGCAACCTGATTCGGAAAAAAGCCGAAATTCTCGAAATGGCAGCTCTTCAAAAAGAGCAGTCATTTCAAGCAGCCGACCAAGCTCCTCTGGTGAATTCATTGATGGCCGCTCAAGCCGAATAATCTCAAGTAGTGGCCGGTTGTCTACTGCGCAAAGATCTGTACCTGGTGTTGAGTCCAAACCATCTGCTTTTTCTCATACTGCTGTCACAAAGGGCACTCGTGATGACCCTCTTCGCAGCTTTGAGTTCCTCTCAATTAAGAAGTAAAGGGATGGGTTTGTATGGAAAGAATCATCATGCACAGGTACCATTCTATTTAAGGGAACCTCAGCATTATCTTATTCTTGTAAATGGGAAATCTGTGTCTTATTTCTTACAACAATATTTTCTGTTGTGTTTTTGTTCGGAGTCTTGTTGATTTTAAGGCATTTCTGGACTCATCCAAAAGTTGTTGAGTTCTATGTACGGAAATTTTCGTTCAAGTGAATGAGACTCTGTAGCTGTAATAAATTATTTTTATTTATGCAGCCACGGACATCGTTTAAGTTTTGCACCATAATCTAGTATCCTTGCTTTAGCAGTCACATCAATTGCCTGATGATTTGCCGTTAACATTCGGTTCTTAATTATGGGGGTCAAGCATGGTTTTAACATACAGGTTGCTTATTAGGACTTAAACAGGTCTGGCAAAACGGGCAAAATTGAGTCAGAGGAATGGTTTTGTTTGGAAATTTGTTGCCTTTATCTGATCCTCCCTAGATCACGCGGTGAGAGAATCCTTAGACACCGGGCTGCCTTTTGTAGGGGTAACATGAAAATGCATTATTACTATGCTTCGTGTAACAGTTGAAGGACAAATCGGTGCTATAACCACCATATTTTGTAAAATAACTAGGATACTCTTTCTTATTTCTGGTAGTGAAATCTAACTTGAATATGGCACTGGAACGAGGGGTACAGGGAGGTTAAGGTGTATTCAATCATCCATTGCTTAGAAACAAAATTCAACGCCCCCAAACTCCGGTCAGATTCGATGTCAAATAGCTGAGCCATTTTCTAGTATGATAATAGGAGCAGAGCAAAATACCATCATAAGCACTCAAAAACGAGAAACACACGTACATGTACTATCGGTAATATTGTTATTATTAAGTGAGCTAGATTTGCATCTCTCTCACCAAATAAATGGTCTCAAGGAACCACAAAATAAGGTCAGTGACCAGCCAATGACATAAATAATAGGGTAAATTATGTACAACGTATACATGCAAAGAAAATCAAATTGTGGGGAGGGGGAGGGGGAGGAGCACCAATTATCAACTCGGGAAGAACACACGACTTCGCAGACTTCAGCTCAAGGATTTCTAAGGGCTGCCAACCTCTGCTCCAGATCATCAATGCCCGAACTGCAGGAAAATATAAATATTAATGTCAAACGAGGTAGGTGTAGTAGTAAAAACTTAGGTCTACTGAGTTTCGTGCTACAAATTTTATTATTTTACGGGCCATTAGCTTGGTGTAGTAGTAAAAACTTAGGCTGCCAAGCTTGAGATTCATGTTGTAGGAAAATGGCAAGCAAGACAGAGAGAGTCAAGGCATAAGAACGAACCTGCTAACATCCTCGGTCTTCTTCCCAGCAATCTTTCCTTTGGGAGCTGCTGACAACTGTCAAGAGTTTGAAGACAACTCAAATTAACCGAAATATTTGATATCACATGCTAAAAGATCAGCACGAATGAAAAACATTCAAAGACCAAACCTGTGAAGCAACATCAACGCCAATTTCATCTAACACCTGAAGAACGGGAAACAAAAAAATAAATTATCAGATAACAAATATAAGGAGTAATACGTCATATGAAAAATGTTGCATGTATTTTCAGTATGCGAAAAAAACAGAAATATGAGCATATTTGGAATGTCCACACAAAAATCCATTCTTGCCAATTGTTTTCCTTCGTACTGGCAGAACCCCAATGGCCCAACCTCTTCAACCTTGGCAGCAAAGATCTACTTTCGCAACATGTTTCTCTCTTCTTTTTTCTGTATACAATTAAAATCTCTCTCTCTATATACGTACATGCCAAATAAAAGGGATGCATTCCTCTTCCAAACACTCCTACATCCATGACCATCATGGCTGTAAAGCGGCTAAATGCATTTCTATTAAGCTTTTGCACGAATAAGTGGCAGACAAGTGTTTACTGTACACCACTGACACGAATCTACCTCCAAAGTAATTTTCACAGAAAACTTAGAAATATTTATAAAATGTCACCTGGTTTGTCAGCTCGTCAGTTTCCTCTTCAGCTTCATCATCATCCAAAGAATCATCTATGGCATCTGACATCATCTCAGTCTGCATGTAGGAGTGGAAAAAATCAACTTCTGTAACTAAGCTAGCGAAAAGCAACGAGCTTCCTTCCATGTAATATATCTTAAAAGAAAATGAACGAGCTTACAGTCATATCCATTTGCGCTGATTGCTTCTGGAATTCTTGCATCACCTTTGCCTGCTTTGCAGGGTCCATTTGCTGCAATAAAAATAGAACAATAAACATAAGAACTATTGAAGCAAGACAATATAAGGTACATATTATTTGATTTCTCGATTTACAGGATGATAAAGAGGTTTCTTGCCACTCCTTTATGCAAGTTAAAGCTTTAACCGAATCCAATCTTGTACTATAAGAATTTTTTTACAAACATGTATCCACAAAATAGATGTAGTTAAAAAAGAAAGAAATAAAGTAAAGGATATTTATTCAGATTTTACTATGTAACCTTATTCATAGCCGCCATCGCCTGACTGGCACCTTTCATGCCAACAGCAACTGAAGATTGGGCAGAGACTGCCTGAAAAATGGATAATCGTTCATGAATTAAGCCACACAAACATAAATCTGAAACAGCAAAACCAGAAAACCTCATAAGAGAGAAACAAGGATGTTGACGGTTTACCTGGGTGTGGGTTGCTATACCTCTCATTTGAGCTCGACTAGCTTGTAACTTCGCTATTTGTTGTCTAAGCCTGACCAGCTGACGTGCTAAAACTTTAGTTGCAGCCTGCAGAATCCAGAAAACTTGAGTTCTGTTCATCATGATTATAGTTGCTCATATCTCACAACTTATTAGAATCTAAGCATACATAAAACAGCAATCTACCTCATTTCCTGTTTTAGCAGTTCTCTTTATCTCAGCAATGAGCTTCTTTTCCTGTCTCAGTTAAAAATCCTCTAAGATTCTCTCCCTAATAAATGAACATAAACAGGATTATCATCCAGAAACTTTTAGCATACCTCTGATTGCAATGTGGTAATCTCCCTTTCTATACCTGAATCAAGGTTAAAGGCCAACCAAAAAATTATTTATTTTATATTCAATCCGTAACACAAATTATAGGAAATTTGAAAAGGAACATGTCAACAACTAAATCACCTTGTTTCAAATTATTTAGAAATCTATTTACTGGTAGGTAACAAAAATGAAAAAAAAGAAAAAAGAAAAGTAAACTAAGTTTTGTTCTTGTTCTATTGTGCTTGATAATTCACTTATTTCTAAGTCATTTAAGGATTTTCAAGAGCCAGTATGTTACTGCTAAACCAACCCATCATCTGAAAGCACATATTATGTACTCCTTCAGTTGTCTTAATTTTTTTTTGACAGGAAACAAATCTTCCCCATCCTGATAGAATAGCAAATAGTCGAATTCCATTGAACTCATTTGAAACTGAAGCCCAAAAAGATGCTAAGAAATGGATACAGTTCCACATTCCTTCTACACATTCACACTGGTCTTAAATAAATTATAGCATTCCGTTCTTTCCAAAAAACCAAAACGTAGCTATTATAGCACAATTCAAAAGAGTAACATCTTTATCAGATCTTCCAAATTCTTTCAAATATTCAACAATCACTGAATTTGATGTCGCAGGAATCTTAATTTTTCGACTATTTATACAGAAAAATCAATCCAATATATATGTATGTGTGTGTGTGATCCATCCTATTTCGGTATTGAGATTTAAATTCAAGAAAATAAGCATAATACCTCGGGTAGCAGTCGCCATTTCGCGCTTATTCTCTCGAAGCGCCTCTGTAATCAAATCATACAGCATTATAATTCATTACAATTAAAGAGAACAAAAAACTGAAACTTAATTGGCGGCAAAGTCAACGCACAAACGACTTCTTACAAGGAAAATTAATGAAAAATGAAGAAAGTGATTGATTGACTTATTGATGAACAATTCAAGAGTAATCATGAACAAATCAGTGTACAAATTCAATTTGAAATACACAAAAAGAATCAACAACTAAGAAATCGCAATAGAGATAACCCTAGGGCACGAACCTTTGGCGGTGGGTTTCTTGGAGAAGATGTTCATGTTTTGTTTATCACCAGATTGTCCTGCGCAGATACCTAATGATTCTTCGGAAAGATTTTTAGAGTTTTTCAACTGTTCATATAGTCAGGCAAGACGTGTATAGGAGGAGACACAGAAGGAGAGAGCTTCGTCGAAATTGTTGGGAGATCACATCGGAATTTGGATTTGCAGATTTTACGTCTTTAGCGGTAATTTCAAATCTCAAAATTCACCCCTAAACTTTTTGTTTTATTGCAAATGGACCCTATAGATCTAGGGTTGGTCGGATAATGAACCGAATTTTAATCCGAATACAAATTTCTTTATGTGGTTTTGGATCAAAATTTTAGTCCATTAATCTGAATTCGTTTAGGTGGAATAAGTTTTTTTTTTGTATCGAATTTGAATTTAGACTTAAAATATAAAATTTCATAAATGTTCAATGCATGGACATCGGTCAAATTTGAATGTATCAAAAAGATATCATGCGGTAGAATTTGAAAAAATATGATAGATGTTTGTTAAATGGGATAAACTTAGTTATTAATAGGGTGAGTGTAAAAGAGGTGAATTTAATAATTTAATAATAATAAATTAAAGGGGTGAAAATAAAGATTTGGGACGTTTGAATAACTTCAGCTAACTTGTTTAATATTAAATCTATTTTGATCTTTATTATCCAACATACCCTCATTAGTTATATTTAATTATCACGAATTTAAAAACTAACAATTCTTAAATTTTAGAAGTAATAACATTAAAATTCTCTCTCTTATATTTATCTATATCCATATATATAATATGACTATTTATTTATCTTTTTCATATATAGTAACATTAAAAATAAAAAATAGGAACATTAAATATTAATATTTGAAAAAAAATAACAATAGTAACATTATTAACAAAAAAAAAACATTGAATGTTGATATTTCGAAAAAATAGTAACATTCAATATTAATAGTAACATACACATCAAAAAAATAGTAACATACTCAACAAAAAATAGTAACATGCACAACAATAAAATAATAACATAGAAAAAAATAGTTACATGTATAATAACATTCATTATTAAATTAATCATAATCTTCTTAGCAAAAAAAAAAAACAAAAAAGAGAGAGGGACAGTGAGAGAAAGAAAAATGATAGTGATATCAAATTTAAATTTAAATTTAGATTTTATGAAAAAAAATCTTTCATTAAGCGTGAATCAATGATGATTGTTTAGGAAATTGATTTAATACTGAAGATTGTTTTTTAAGTCATTAATGTTCCGTTTGGTACGATGAAAAAGTGGGTGAATGGAAAGTTGGAGGGATAAATAAAATATCATGTTTGGTAAGGAAGGAAAATAGTAAAGATGGAAAAGTAGATGGATTAACTTTCCTTCCAACTCACCAAAATCAATCTCTCCAAAATCGAAAGAAAAGCGGATGAGAAATTAATTATTTGTGTTGAGATATATCTTATTTATTTATATATGCATATATTATGTATAAATTAATTTCATATAAAAATACAATAGTAAAATATGTGTATATATATTAAAAAAATTTAAAAATAAATTTAAAAATAAAATAAAATAATAAAAAAATTAAAAAAAATATTTTTTCCATCTTAACTTAGGGTGAAAATTTTTGACTCAACACGATTCGAACTCGATACAAAAATAAACAAGTCAACTTGCAACTCGACATGATACAATTAGTTAACTGAGTTAAGTTAGGTTTCACTAATATTCGACACAAACTCGTAATGATTCGACACAAATCTGATACGACACGATTCAATTGTCACTTCTAATCTTAGCCATCACAAAAAAAAAAATATTCATTTTTATTTTCCATCCATCCAACCAAACACAAATGAATGAAAGTTTCATCATTGAAGGATAGAAAATGTATCCCTCCTACTTTCTATCCTTCTTACTTTCCATCCTCCCTATCAAACGGAGCATAAAAGAGAAATTTGGAGTTTTAAAAATGTAGTGTACTTAACAACTTATTAATAAAATTAAAAAAAGACTTCCCCTTAAATAAATTTTCTTAACGAATTAAACTCGTTATAAGTCATTTAATAAAAAATTCCAGTTTTCACTAAAAAAAACAAAAGATATAGGCTCAAAGTTTGAACGAAGCTAGTTGCTCTTTTAATAATTAACTTCTAAAAATCTAAGCAAACAGATTGAGACTGATCTGTTTTCAAGTAATCACTAAATACTTGAAACTCAAGTTTAGAGAAAGATGAAGGTATGTGTGTGCAAAAGCTTAAGTATAAAATGAAGACTGTGTACTGTTCTATTTTTTCTTTTTTTTTTTTTTCAATTTTTGAGATTGGAATAAAAAAGAGTTTTTTTTTTTCTACTAAGCATCCAGACTTGTACCAACTATTTTTTCAAACTCAGCAGCGGCATAAAAAAGAGTACATTCGTTGTGCTGATAAACAGCTAATTCAGTAATGTTAGTAATAAATTAGCTCGTGCTGTTAGTTAACGTAGTGACAAGTTGCATTAAATAAAAGTATTTGCTTTCATGAACAATTAATCTCATTGACGTTACGAAGTAGGGAAAATTTGGCGGCATTATTATGTGGATATTTATAGTGATTATTTCTTGAATTATACATTTTAAAAATGTTAAACGAAAATGGTGGCATGCATGCGATTGGTAGTTGTTATTGGCTCTCAACGTCCGATAAACTGATAACATAATAATAATTTATTTTACCAAATGATATGGTACAATTATAATCAATGACACTGCAGTAGGACTCACTATCGTTATTTCTTGATGTTATAATAGATAAATGAAAATGGCAGAGTGGCACTGATAACAATCATTGGCTTTCAATATTTCGCGAAAAATGTAACATAATCAACAATGCCGTTAGATTAGTTGATGCAACACAATCACAATCGTTGAATGACTCTATAGAATCCACTAGTTCTACAGTTCATGTATAATCGAAAAAATCACAATCACAACTATTGTATAATTAGTGAGACCAAATAATAAAATCTATTGATCTAAAAATTCACATGCAAGTGGAAAGAAAAATGTTGTCAATGTAGCCTTATTCTTCCATCCCTTGTTGTACATGTCCCATATTAGCTAAACAGTCTTTGTTCTTTCAAATTTGCATTACTTTCATAAGCAAGGTCATGTTTATCATGTCCATATTTGGCATGATTATTCCTCGAGTTAGAGATTCCAAAGTTTGTAAACAAAAATGGCGGCACCGCAATGGTAGCAATAATTAGCTTCTAGATGACTAGTGTGACCAAATAAAATCTATTGATCTAATGGTTCACGGGCAGTTTGTTGAGAAAAAAAGTTGCCAATGTAGTATTGTACTTCCCTCCTCTTTGTACATGTCTCCATTTTAAGACCGTATTAGCTAAAGATGCTTTTTTTCTTTCAAATTCGCATTACAGTTAAGGGCAATTAATATTGCCCAACTAGGCATTTAATTCATAGTGTTGTTGAAGCCAGTTATATATGGTGAGCACTGAAAGAGCACTGGGTTTAGCCACCTCAGCTTATACACACAGCATTAATGCTTGTAACCGCAGCCATGGCTATCTCTTCTTCTCTATTTAAAGAGACCTGCCTCCTCATGGAACTATCAAGCAAAGAAAGCCTTGCTACATAAAGACCATTATCACATTTTCTCTCTCTTCTCCTCCATGGAAGAAGGCTACGATTCGACCTCCGATCATGAACAGCAGCAGCTACCAATTGTGCCTTCAATAAGGCGACGGGCAGGACATGTGCTGTTCAAATGCGTGAGATGCTACAAAGTGTTTGGCAATCGTGATAAGCTGAAAGACCACATGAATGTACACTTTGCGAGAGAACATCCAGTGAAGAGAACATTGACTCTGCTTGAGACGAGCCAGAACTACAGGCACCACCATGTTGCTGCTCAGGAAGGTCCATCCATGGATCGAGGTGAGCTGTACCTGTTTCCAGACCCTCTGAAGCTCAGTCTGGCTCCACCGGAGCCAGCATTGTCGCTAGAACTCACTCTGGCGACTGGAGTTCATTACAATTTTGGTGGGAACAACAACCAGAAGAAAAATGGGAAGGGAGTGGAAGGTGGTGATAATTAGAAGTGTTTGATGTGAACCAGTTTGTGTTGAAGTTCAAGTTGTTATAGTTGTGTCGTCCATGAACGCTAGAATAGATATATAATGTTCTAGCTTTCTTGGATTTTATCGCTTTTGGTTTTTTCTTTTTTCTTCCTTTTTGTGTGTCTATGTGCGTGCTTGAGGACACACATCTAGGGTCTTCTCTCTAGTGCTCTTTCCTATTCTTTCCTTTTGAGTTTGTGTGTGTGTATGTGTGAGCGAGCACACACAAATTGAAGGGGGGATCGGAATGATCAGAGTGAGAAAAATAAATGTAAAATACAAAGTATAGTAGTCTGTGTCCTTCATGAAAACTAGAAGAGATGCTTGCTTTTCTAGGGTTCTTTCTCTCTCTTGCTGTAACTGTTCCTTCCTTTCGTGTGTATATATGTGTGTGTTCACTCACAGATATACAAGAAGGGATCCGTATGAGTCATAAGAATCAATGAAAAGTTGTAGTGTTTATTGTATTGCCCTTATGATTTAATAGTGTGTTTGTTTGTCCTACTTCGTGTTCTTGATTGATTTTCTTCATTTTGGAATGGAAATTCAACAAAGTAATCCAGAAAGACTTATGGTCAAAGCTAAAACATAAAGAAAGAGCAATAATCCATAAACTAAACAATGAGCCATGGCTGACGCAGAGAGAGAGAGAGAGAAGATGGATTAGGGTTTTTTCTTGAAAATTCACTTCATTGGTAGAGGCATTCAATCACGTTAAAAGAAAATTCAGTTGGAAAACATAAATGCATCCTCGACCACATCGGAAGATTCAGACATTAGGGTTTGGGACAGTTCGGACTCACATCAACTCAAAAGCTTCTTTTCTTTTCGTTTGGATTCATCACTTATTCATTGTTTGCCGGTGCATGCTTTGTAAAGGTTCCGCATAGTCACTTCTGTGCCTGGTTTTGTTTCCCCCGGCCATGGAGGGGTGGGATTATTATTTTTTTTTTGGGGGGGGGGGGGGGGGTGGGGGTTTGGGAGGGAGAGGAATCGATGTCATTCCAAGGTACGCGATAATTTAATGACAAATTCAAGGTCAAGTGTTAAATCATATTTAGGTTAGATCATATATGCAATAACGACAATAACTTACTAAATCTAGAAGAAAAAATGGCGGCGATTGTCGTATCTGAGTTGAGTCATGCCATCAATAAAGTCTTTAGATGTTTTTTATGTAAGGACGACAACATAATAAGTCTAGAAGAAAAAGATGGCGACGATTGTCGGTGCTTAGACCAAGAGCTAATTTTTTGATTAAATGAATTCCACGTGTTAAACATATTTAATTTGAATATTAATTCAACCACTGGATGATTTAATATAATTAAGTAATTAATAAATTTAGATTAAAAAATAGCGGCATTGCCAGTTTCTAACAAGCATTTCAATTCATCTTTTTCAAAGATTCCATAATGTTTTGATCTTCGATTCATTATTCTACTTAACCCTAAATTCTCTAAAAGAAAAATGGCGGCTATTGTGTGTATATAGACTGCAAAGTGCAAACTAAATACATTCTGATTAAGCCAACATTCTCAGTCACAACAACTAGAGAAGGTACTAGTAACAAGATTGTATTTAATTACATTAGTAATTTCACATTAATCTACTAAGCCAAATAGAACTACTTTCTCTTCCTGACTCACATCAACTCAAAAAAAGAGGTTTATTTTTGTTGTCGGGATTCATATCTACTATTCATGGTTTGCCCCTCTTCATGTGCTTAGTTGCTCTAGTTTTTCTTTTATTTCATACTAAAGTTTTCCTTATACTCTGCATACTTCAACAGACAAATACACGTAATATAGAAAAAATGCGGCGATGCCGACAAGTATTAATATACATTTTTTTATATTATTTTTAGGGCGCTTCATAAATACAAGCACCGGGTGCTTTTAATTCAATGATAACAATGTATTAAGTCTAGGAAAAAAATGTTAGTGATTGTCGGTATCTGCACTTCGACATAATTATCAAGTTTAATAAATTCCAATTATAATTCAATCATTGGATACTCCAATGTCCAATATAACGACCAATATAATTAATATTAAAAAAAAAAAATTGTGGCGTTGTCGACAAACATTCGTATCCAACTTTTTCAAATATTCTATAATTTTATCTTTAATTTTGTATCATTACTAAGCCTACATTCATTCTCACAGTCAACTCAACTAGAAAGAATGTAGTAACAAGATGCTACTTGTAGGTGCAATTTCGCATCTTAAATTTCAATAGTAAAAGTCTAGAGAGAGAGAGAGAGAGAGAGAGAGAGAGCATTTAACAAACCAGACAACGAGCCTGAGGACAAAATCCGAAAAGTAGAGTTTGGTGCCATATGGACAAATTACGTTTATTACAGTTGTTTGGATTCACCCACCCCTGTTTATTACAGCCGTTAACTTCAAGGTTATAAATAGGGGTCCATATGGGCCAGGCCGGGCCGAGTTAAGCCCGTAATTTTTTTTGGGCCGGCTTGAATACAGTAGGCACAAGCCCTTCTTCGGGTGAATTGGGTTAGACTTCGAATAAGGATAAACTATCTGCAATTCAACCCACCTATTAGGTGGACCTTGCGGGTGAATTTTTTTATATATATATAATTTTATTTAAAAAATTTATAACTTAATATTTTTATAAATTATATTTTTGAATTAAAAGTAGAGTCAAAATGAATAAAAAATAAATAATAAATAATTTTATTTATGAATAGGAAAGGAACTTAACTTTTTTTTTAAAATCTAGCTTTGAGTGCACCCACCTTTTTTTTAGGGGCATATATTATTACCAAACTTTTAATGGTCAATTTTTTTTCAAACAATTGGGTGGAAGGACATATGGATTGTGGGGACTCTTGGGACCAGGTTTTTGTGGGCGGGCTCATGGGTTGAGGTTTGGGTTGGGTAATGGGTTTGAGGGCAAACCAAACACTTTTTTAAAGGTTATTGGACTTTGACGAGCTAATTATCAGACCTATCAAACTTTGACCTTATTTTTTTGGGCCGGATAACAAGCCTTGTGGGCCAACCGACTCATGAACACTCCTAATTATGATGTTATGGTCGAGCTAGACCTACAAGTCTTGATCCTATCTTGAGAAAGAGGGTCCAATTCGAATCTACCATCTAATAGTTATAATAATAAATAAATAAATATAAAGTTAAGGTCGAGTTATGGTAGGTCACACTATAGTATTAAATTTTTTTTAATATTTTATAACTATTTTTTATTTAATACACATGTGACACGTATAAAAATTTTGTTTCATAAATTATTATTATTATTTGAATCAAATCAAAATATCTATTTCTGTTTGATACTAAATTTTTTTTGTATCAATGTTCTAGTCTGTAGTGTCAAAATATGACCCGATCTATTAACAAGACACAAACACGATACGAAATTAGAAGGTTTTAGTTTTTCTTAAGTCAACCATTTAGTAAACAAGTGGATCTTATACGATACAATTAATAATTGAATTAGGTATAAGTAAAACTAATCAGAAAAAATGCACATCATAACTCATTTAAATATCAGTTATACAAGGTTCATACACGATACGAACCGATATGACACGATTCGTTAGACACAAATTAATAAACGAATCGGGTATAGATAGTGTTTTTTATATGAACCCAATAAACTTTAACACAAACTCTCCTCACCTGACACGATTAACAAACCTAAATTGTAAACACAATATTTATGAAGTCGTAGAACATTATTATGTGACTTTTTAATTCAACTTGGGTGAGAGCTGCCACATGTTGGGTGTATTTAGTTTAAGCATTAGAAAAGACCGGATTAGATAATGTCGTTAATTCCTTACCTATTCATCCAATTCTTGGACTAATTATAATAATAATGTCTTCTTATTCTATATTTGGTTCAAGTATTAAGAAATAGTGTGTCCCACATTTATTTCATATAATACTTTGTTTGAATGGAATATTAAATGATGATACAAATATTATATTATTAAAGAACCTTTAAAATAAAGAGTGATATTTATATCCTAGAAATATTTGAGAGTAATAATGTCTTTTGGTTAAATACATCCCAGTTGGATTATTTAAACCCACAAAAAATGTGAAATTATTTAAGAGGTTGTATGTGATATTAAATACACTATTAATTTAGGTCGGTACTATTTTTAGGTGATAATACCGAGCCCAAAACATGTATCCAAACATAAGTATAAGAATAATGAGTTGAGCCTAACATTATTTTTTCCAATTCCTCTTTACTAATACTTAAAGCAAACACACCCGATATGTAATTCAATCTGAACAATCTTTACACCCAAAAAACAAATCCAAAAGAAAGAGAAACCGCAAGAAAATAAAAATTACTTTGGTAAATTAGTATGTTTTGTGCTATTTTCCTTGGTAAAAAAGCAGCTATCCAGAGAGAGTGGTGGTCTCTGTTATAGGGTCGAATATTTATGCTAGTGAGATGACATGGCAACGACGAGAATCTGATGCCAAACAAACATCGGTTATGCGGTTTTAGAATGCATAAAATAGATGAATTACAATTGAAAAAACAAAATTCTCTTCCTGTGAGAAATCCATAGAGTATGAAAAATAAACCCAAAACAAAAACATCTAATACAACTTCTTGCAACATCTGATAACAAAATCTCAACTTTCCGAAAAAATAATTAAAACTTAGGCTATGCTCTGCTTTCTAAGTTTGGCAAGCTCTTGCCTAACAACTCCAGTCTTCTGCAAAGTAACATAAAGTAGTACACATTAAAAACTTCAAAGATAATAGCTGCCGATGAGCTCAAATAGCAAACACAACTGGCAGCTAAACGTATCAACTCATTAATATTTATGGTTTTTGTCAACATGGTGATAAAGACTTAATTTGCAGGTGACCCAACTCTGCATATTATTGAAACAACCTTGGTGGAGATTTGGGTCCACTGGAGGCTTTCAAGAATCAACGAATTGCCACATACACTCTCACAA